ACAATTCCGCGCTGCTGCATGACTCGATGCATGACGGCCGAGGTTTGTCACACATGGTTGTGCTTGACCATACCGTTCTCGCTATTGACAAGTGTGACTGAGCTGTGATTTCTGCGTTGCACTATCCCGCTATGCTCCATGCTGTGCTGTGCCATATCATGCCATGTCCAAGCAATAGTCTAGTCTGTATGCCTGTTTGTCCATTCTGGGTCTTGGGATCTTCATCGAACAGCCGCGGGGGTGTGTGACTTGACTTTGCATCAAGCGATGATGGATGCCGAGGCGGACCAATATCAACAGGATAGGATAGGAGAGGACAGAACAGGATAAAGACGACCTGAAGACTGTTGGTTAAGTGGAAAAAACGAACTGCCGTTGTAGGCTGAGTTATGATCAAAGGAATAGCCGTGTACCTTGCAGTTAGAACACCTTCCTACGGTACATACTTTGCGTGGCTGCCTTATTCATCCTTCCCGTCGTTCCTGCTAAAGCAGGTCCGATGGCTTCAACTCAATCAGTTCTTGCCTACTACAAAGACCTGCCTTACTATGATTGGGCCGAGCTTGGCCATGGCAGGCACGATCCCTGTCGAGAGGCGCTTGAAGGTTGCTGCTTGGAGTGCAACTGTGTTCGAACTCACACTGTAGAGTCTGCCTAGCGTCCCGCGTTTATCACAGTGTTTAGTTCCATACCCCTGCCTGCTCTCCAGATGGGTCCACTGACCCCTGCCGTTTCCTGCAGCTCAGGTTGGGTGTGATGGCGCGCGGCTGTACCTGACCTTGTCTTCACATACATCATCCCAAGGCAACGCGCCTCCCAACATCAACCCATGACAACAAAACACCAGCAATAACTTGACTATTTGGCTTCAGGGGCGCTTTTCCAACGCGGTTGTTGGTCCCTGGACTGCGCTCATCCTCGGCTGATCCACTTTGTACGAGACAAACTCCGCTACTACTGCGCCTACTACTGCTTTCGCTTCTGCGTCTGCGTCTGCGGCTGCGTCTACCTCCTTCTGCGGCTGCGTCTACGCCCCTTGATCGTTGTTATACTCGACGGTCTGGGTCGATTTGGGCTGCGTTGGGTTGCTTTACTGCGGCAAATATCTCCTGAACCTTGCGCCTCTTGGTACTTTGCTTGCCGGATGAGCCCCCGGAGTTCAACATCATGTGGACAATACACTAGATGAACATGCAATAGACTCTCGTCGTCACACTCTCCCCGACCCTTGGCGTATCTTTCTCCGATCTTTCCCTATGGACTACAGTCGTGATTCTCTCTACGAGTCTGACCGCTTGCTTCTCAGTGTTGGTAGCCCCTTGAATCCTCGGCCGATAGTGTTGGTCTGTATGGCTTCCATCTGCGGCCCTAGGATCTTCCCGTCGGAAAGCCTCATGCAGCCAACTCTGCGACCCAACTGTTACCACAGCCCCCAATGTTGCTAGAAGTCGATGAGAAGGTTCGACAGGCCTATGTACGAACTATAATCTCGGTCGGCCGCGGTCCGACTTGGAGTGACGACACGCAGCCATTATCATGCATCTGTCTCTCCAGACCCAGGTGGAATCCCCTGGCACATGGCGTATCAGTCAAGTGATTAATATTACACTCTACCTGCACTACACCTTCCAACTTGGACCTCTGCCGGATGCGGGTAATACGAGTTGCAAGCTCGATTGAGATCGTCCAACAAGTCTCTCATCAGACGACGACAATCCAACAAGTTGCATGCGAAGTGGCTCCAGTAACTAGCTAATTATGAGTCACTGTTTAATGCTCAATCGAGATGAACAGACGCAGAAGAACGTAGTATGGATTCGGCAACCCCTAATGTTCTCACCCCTCGGCTGATATCGAGGCACACGACGGCACAGACAAGACTAGCCTCACTTATACACATCACTATATGCTCCTCAAACGGAGCCCTTGTTCAGTGTTGGTTCTTTACCTTTTAAGGAAGACACATATTTGCCGACGTGCATATGTTGCGAATTCAAACTTGCTCTGATATTGGCGCAACAGGGTCCCTGCTTCCGAGCACATCAGTCGGGGTCATCATGACCAGGTGCAGGAAACTTGTATCTACTCGGAAGAAATATGGATGCCCCGAACTAGTCCACGTAACAAAGCTCTTGTTGGTGATCAAAGTGATTATAGTGCAGCATTTGCTGCTCACTTACACCCACACCGTCACTTTGGTAGAACCGAGTAATCATCACAGCTTTGACCGTTCATGACGACGGCACGGCCCAACGGAAAGAAACAAACTCCTATTACAAAGAAGCCAGGTTCTCCTGACTGGATTTGGACATTCAGCCCTACTTTTGGGCTGATGTATGCTGCCGCGATGATCCCACCGTGTTGCGCCAAATTCCCTACCGAATTGGTAGAATATTCCAAGACGCGCGAGTGCGCGTCTACGATTAACAAATGGTATTAATTACAAAACCTAGAAAATGGATTCAAGGCACCAAGTTACTGGAACTTACCCAGGGTTCGTAGGGTTTAGCGACAGATTGCTGTAACGGCGGCGCTTAGGAGTTGTTCTTATTGGCTGACCAACGTTTATTGCTCAACCCCGGTCGCAACCCAAAGACGACATGGCGTCAAAGGGTTGCAGGATGGTCTTTGAATGACAAAGAAAACGAAAGAGCATAGACGCGAAAGAAACTGGGGTGAGCCATTCTCATGGTGCAGTTATCAGGCTGCACAGGGGGGAGCAGACCGCCTCATATTCTGAGTTATAATCAATATCACATATGTCGAAGCTACGTTCAATCATATCATGATTTAAATCTGTCATTATAGTCTTGACAGTTACTGTAATTTCTCTGAACTCGAGGCAAAGTCAATGTCATCTTTCGCCCTGTCCGGTAACAGGGGCTACGATGTGATTGTGTTCACCTTTGTCAACCCGGGGTCATGGATTCATGGGCTGCCATCAACCAGCTCTCGTTCTAACTCTCGTATCATGGGGTCAAGTTCCCAAAACGGAGTCATGCCATCAGACTGACCGCATCTTTCTTGCTCTTGCAGCAGAGTCTGAGGCCTGTCTGAGGCATTTCCAAGAAGGGGGACACATTGTCCTATACTTGACTTTGGGTCGTCCTTTTGTGGAAGTCTGTCTTGGAGGTAGCTATCTAAATGAGATAGTGCAATCATTTCTTGGGTACGAAGGTTGTCCTTGTTTTGCACTCGAAGGTCATCACTGCACAAATTTGTTGCATCCTGCCCAGGGTAACTGTTGGCTACAAGTGTCTACGTCTTGTGTCGGCTCAGGAGTCTAGACAGCTTATACACTTTCTTAATACTCATGAGGCTGGACTGGATCTGATAGTTTCGAAGAGCCAGTGAAGACCCCAAGCTCTATGAGCTTCACGACGAAGTGTGAATGGAGAAACTTTTCACGGTAATGTACGGGATATTCGAACCACAGGGTACAAATCCCAAAGGTCATCTTTTGTTTGTGTTAAGATAGTAACGGAGTCTTTGCTGGGATGCCGTGCTAACGAGAGGCAAACAGATTGGTATACCCCTGAGATGCCCCCAAGACGACTCATACGCAAACAATAATAATACACCATTGCGGATAAGATTCTGATCCCGTTACTGCAACACACTGGGACGAATATACGTGGGTATTTTTCACTATAATATTCCAGCCACATATCGTGGACACAAATATTCTCATTGAGATGAGGAATTGTTCGTTTAGACGTAGCTATCGATGATCTAATACCCGAACTGGAACTTGGGGTTCGGCAATATAAGGTGGTTTTATCAAACAGAAGCGAGTGTTCATCTGGAGTGCTTTAGGATCATTGTGCTCGAGACACTAGAGGCGTTTCGCAGTCGGCATCTGTCTCGCTGTGGTTTCATAGGGACTGATGTAACTTTATTATCGGAGTTGAGAGTCTGTCTACTCGGCGACCTGGCTCATAAGATGGTGTTTCAACACAAATTTGCTTTTCGGACATGTCTGAAGAGGTTAGCTGCTCCACAGACACATTCTTGTTGAGTGGTGTGTGTCCCGGGGGTAGCTTGAACTCGGCGACGTTCAGTCCCCCTGTTTTCACGAAGAAACGTCTCCCGTGGAACCAAAACTTCTGTACCAACGGAGCTATTCGACAGTAATTTAAATCCTACCAGGCGTTCCTGAAGTCATTGTTCCAAGATCTGCATTGCCCTTGGGTTCCGGTTTAGGGGTTCGGCATACGCTGAAGATGTTCAATATTATTGGAAGAACATTTCTTGACACCGTGATGTTGAGGCATCCTATGCTAGGCCAAGTGGTCTCTGTAGTAAGCGAAGTCATCTGTTAAAAGCGAAAGTACTCTCTTAGAAAGAATCGCAACCACAGCCCTCGTAGAGGTGGGGAGCAGCCAAGGAGGGACGACTCCCACGGTTGTCACCGCACCACATTACTCATTCTAGTACATAGAAACTCTTCTCTGAATAATAGAGGCTATTTTGTCCTTTGAAATACACAAAGAACCTTGGGGAGACAAGAGAGCCATAAGGAGACGACCTCTGGGGGCATAGTTGATCCTTTGGAAAGATGAAGGATAGCCCGGGTGACAATAGAGATTGGACATGGATTTCTGGGCTTCATATTGAGCTGAAAGAGAAGGAAGGGCCTTTCTTTACCAGTGTCAGGAAAGGAAGTCAACTTATCTTATCAGATCCAGGAGTTCCTGCCTTATTTAGGTGAATTTCTAGAAGCTCTACAGAAAGAGCCCCACTTATATCGATGGTGATGCATGCTGCACTGCTCAACCGCCACCTGGAGATTCAATTTGGACCTTGCAACATAACCAGACAGCTTCAGCTTCAGCGATATCTCGGAATCAATTCGACTTAACCTCCGGTTGAAAGTTTCGAATGGAACATATTTCTCTGATTTATCGACAACAGCATGCGACACTGTCTTGGAGCGCTCAGCAGATGGAACTCATTCAACACCAGGATCTACTCATCATCAGATTGACTGTCGAATCATTATGGCAACCGACGAAGTGAACGCGCTCAACCTCCTCGACTTGCCCGTGGATATCCTCAGTCTCATACTTAAACCACTTGTCACAAGCTCTACGCCTATTCAGCTCTGTCCTTGTACTCCATCACCCATCGATCCTCTACCCATTCTGCTCTCTCATCCAGCACTACACAACATCGCTGCACCGTTGCTATATTCAGGAAACGAGTTCTTACTGGATGCCACGGGTCCTCATGCGCAGCACATCCGCAGAGAACTGCAGACCGTCCCCTCCGGAGCCGATGAGAGACTTCCCGGCCGAGCGAGTCTGCTCACAACGCCAGGTGCACTGCGTAGGATTGCGAGATTGGAGCTAAGGATTGACCGGCTTAGAGGGTGGCTCGGATCGGATGTGGTGCCGTTGCTGACAGAGCTGGCCGTGCAGGGAAGGATGGATTATCTCACCATTTGGGTGCGCACTCCCGCTGAACCGAGAACGCCAATGTGCTTCCAGCCTGTGAAGCACGAGAAGGACATGCAGATGTTTGCTCGACCACCTCTGGAAGGGCTGCTACGAGTATTGGCAGATCCGTATCTGATATCAGCGCAACTTTGGGTAGACGCTCAGCATCCAAAGACCTGGTGCCGGTTCCATTCCGGAGGATGCGGAGCCGAAGGTGGATACCCGGGGCCGGAAGGGGAACGATCACGGTGTGTAGAGATTGAGTGGCGGGAGATAATCCGGCTCGTTGATCCTGAGAGGAAGGAGATCACTGTCATTGGGACGGAGAAGAAGTGGTGAATGTCATCAAATACCAGACCATTTCATCAAAAGATGATCAAGCTGATCTCTTGAACTTGTGGCACATCTGATACCAGCTGAGGGTGTGTTTGATACGTGGCGGCCGTTGATTATGGACGGAGAGAGGCGGCACAGAAGCCGAGATGTGCAGTGGCTTTCTACGTGCAAGAGGGTGTACTGCGATTGTCTGACAGTTGTCTTTGCGATCAACGTTCAAGGTGCTGGGCTGCTGGCACGAAAGTTATCAAGCTGCGAGATCAGCATTGGTAGATCAGCGTGGGATGAGCATCTGGTGTCCCGTCTTGGCAATGCTGTCAAACCGAGCATCCTCGGGCTTGACCGTAATCTCGCTACAACTCAAATCCTATTCACGTTTTGAATGTTTACTGAAGCACAAGGCATTACCCACTGAAACAAGGCTATTCTTGCCCTTCTCAAAGCCTCGATATCCCCGAAACCTGGCGAGTCGGAACCCCGAGCGATCACCGCATAAACAGGAGACCAGACACGGGACAGGTCACGCGGTACGGCATAGAGCTCGAGCTTTAAATGAGGAATGACGTATTTTGATGTCTCATGATTCGTTTTGGAATTGACTTTTTTTCTTTTCAGCATGCGAAGCTGATGCTGGAGCTGGAGCCGTTTCCCCGCAATTGGTCTGGAATCTAGAGTTTCCAGGATGGTATCAACGCAGCGATGGCGACTTTGCGATAAGCTGAGGCTGACGGTTGATGCATTGATTGATTGCTTGTGATTTTGCCTTTATCACTATACTGTCACTATGAAAGAAGAGGAACGCACATCTTGTCTGCTCTGTGACAGTGTGGCATAACCATAACACAAGCTAAACTAAAAGCCGGACATGGCTCCGCCCCCATGATCGGCCACCCAGATATGATGTGCTCTCTACTTTGCTTTCAACTTTGAATCTGGAGTCTCACAGAAGAATGAGGGAGAAGTGGTTGTACTGGATATTCTTGACTCAGCAGACGAAAAGAAAATGGATATTCTGGAGAAAACCCTTGTGGACGTCATGCACGTTCTCGGTCACCTCCCGAAAGTGTTACCCAAGAAACAAGAGATCTGAACCAGAACCTGATCCCTGACAAGCTACTGTACCGAAGGGCTAGAAGGATTATTGGGGGTTTGATTGGGCCGTGTATCAACAGATCATGTTGGAAACGGATATAGCAAGTCTGCGCGGTCGGCCTGCCCCGGCTATTGATGGCTCGTTTTATTTCTTTTAGTTGCCATTGTGCCTAGTTGATGGGAAAGCAATGCGACGCTATCTACAGAATGGGCACATGACCGGTCCAGAATTAATGAAATGCCGGTTGAGGGTGTGTAGCTGTGCATACAAACATGTGCAAGTAAAAAACACCATTACTACGTAGTATTTTGCACACAGAGAAACAAATAGAGAGAGACAATCTTTGCTATCTTGCACAGAATAATAGCACCGAGAAGGCGATGGTGCAAGCAGAGCTCGTGTCGCATATACGTCAGGTGATAGGCCAGCCTTACATACCGCTTTTCTGTATGTACAGCGCAAAGATAGCAGTACAGTAATGTACTGTAATGGATCATCAATGGCAGAAATTCGATCATCGCTCTTTTCTGGATTTGGAAAGGATGTATGTAGTGATTTGCGGTGCTAAGACAGCCAAGACTCAAGTCCCGGTACAGTAGAATAGTAATCGAATAATTCATTCATTATTCACTTGATAAGAAGTGCACATCAAGCAGGAGAGATAGTAGTAGTATTGAATTGAGAAATACTTGGCTGTTCAGCCTGTTCCTAATCCTAGTTCCTGTTTAATTCGTTTTTGTTCCTTTCAACCGAGCTTTCTCGCTCACACCCCATGTAGATTTCTGGGGGTTATTTTGTTCCTTGTAGCATATTTTTTGCCTTTTTCCTCATTCAATGGTATTCTTGTTTTTTCGTGACGTTGAAAATTGTTGTTGTTGTTGGTCATGATAGATAAAATTGCAATTTGAAACCCCAAATAAATAAAATCATCGCTTCGCTTCCAAACAATCCGTTTTACTTGTTCAAATTTTTGACTTAGTGAAGGATAACATCATGGAAGTCACGCTTGTTCTCATCAGCGTGCTCGCCCCAGTGAACGGGTCCAAGCTTGAGAATGCGGTAGCCAGAGGCTGAAGAGTTGTTGGAGTCTGAAGACTCGGTTGATGATCGTCGCTCGGGAGAAGGACGAGCGTGGGAGCGGACGGCGGGCTTCTGAGGGTATGAAGGAGATGTTGCGGGTGCGAGAGAGAGGAAGGAGGACTTGGGAGGAGGAGTGAGAGGGAGGAAGTTCTGAGGAGGAAGATCGGACATTTTGGTGGTTGTCGAGGTAGAGTAGTATAGTATAGAGTTGTTGTAGTTGTGGTTGAAGTTGAGGAGATGGTCGATAGATTGATATGCTTGAGAGTTGATGGATAGAGAAGAGAGACCAGAAAGAAGAGGGAAGCGTCCTTCTTATGCTTTCACGATTTCCTCAGAACCTACCTCTCTCTCGTCTATGGTCTCTCATACCTAGACAGACACATGCCATGCTCTCCTCTTGATAGTACCTAGTATATCCACTAATCGTCCACCCCCTGGGGTACCCCGACAGCCCCGTACTTCCGTACCACCGAATCTCTCTACTTCTATCTCTATCGTAAGCCAGTAGGTCACAGCTACTAGGTAGCAAGCTCCCGCCAATCCCGCTCCCTCTCACACTTTCTTGATCTACCTTTTTGGCTTTGAATGTATCTGTACAACTTTATCAGATATGCTACCGACTATCCCTCGTCATACAGTCGTCGCGTCCTGTTACGAAACTCTCAGACCTGAAGCATCATTCATTCATGCCTTTGAATAGGTACTGTACTATTTTTGCCACTGTTTTGTATCATCATCCGAGGTGGCAGGAATGCCCCCAGACTCTTCTCTTCTATCATGCACCCTCTTGAGAGGAACCTGGGGTGGACCAATGACAGCTTACATAGAACCGGGTGGACAACCGGTATGGATACTGAATCAAACACCATTCACAAGGGGATATGGATAAAGAGAGGCCACACTTTTTTTAACACTTTTTTTAACGATTGCCGCGACGCGTCCTGCCTTGTCTTGACCTGCCGTGTTTTATACAACTCGTCTTACTCGCTCGCTAGTGTAACAACTGAGACTGCGCTTGGTTACACGTGGGGGTTTTCTATTCTCCCAGTCTCTCACTCTCACTCCCACGCATACACGGACCGGTCTTGCAGCATTTTTTGCGTTGCCTTGCTTTTTAATCGTACGTGCAGAATAAAAGATGACAGGAGTCAATCTCGCAAACATCTTGACTCCCGTGCCTAGATCTAAATCACATGAATATTTCTTGATCTGGCCATCATGGTACACTATCAACCAGCTCCACTACAACTCACCTAGGAGCTACAGATAAAGATAAACAAGACTCAGGGGATCTTGTTTCGGTCTGGAACTGTCAAAGCTTCTGCAGATCGTGGGGAATCCCGTCATGGATGCCTCCTCTCCCGTGTGTAAAGAGACACCATTCATATTTCATAATACAATACATAATACGTACACTGTCGCACCTCAGCTCACTCTTATTCGAAGCCTTGTCTCTCTCTCCACCAACGGACTTCAGCCCACGCACCTAACAAATAACCGAAAGCCTGGCTTCTTTCTTAGTGGAGCGCTTCACCCTGATTACCAAAATCCATTGTGTACGGCTTATCTTCAGGTGGGTTCGAAATGTTTCTGTCTACCGACTGTACCGCTGAAAGTCCAATGGCATGGTGTTGACAGTACAGTTCATACTCGACACTTATCTCATATTACATGACGTGAATTCTAACAATAGCAATAGTCACCAAACAAACTGATGTAACAGCTTTAACAATAATTCGTGTATTATATGCTATGTAAACAATACAATCATAAAGCTTTGACAGGGTCAAGCAAAGACAGACTTCACACTTCACAACCACAACCACAACCACAACTAGCAGCAAATGAGAAAATGGCTAGGCAAACAAGCCAATTCAATTTCATACTGAGCTAAGCGCATGTATAGTGAAGTGCAGTAAAGTGCAGTGCAGTGCAGTCTTGGTTCCAATCTGAATCATCAACCTATATATCATTGCATCTCCTCTTATCCCCCTCGCCCACCCCATCGCTAGTGTACATCAAAAGTCAAATCAGCTATTAAAATTCGAATTCCCCTTATAATCAATATCGATTCTTTTTCTTTCTTCATCAAGTGGCCTTTCAGAGTAAACGAATCACTTCATCCACCTCCTTCAATTTGATGGGTTTTGTGTTTGTTTTTTCTCGTTTATTGTATAATCCCTGCCAACTTCTTTTGTGGATCTATCATGCTTTAAATAAAAACCCCTACCAGAAAACCATGAAAACTGAAATGACAACCTGTGCCACGTATGCATTATTCAATCAAGACTATTAATCGTTTGAGGGCGAGTTGGGAGAACTGTTCATGGTTAGCTTGTTATTCTTCAGTCATGTCACAGACAAAACTCACTATTGGTTTCCAGAGTTCCCCGGACCCGGCGTGCGAGGAGAGAAAGCAGGCGATGTAGGCGAGTAGCTTGGGCTGGTAGGCGACTGCTGCACCGTGGGACTCCTTTGGAAGGTTGGGCTTGTTGGGGAGTAAGCCTCAGGAGATGTTGGAGACCAGGAGGGGGATGCTGGGGAGTAGGATGGCGAGGTTGGACCACCTCCATGCACGTTGGGCGACGTCGGGCTGTAGTTGGGGCTTGCCGGGGAGTAGCTGGGAGAGGTGGGAGAGTTGAACTGCGCCGGTGATGTGGGCGAGTAGTGTCGAGGAGACGACGGCGAAGTGGGAGAGTAGCTTGGCGATGTTGGGCTGTAGCTGGGACTGGCTGGGCTTGTAGGCCGCAACATGGGCGACGTGGGCGAGAATGATGGTGACGACGGGCTGAAGGAAGGCGACGTCGGTCCATATCGGCTCATGCCACCACCATCGATGAGAGGTGAAGTGGGCGAGTATCCCATGTTGGGTGATGTCGGTGAGTAACTGAATGGCGACGTGGGAGAAGTGCTGCTGAAAGGGCTGGCCGCTCCACGGTTGTAGGGGCTCATTGGAGCAGATCCACCGAAGCCAACGCTACCACCACCATATACGGTATCGAAGCCAGCAGGCGTGTCTGATCCAGCACCCTGGATAGGAGAGAAGTTTCCTGCTGCAGGAGAGCTCATACTAAGGTAACCTGAATCAGCCATGGGAGATCCAGTGTCGTAAGGAGTAGCGGCTCCTTCAACATCTCCGCTCTTTGTAGGCATGCCTGCCATCAAGCCCATGCGAGAGTTGTCAGAGATGACAGTCTCCAGCATCTTGGGATCCAGGAGAACGTCAAAGTTGCCTGTGCCCATAGGCGCCATCTGGCCAAGCATGACGTTTTCGGAGATACCACGGCAATCATCCAATTCACCAGTCGCCGCAGCTTCAAGCAAAATCTCCACGGTTTCCTCGAACGAACAACGCATCAGAGCACCAGTATCAGCACGGTTGATACCGTGACGTGTGACGGCGGAAATGATACCTCTGTATGTCATGACATCGACAAGGAGGGCAATATGTCTATGGTTGACGTAAGAACCATCAAAGGCCAACACGTTGGTCAACTCCTTGGCCAGAGCGGAACGAGCAGCTTCGATACCGAACACCTCAACAATCTGGTATAGATCGTTGGTGTATGTTCGAGTCGCGTCAACGCCGTCAACAGCCAACACTTCGCGCAGAGCGGTACCACTGGTATCAAGGTACCATTGTGTGCAGCGAGGGTCGTCCTTGATGGCAAGCTGCGTTCCGTCGGTGTCTTCGGTAAGTCTGGTACCCTTAGTCAAGAAAGCACGCTCAATACCAGGAACACCACGGAGAGTAAGTGTGTCCAGAAGATGGGCTTCCAAGCGCTTGAGCATGACATCGTCTTCCATACGGCCACCGTCACCATCATCGTCCTTGTCACCGGTCTGGACGGTTCGAATACGAATGACTTGCTCATCGGCGTTGTTATCACTGAAGATAACCGCCAGATCAGCAGTGTATTCCTCCTTGATGCGCTGAGCAACATCGTCAATCTTGATCTCCTTGTCGAGGAGCTTCTGTCGATCCAGAGTGATACGGAGAAGCCATCGCGATTGGTTGGCGGTGGGGTCCACGCTTTCGTCAGGAATCATGTAGTAAGACTCAACCATGTCCACATCTTCGGCAATGTTTGTTTCCGTGATGTTGGGATCATAGTAGATCTCAGTAACTGAAGTGACAGAGCGGAGGTTGGTGTATTCGACCATACTTCGCAGCTTCTTGGCTTGCTCCTGCTTAGCAAGCGGTGTGTTGAGGTACACAGCCATACTAGGAGTCTTGATGTTCTTGGCCAAGTTGAGAATTTCCTTGAGACGGGGCACACCCAGAGTAACGTTCTTGGAAGACACACCAGCGAAATGGAAAGTGTTCAGTGTCATCTGAGTAGCGGGCTCACCAATGGACTGGGCAGCCAAGACACCAACCATTTCACCAGGGTTGACGAAAGCACGATCCCATCGGTTTTGGAGTTCACCAAGAATATGGTCGAAAGCCAGCTTGTTCAGTCGGTGCTCCTTGACAACTTCCTTGAAAGCCAAGCGAGAACGCAACAGGGCCTTGAAGAGAATGGAGGCGTTCTGGTCGGCCTCCACTGAGATCTCATCTGTTCCGCGGACAATCTTCATGTTCTCCAGCATGTTTTGCACCGCCGGGATGACATCAGCGGGTCGCAAGTTACTTCTGTCGTTGGCCTTGACATTGAAGACTCGCTTCGCTGACTCGATGATACGAGTGATGTTGAGAGGCAACTGCATCATTTCATCGGTACCCTTCGCGTAGTTGATCTTTCGGATCCGTTTGCGATCATAGAGCAGTTGGTCCCATTCCGTGTCAAGAAGAGCCATGGAAGGCCTATCACCAGTCAACTCGTTACCGAACTCGTAGTCATGCTTGAACCAATCAGGTGGGTTGGCAAGATCAAGGCGGTACTTCTTCTCAAAAGAGCTGTCCGACATGTTAAGAATTCCCAGTTTCTGCTTCTCAATGATCATAGCATCAAGACCGTCTTCACCGTAGAGGAACTGAACAATATCACCCAGAGAGTTACGAACAGTACCATCGTAGCGCGCTGAAAGATCTTCCAGAGCCTTGACCAATCGTCGCTGGATGTAACCTGTTTCGGCAGTCTTGACCGCAGTATCGATAAGACCTTCACGACCAGCCATGGCGTGGAAGAAGAACTCGCTGGGAGTAAGACCACGGAGATAAGAGTTCTCGACGAAACCACGAGCTTCAGGTGAGTAATCGTCCTTGGTGAAATGAGGCAGAGTACGGTACTTGAAACCGAAAGGAATACGCTTTCCTTCGACAATCTGCTGACCGACAAGCGCAGTCATCTGTGAAATATTGATAGAAGAACCCTTGGAACCTGAAGAAGCCATGGTAACAGCGTTGTTTGAATCCTTCAAACTCTTTTGTGTTGTGGTACCAGCCTTGTCACGGGCCTGGTTCAGAGCCATGGAAACCTTGTTCTCGAATGTCGCTCGGACGTTCATACCAGGCAAAGCCTCAAGCTCGTTGGCAGTAGCCATCGCTGTCAAGCGAGCGACTTCAGCCTTCTCCTCGTCGATATGCACTTGAACCTTGGCGATGGTCGCGGCATCGGGAATCGTGTCACCGATTCCGATACTGTGACCGTTGTTCAGAAGCCAATAAGTGACAACCTGCTGAACACCGTTCAAGAAAGCCATAGCACCCTCGGGTCCCAACTCATTGTAGCTGATATGCACAATACCACCTGCAGCAGCACCAACACTCTTCTTGGTAAGAAGACCATACATAAGTTGACCGGCCTGGATCAAGAGGCCCTCGTCCTTAAGAGGGGCGCTTTCCTTGGAGTCGGTACCGTTAAACAGGCTAACCTCCTTAGGGATAACCATGCTGATGAGCTGTTTACCAGTCCAGCGAGGACGAGGCTTATAGATAGCAGGCTGAGGGATAACACCATCCCAGTTAGGGACCCAAAGCATACAGTTCATAATTTGCTCCTTGGTGAGGAAAACATCTCGACGACAAAGCTTGTACGCTCCAGCAAGAGAGTCCTGGACGATACCCATCAGGGGACCGTTCTTCTGGGGCGACACAATGTTAAGAGGGACTAGACAAAGCTCCTTAACCTCAGCGCGTGTCTCTTCACTCTGAGGTACGTGAAGGTTCATCTCGTCACCATCGAAATCGGCGTTGTAAGGAGAAGTGACGGACAGGTTAAGACGGAAAGTGGAGTAAGGCATAACACGAACACGATGACCCATCATAGACTCCTTATGCAGCGACGGTTGACGGTTGAAGATGATGTAATCACCAGTCATCAAATGACGCTCAACCTTCCATCCATACTCGAGAGAGATGGCACCAGCACGTCGGTGATGTCTCAAGTCGATTCGCTGGCCATCGGCCCGGATGACGTACTTGGCACCAGGGTGCTCATTAGGTCCGTTCTCAACAAGCTGATGCAGCTTGCTGATGTTGTAAGGAGTGACGGTTTCGGGATATGTGAGAGTCCTGGCGATACTGCGAGGCACACCGACTTCGTGGAGCGACAGGTTGGCATCACCTGTAATGACGGTACGTGCAGAGAAATCGACACGCTTACCCATCAAGTTACCTCGGAGACGACCTTCCTTACCCTTTAGACGGGCTCGAATGGCCTTCACAGGACGTCCACTCTTTTGCAGAGCACGAGGTTGACCAGCAATATCGTTATCCATGTAAGTGGCAACGTGGTATTGTAGTAGCTCCTCAAAATCTCGGGCGATGTGCTGAGGTGATCCCTCACGAATAGCCTGCTTCACGTTTCCGTTGGCGCGAATGATATCACCAAGCTTGTAGGTCAAATCATCTTCGTTTCGCATGCCAGTACCCGTGCCGTCCATGGAAATACTGGGGCGGACAGGGGGAGGTGGTACGGGAAGTACGGTGAGAACCATCCATTCAGGACGAGCGTAGTCAGAGTTAAGACCCATGTTGACGAGATCCTCCTCAGTGATTCTCCTCAAGATACTGTGAGCTGTCTCGGGGGTGATGGGTGTTGTCTCCTTCTTCTTCGACTTCTGGCCGTCGTCTTCGACTGTAACTTCGAAAGCCGCCTTGAGTTGCAAAGCAGCTTGTCGGACATTAGGTTGAACGTTACCGCAGCCTCCGTGGCCTTCCAAGGGGCCAGTCTTCACTGCACCGCCAAATTCGTCGTCCTTTTGTTTCGGCTCGTCGTTTTCACATCGCTTCTTCTTTTTGCACACTTCCCAAACTCGGTTAAAACGGACTTTAGGATCTCGAGTGTTGATGGCTGCAACGAACTCGGGATCTCTCTGAGTAGGAGGTTAGCATACAAAGGTCAAATAGCGTCATACAGTAGTGAGACCAACAGTATCGGCTAGCACTTTGCTACAGTTGTGGCAAACAATCTCCAAGATCTTTTTGACCTTCTTGATAAATCCAGGGTGGTAGACAGGTTTCGCTAGTTCGATGTGACCGAAGTGACCAGGACACTCGCCCATAGCTTGTGTGCAGGTCTTGCAACGGAATTGTCTGTCGATCGATCCGAGAAGCGGGTCATTGAGACCACCATCACGAGGCTTCGTCTTGTTCTCTTCCATCGTTTCAGGGTAGACAATGTGGCAGACACTCATGTTCTTGATCTCCTCGGGGGACATCAAACCGAACTGAATCTCCTCCACCGTCTTGAGCGGAGCGCTCGAGTGGGTGAAGTAAAGGTTGGCCATGGTGGCGATTGGTGGTTGTTCTGACGTGGAGTAGAAAGGAGCGAGAAGCGAGAGTAGAGGTGTGAAAGCGCGCCAGAACGTAAATAAACGCGAAAAGCTGAAGAAAAGTGCAAAAGTTTGCGATTAAGTAATTTGTGAAAAGCGCAAGGCTAAGAAATTCGATGATATATGCACTCAAATGCGATTGCTGGATGGCGATGAGCCGCAACGCCTGTCCTGGCCGACCGGGCCTAGGTGAACCTCAGGCTGGTCTCCCCCGTCGCCGCCACCTCGTAAGTCGCAGAAAATCGAAAAATCGCGGTCGGCGATGTCGTCAATCGGTCGATGTCGGTCGTTGAGCTGTTTCGATAAGTTGCGCGCGATGCCCGACGCGCGATGTGATGACTTTGTGTTGTAGGCAAAGTTTGTCGTGGTTAAAGCGAGAAGGACGGGGGAAGCCTGAAAGAATCTGGACTTGAGAGCGGCTGGCAGCAGGTCACGCGCTAATCCTCTTTGGGACTTCATAGAGCTCTGGGTGTTGCCTGAGGCTTGTCGGAAGTTAAGTAACGCTACTTGCGCTCCACGTTCTCACGTGCTGACTAAAGCAGTTAATGGGTGACATTTGACCGCCAGTCGCGCTTTTTAATGAGGCTTTCAAGTACCTATACTTTTACCCCTAAGATTAATGGATCCAATCACGCCCTCTGACGTTAGAGATCCGGGCAGTGACTCAGGCGAAACACCTCTCAATTGTTCATGCTCTCACTTTAATAAGGGGTACAAGAAACTTGTATTCAGCTAATATAAACAATAATTCGACTTTATCAGAGGTTGGACTCTGTTAAGCTTCCTCTTTTCTCGGTTCGCTAATCTTGGTTTCACAATACCACGATATATCTGAACTTATAGAACTTCTTGAAGCTCAATGGACACTATCCATTATTGGGGAGTTTCCCCTTTATAGGTGTGCCTATTTATGCGAGCACTTTGTCTTTGATAGGGGAGTTTCAAACGGCATTAAAAACTATCATTACTATGCCACTGCCCGTTTTTCTATCTCTTCTTGGGATGAAAGAAAGACCAATTGTTCTTATAAAAGCTAATCATCCCATCCCATGCAGCTCTAGCTCCCTATCGTCCATGTACCAGAGGCCACTTTGTTCTTTGTCCTGTATCCACTACCTTTTCTTTGTTCCCAGCTGTTTCTAACGCTTTCGCCCCCTTCTGCTGGCCGTGCTAATTTTCTTGACGGGTTGTTTCTCTTCCAAATCACTTTGACCCTCCCCAGGACTCCTACGTCTCATGGTACCGGTGGATACGGCGATGAATTCATCCTCACTATCGCTCTCGCCGAGATTAAACAGGATTGGCATCCGGAAGCTTTCGTCTTCATCCAGAGTCTTGGATGGGTCGAGCGTCAAGACATCCACTTCTTCGTCTTCCGCGTCCAGTCGCCTTCGGTGAATTTCTTCTTGCGCGTAAATATCAAACTCGTCCTCCTTCTCAATGTACTCAACATTTTCTTCCACTTCGGCAAAGTCTGGCGCCAGTGCCGACCATTTTTGCGGACTCACGACAGACCATATGTATATGCGACCGGTTTCCAAACCACAGGCAGCTAAGAGAGCACGAGTTGGGTGCCACTCTATCACTCCTTGTTCTTCTTTTGGGTCTTTGAGCATACATACGAGACTGCCGTGATTGCGCTCCCAAACGTACAGCTCGTGGTTGTTATACGTCGAGGCTGCTACGTATTCGCCAGTAGCACTAAATGTGACATGATTCCATGACAGCCTGTTGACGACGTCCTGAAACTTGTGCTCCAATGGCACCTGTAACGTGTCGAGATCGAGGTTTTCCGCAAGCAAGTTAGGCACTCGGAATGTTCGAATAATTCTGTCTTGTGAATTGACAAGTAATTCACGGCCTGACACCGTCATTCTCATTGTCGTAATGACTCCTGCGCATATTTTATCCGAGTATATGATTTCGTAGGTTTTCGCATCGATAATATTTAGTTTTCCCTTGTTCGTGCCAGCGAGAATGTGGTCTCCCGTGGTGCTCCAGACCGCACAAGTTGTCATTTGCTTGGCGTCTTCTTTAGCTTGTTTCTCGCGCAATGCGGCGTCGCCGTCGCTATTCGATCTCTTCGGTGCGGATGGTAAGATATGTTTTACGTCAACGGGATCGGTGACATCGACAAGAACAGGCTGCTCTTCGAAAAGCGCCGCGACGAATTGAAGGCTGGCGCATGTTAATTAAGCTCGTTAGACTGGTCGCAATACCCTTACTGGTTCCATGGATGAAGCTCGGCCATATATGCCGGCGCGCGAAAGCGAACCTCTCGTAGACGGTTGCCATCCTGAAGGTCCCAGAGAATAGCTTTCCATCCTTGGCAGGTCGTGAGAAGATACTGCCCACATCGCGACCAACTTAGGAATGTGATGCTCTTATTGTGGCCTCTCAATTTTCTGGCTACTCCCATAGTCTCGAGATCCCATACTACCACTGTTCCATCGACTCGGCCGGACGCCAGGTAATCGCCCTGGCGGTTGAAGCGCAATGTTGTCGCATGTCCTGATCGGATCGTATTCGTGATGTTCTCGGGGTAATCCTGGAGGAGATAATCGTCGGAAAGTAACAAGTTCATGTTGGCTAAACTATAAAGAATAGCATCAAGATATAATGATCAATGAGCCCGCCTTCAGTGGTCAGGACAATGTTTGTGTAAGACTTGAATTTGGCTTCAGCCGTGCTGTAGGTGTGGATGTTGATCTGCAAGGCTGCGATGACCCACCTCACCCCCAGTGAAGGTGTGCAAGCAGCAACTGTGGCTGATACTATCTGCCGCACGGGAATAAGGCCAGGGCACCCTTTCCGGTACTGAGTCACTCCCCACCAAACCAAGTTGCACTAACAATTCTCACAAAGCCCCTCTGATTGACAAACAACAGTCACAGGTTCTGAGCCTGATATTCTTTTTCACTGTTGACTTCTCACTAAGTAACAGCAGAAATGGCAAACTCGAAGTGCGTTTCAGGAACCCTGTATCTGCCTAGTACATGTATCTAATTGTGTTCAAGATTCGAGTATGTCCGTAACTTCGAGACGACAGATCCTTTGATGCCCAGCACATGGATTGTGGTTCGCATCGATGGCAGAGGCTTCACAAAGTATAGACGAGCCTACTAAACGATGTGACCTTAACTGACTGTGCTAAGAATGTGTGCCAAGTACGGCTTTGAGAAGCCGAACGATCGTCGAGCTTTAGATCTCATGAATGCTGCTGCTAAGCAAATTGTGACTGAACTACCAGACATCATGATCGCATACGGCATCAGTGATGAGTATAGGTCCGTTGAACTGAGCCTTTCCAGAATTCCAGTATTGACGTTACTGTTAGCTTCGTCTTTCACAAATCATGCACCCTGTTCGAACGAAGAGCTAGGTACAGAAGTCTTCCATCCTGGAGTCGACTCTCGACTTACCATGTCACAGTAAACTAGTCAGCACAGTCGTGTCGACATTCACTGCTTACTATGTGCACTATTGGTCTACATACTTCCCGGATACCCCCCTATCTCCCCCATTGCCGTCTTTTGACGGGAGAGCAGTGTGCTACCCCAGTGTACAAATCCTCCGGGATTACATGAGCTGGCGACAAGCAGATTGTAAGTGCTCCATAGTGTTCGGAGTCTAATAACGATGCTAACAAGCAAGGCCATATCAACAACCTTTACAACACAAGTTTCTGGTCACTGATCCAGATCAAGGGTCTTGACAACAAAGAGGCTGAAAAGAGGCTTGCTGTAAGTCATGAATGCTGCTGGACCGAGAGTTCACTGACAGTATGAAAGGGTACACTCGCAAAAGACAAGAATGAGATCCTCTTCTCAGAATGTTCCATCAACTACAACAACGAGCCGGAGATGTACAAGAAGGGCAGTGTCATCTTCCGCGATGTATGTACTCCTTTCCTCCTTTATAAACACGCACTAATTGAAACAGTACGAGCTTGTCGAGCCCAGCTCTCACAACATCACAGAGACTATTGACTCTCAAGCAGAGCCAGCCCAGCAATCCAAGACGCAACGGGAGAAGGACAAGAAGAGCCGCGCAAAGGCTCGCGTGGTGATAGAACACGTGGACATTATCAAGGACGACTTTTGGGACCGAAGACCATGGCTTCTCTCAAACAAGCCAGGAAAGATTCCAAAACAGACGTAAAAATATACATCTATGGGGTATCATCCATAAAAGATTCCTGTTTTAAACCTCAACTCCGTGAATATGCAATTCGCTTTATATGCCATTAAACTCCCGCTTTTTCGTATTCCTCTATTTTCCAGCTTCCTTTGCTCTTTGTCTTCTCTTTTCTTCCTTCTTTGCACGTCGCCGTCGCTTCTCCTCGTCTGCGTCGCTAGATTCGGCCGATGACTTGGATGATTTGGATGATTTCTTTGCCTTCTTGAGTTCTCGACGCGCAGACTTTGCAGCTCTCTTTTCAGCACGTGCTTCCTTGCGCTGTTTCTTTGCTTCTTTTCGGGCTCGCTTCTCTTCCTTGGTTTCTTTTCGAGGCTTCTCCTTGTCAGACTTGCTCGAGTCTTTCTGGTTGCTTGAATCCGTTTCCGACGAGTCTGCGCTCGAGTCATTGATGTTGAGCCTGTCTATTGTTCCTTCGAGGAATCCTCCTCGGACAAAAGTCGAATAGACAGAGTATTTTCCAAGGTTCTTCTCAATAACGTTGAGCTTGCCGGTGGTGATGGTCTGTATCACCTTTCCCTTCTTAGAAGTGTCGATACCCTTAAGTTGCTCGTCGAATGCGTTCATCCACCATTGATCACTGGTGAAGTGTTGTTTTTGACCCAGGCCTTTGGTATTGTCTTTGCGATTCAGAAGTAGAGGTTTCGCGAGTCCGATCGAGTCGTCGGTCTTGTGGAGGGAGTGGCCGGTACCTCGCCATCCTTGAGAGGAGAGTAGCGCATGTGCGTCCATCGTATCGGTATTTATAAGGCCTTTCGGTGACCAGATTGGGAGTTGTCTTGGTCTCAGACTCGTTAAATAAAGATCTAGACGAAGGCTGAAATGTTGGGGAACATGGACGATTTGAGAGTTGCGACTGGGAATTTTTTTAGCGGGGCTGGCTTATCGGACCCTTGGTAGTCTTATCGAGTCTGTGTCCACTTTTACTCTTACTACCCTGGAGTCAAGCATCACGATATATGCGATGAGAACCACTTATACCTCTGGATTTATCACAATTGTATTGCTGAGGAAGGGTGTACAGTACAATCTGAAGCTTGTAAATCTGCCTGGATATTCATCCGATAATTTTAAAGTTCTCATTCACATCGTCACTGCCTGAAAGATGGAAGATGCAGCTGATATTGTCGAACCCTTCAGATCGTTTCCATGTCTTGACATGATGCAAGGATGTTGAACTTCTTCCCCTTTGCCTTTACGAATGCTATTACGAGTAATCTAGTCTCGGAAGTTGGAGCTTAGGTATGCGTTTTGATGCCTATTATCTCATAGAGACTGCACCTTGAAACTACTAAGGGCAACGCATTCAGTAAGGCTGGCCTTTGGTTCCTGGCCCATGTGTCAATGACGTTGGATCTGCAAGCCTCCAGCGATCAGATGGAGCTTAAGGCGCCACAACCATTTTAAAAAGACAGCATCTTAAGCCATTTATTAAAAGGCGTTCCTGGAAGATTCAGTTTCCATCTCAATTTACTCATTACTCTCATTGTCGCAGTCCTATTATTGTGCTGCACGTGACAGAGGCTGAGCAATCCTTCGGTGGTTACCTCATAGGTACGTTGAACCAACCGCCAGCAACGGTCCACTTGTACCTTACACCAAGGCCTCAGCTCGTTTCAGCTCAGCCTACGAGTTAGGATCCTCACTACAACCAACAGCACAGCACGGCCAGGCCACATATATAGCCTGCCTAAGGCCAGACTGGTTCTGCACTTGAAGGCCCAGCTTGGGGCTAGGACCCCTCTTGACATCACAGGTCCATTCCTGCTATAAGACCAACAGGCCCCCACTAGGCAGACTTACAGGAGCTATCCAAACAACATCGCTATCTGCGATTTCGTTTTGTCCATCAATATGGCGCCAACATGTTCTGACCCTCGTCAGATCGTTATCACTCTCAATCCCGCGCGGCGTCAAGCCCTCTTGCAGCTCGTGGATGAGATCACTTCTTACATGATTGATCAGCTCCAGGCATTTGACGATGACTTGGGTCCTGTTCTATCAACTCCTCGAGATGAGAGTGGGGCTTCGACACCCAGGGACGAAGGGAGATCTTCAACACCTAAGAACGAAGACTTCTACAAGAAGGCTCAAGAGCAGCAGCAGCCAAACAAGCCGTCAGCGCAGGCATTGCGTATCCAAAAGGCTGCGATCAAGCACATGAAAGGATGGAAGAAGGAATTCATGCCAAAACTTGAAGAGATTGTTCGTGTTAAGGATGATCATAAAATCCAAGATGAGAGACGCAAGCACCAAGAAGCTGCCGAGAAGAAGAAGCTTAGTACCCCAGAAGAGGGTGAAGATCTTATGAGTTTTGGCGAGGTCAAGGTCGACAAATCTGCAGATCTTGCTTCTCTCCAATCTCTGTACCACCCAGTTCCAACCAGACTGACAACCATCCCTGCGGCTGATAGACGTGAGGCTGTCTCATGTATCCTGCTGCTCCTTCTATCTACGGGCAAGTACTCTGCCCATACTCGAGCTCTGGCGCTGTACCTCGCTTCATCCTTGGAGCTGTCCCAGACTTTCATCATCAAGGAGGAGATAGAAATTGCGAAGACTCTCTTGGAATCCTCCAAGGACAAAGACAAGCAGCAGGAGGTTATGTCTGCTGAAGCTGAAGCAGCCAAGCGTCGAGAGGAAAACAAAGTTAGTCGGTTCTGGAAAGTTGGTCTTGCGTCCGTCGCGGGAGCAGCCGTTATTGGCGTCACTGGTGGTTTGGCAGCTCCTCTAGTTGCAGGTGCTGTTGGAAGTGTTCTTGGTGGTGTCGGTTTGGGAGGTGTTGCGAGTTTCCTTGGTATCTTTTGGATGAACGGTGCCCTTGTAGGTGCTCTATTCGGTGCCTACGGTGGTAAAATGACGGTATGTGATCTTGAATCTTCCTCTTTACACAAGCTAACATGAACCAGGGCGAAATGGTGGACAAGTACGCAAAAGAAGTTGAAGACTTTAGCTTCATCCCTCTCAAGGGAGAATGGGGCGAAATATTCAACGCCGAACAGGACCAAGCACAAGCACAAGAGCGGCGTTTACGAGTTACAATTGGTATCAACGGCTGGCTACGCGATGAGGATGATGTTACTAAACCCTGGCGTATTCTCAGTGACGACTCTGAGGTCTTTGCCCTTCGTTACGAAATGAAGTCTCTCATCGCTCTTGGACACGCACTACGAAACATGGTTGAATCTTTCGCCTGGAAAAAGCTCAAAATGGAGGTGCTCAAGCGTACCGTCTTCGCTACACTTCTTGCTGCACTTTGGCCTATCCAGTTACTCGCCGCTGCCTCTAACGTCGACAACCCCTTTGGTCACGCTCACAACCGATCTCGAAAGGCAGGACAACTACTCGCTGATGCTCTTATCAACAAGGTCCAAGGAGAACGCCCTGTAACACTGGTCGGTTATTCTCTGGGCGCTACCGCCATTCATGCTTGCTTACAGTCCCTCGCCGAGCGACATGCCTTTGGTCTTATTGATTCTGTTGTCATCATCGGTGCTCCCGCTCCTTCGGCTCCTCCTCACTGGCGAACTCTCCGCACCGTTGTCTCTGGAAAGATTTTCAACGTTTTCTCAGAGAATGACTTGATTCTTGGTTTTGTCTACCGTGCTCATAGTCTCTCCATGGGCGTCTCTGGCCTGCAAGGAATTCAGGAAGTTGACGGCATCCAGAACCTGGACTTGAGTGACACTGTCAGTGGACATCTTCGATACCCCGACCTTATTGGCGAGATTCTCAACAAGTGTGGATTTGTTGGTATCAAGGCTACATCCGAGATCGAGAAGGATGAGCTCATTCTTATGAAGGACCGCCATGCTGAGGGTGAATTGATCGACTTTGAAGGTACCTCGATGGAGGGACAGGACAAGCCCCAGTCACCCAGCCAAGAGCAGATTGAGAAGGATCTCCATGGACTTAATATTTCCCCTCCGGCTCTTGTATCACCTTCTCAAACTCCGGGTCAAGAGAAGCAGGAGAAGGCTCCTGTATCTGAAAACCCACCTCTTCCCCGACGACCTGTCGGTCAGGACAAGGAGGAAGCGCCACAACTTCCTCGAAGGCCTGTCGCTAGCGAGGCCCAGTCAGGAGCAGGCAGCGATGAGGTTACACCACCGTTGCCTCGACGTCCTACCGAACCCCAGCAAGGAGAGAAGCCTGCCATTCCTCGCCGACCCGTTGGAGCTGGCCAGGAGTCGAACCCTTCTTCAACAAGACGTCCCATTGAGTCTTCTCATGACACCCACCAGCAACGACCCTTTACACCTGAGTCAAATGTTACGGACGACGAGGAGTATACTCATATTGCCATGGTGAGCTATGATAGTGACCACAGTACTAAATAAGCGGCTATCGACAGTCTGTTTCGGCTTACGAATGACTTGTATGGGCATAGAAATGTAGATGGGATGACAAGGGCTTTACAGAACAGATATTGAGATCCATACATCGATATGCAGATCTCGATAAATTGCAGGACTCTTCTTCACGCTGCTGTTTGACTATACAATGGCTTACTGTAGACAAACATGATGGATCAATACCAGCAACCATTGTGCTTACACCGCATGTCCGAGTGCTCGTACCGTATTCACGTTCGATAGAAACCATTTACTTTGACTCATATCCACTCTTCAGCTGATAAGTTGCTCGATATGAAGCTGAGGTTCCAATATTCATACGAAACAACAGAACAGGATTTGAAATCTCGCCCTAGAAATAGAGGCCATGGCAATACAATTGATTGTTGAAACTACTCGAACTTCAAGTATTCAGTCTTTCTACCGTGAAGTTGTACAAACACCATGCTTGCTCATCTGCCTGACAGAATGGCGCCGTGGCTCGCTAGTGCTTAAGCTATCCCTGCTAGTTCCAGGCCCCAACCACCCAGGGATCGCACTACTAAAGTATCACTCTCCATCACATTCAGGTCCAGGTCGCCCGCTCGATCTGAGAAAACTAGCTTAGCGCTGGGGCTACCGCGTTCTACTTAACGCGTCGTTCGTGCTTTTAAACTAACCTTCACTAACCCCTTGGTCTTGCATCACCACTTTACTACTCCAAAATTCTCATGTAAATCTCCCTTCTGCTCATTATACTATTGCATTGAGTCTTTACGACCTATCTTGATATTCTCAATATCAATTGATTCCTCAAACGCTTTCACTTCAGCCCAGAATTCTTCCTGCACGAGCTCTCGTCGCAAGAGTCCCTCCCTCGTATCGAGGGCTTAGCGTGCACTCTTCCCTTCGTCTCCACGCACGATTCTTCGCCATGTCAGCGCTCAAACGCAAGGCCGGTGCCGCAGCGGGCAACGACTCGAAGAAACCCAAAGCGGATGGTAACATTGCTTCGTTCTTTGGTGCAGCTCCCAAGCCTGCTGTTGGTACTGCTTGTACGCCTGCGCCGGTCGCCAAGTTTGACAAGGCCAAGTGGGTGGCTTCTCTGAAGCCTGAGCAGAAGGAGCTTTTGCAACTCGAGATCGATACCCTTGATGACAGTTGGCTGGGACACTTGAAGGATGAGCTTGTGTCCAAGGAGTTTCTTGACTTGAAGCGATTCTTGGATCGCGAGATGAATTCTAGTCGAAAGATCTTTCCTCCGAGGGAGGATATTTACTCATGGTAAGCTTTCAATTCATATGCCATTGACCTTGCAGTATATCTAATTCGTGCTTCTTAGGTCCCGTCATACTCCCTTTAACAATGTTAAAGTCGTCATCGTCGGCCAAGATCCCTACCACAACGACAACCAAGCCCACGGACTAGCATTCTCCGTTCGCCCTCCGACTCCTGCGCCGCCTTCTCTCAAGAACATGTACATTGCTCTCAAGAAGGACTACCCCACGTTCGAGCCACCGCCAAACCGCGGAGGTCTCCTCACTCCTTGGGCAGACCGCGGCGTCCTCATGTTGAACACTTGCCTCACAGTCCGAGCTCACGAGGCCAACTCCCACTCTAACAGAGGTTGGGAACGTCTCACGCAAAAGGTCATCGACATTGTTGCCCAGAAGAGGACAAGGGGTGTCGTCTTCATGGCCTGGGGAACACCGGCTGGCAAGCGCGTGCAAAAGATCGATCGTGTCAAGCATCTCGTCCTACAGAGCGTCCACCCTAGTCCCCTCAGTGCTTCCCGCGGCTTCTTCGATTGCAATCATTTCAAGAAGGCCAATGACTGGCTAGTACAGCGATACGGACCCGATGGCGAGATCGACTGGGCTCTAGGGCCCGGTGCATCCACCAAGGCTCCCGTCAAGGAGTCTGATGAGAAAGAGGCCAAGGCAGCCGAGAAGAAGGCTGATGCCATTGAGAAGGCCAAGCCCGAGGTTGCCAAGAAGGTAGAAGAGAACAAGGAGAACGACGCTGACTACGACGAGGATGAGGAAGCTCTGGAAGAGGCCCTCAGATTAGCCGAGGAAGAGGAGAACGGAAAGAAAAAGTAAGGCTGTCGTTGTAATTGGCTTGTTTAAGGTTTTCAATACTGGCGTGTACGTATTATGACGGCGTTCAAACACTGAGGATAGGATAAGGGTACTGGTGTAAGGTATGAAAGGATATATGGATATGACTTTCTAGTCAGGGTACAATGAAGGATCCTCGGGAATCTATGCATATGGATTATGGTATAATGAGTCTCGGCGAGCGAAAACAAAATAAAAAATGAGTATGATGTTGAAATACTGGTACAGCCCCAGATTCTTTCCGTGACAACATTCGATGTAGACGGGCACGCCACAAGCAACCAAGGCAACTCAATGTGTTTCAGGGACCAGAGTGATTATGGTTACATCGATCGTAGAAGAATGATAGCCCAAATCAGATATAGAAGTATAAAGAACATCGGACGACAGAGCTTATGAGAGAACACTTCGATCGAATAAACACATACTTAATTACAGGATTTTATAGCAATTGGAAGGCCCATCCAGCCCTCTCAGCCTTCCGTTCTTCCCCTATAACTATCAAGATCCGCACTGCCCTTCCTCTGGCTGCATCCCTAGTGGTATCATATATCAAGCAAAGAAAATAAAAACATGGGATATCAAATAACACCCGAGGAAATGAAGAAACAAATCAGCGTTGGCTGCTGGTATTAGGCGTGTGCAGGGCTTGCAAAATGTGTCTCGTAGATGTGTCACGTCGTCGCGAGGTCATGTAAGGGGCAAGACGTCGTTCGTGTCAGTAAGTCAAGGCTTGAGTTGACCACAAGCTTCTTAGTAACGAGTGTTCTGGGGCTGGGGTCCATTTGTGCCCTCCATGTTGTTCGTCAACTCGGCGACACGAGCCTTGATTCGGGCGACACGAGATTCAATGGCTGGATACGTGTTAGTGTTTCTAGTTATCTTCAAGGGGTTTCGCATGGACTTACTCTCTTCCCCACTTGTATCATCGTCATTGTCTCCAGTCCTGTTGCTGTGACTGTAGGTTGGCCTCAACTGCTCATCAGGACGTGTAGCAGCTCTTTCGGCAGCGTTCTTTCGAATCTGGGCCCATCGGTCTTGAACACCTGGGCCTGCGCTGTGACTCAACTTCTCCTCAGACTGGGATGGACCTCCGATTTGAGGAGAGTGGCGAGGAGATCGTGGAATAGGGGGAGGCGTGGCGTCGTCCTCGTCATCCGAATCGGGAGCAAAGGCTGGTTGTTCCTCAAGGGGACCCTGGTTGAACCGAGGGACAGAGTTCTGAGCAGGAGAGTCCTTAGCACCCATAGGAATCTGTGACTGGTCCATGGTGGGCTCAATAATCTCAGGGTTCTTCTGAGGCGTGTCGACACGCTCAATAGGCTCCTCCATAGGTGTTACAAACTCAGCGGCAGGCGTAGGGGCCTCAGGGGTCTCCTCAGGTTGGACCTTCTGAGCAGGAGCCATCTGCTCAGGTGTGTCTGCCGGAGTAGGAGTCTGTTGAGGTGGCTCTGGAGTTGCTTGGTTCTGGCGAAGGAAGGCATGAACATTCGCAGCAGCATCGTCTGGCACCTTGGAGCTTCTGTTCTTACGGAAGAGCTTACGGAAACCACGGTTTTCCTTTTCTGCCTTCTGAAGTTTCTTCTTCTTCTTGTTCTCAGGGCTTGATGGGGTGGGCGAGACCATGCCTTCACGAGAAACATCTTGGATAGGTTCATCGTCCTTAGGAGGTGGCATAGGGCTCATAGGGCTGACAGGCCTTTGTGGCTCAGGCACATGCTCATGAGCAGGTTCGGGGGCGGTCTCTTGGACAGGAACGGGAGGAGGCGCCTGGGCAGGCTCTGGCGCAGCTTGTTCGGGCGCAGCAGCAGTGGGCAGCTCCGGCTGAGGAACTGGTTTGCGGAGCACCTCACTGGGAGCATGGGAGGAAAATGTGGGGGAGGTAATAGGTGATACCACATCCTTAACGGGCACCTGTGGAGGTTGCTCCTGAGCCTGTACGCCATTGTGGGAAGCAGCATCGTTCATACTCTCAGAGGGAATGGGCGATACCATGTTTCCACGGCCAGCATTGTTGTTGGCAAGGTAAAAATCCTTAATTGTTCCCTTGTCATACTTGGATACCCATTTCAATGCTGATGAAGCCTCGCCGATGATGGTGGGCTGAAGGGTTAGAACACTGTTAGTCTTTTCCGCCATAAGCTCAGCATCTGTTCGACCACGACGTTGGTACAAGGGCTGCGAGGCCAGTTTCTTCTCCTGTTGCTCCTGTGCACGAAGCTGGGCAGCCTTGGCTTGGATTCGGGCATGAGTATCAGGACCAATGCTGGTCTTGCTGGTGCCTTGGCCTATGTTGTCAACTGATTTGTTGGCTGTCGACTTTCGGCGACCAAGGCCTTTTCCACGCTTCGTCCAGCTGAAGAATCCCTTCTTCTCTGCAATGTAAGCGCCCTCCTGGGGCTCAGGTGCTGCGCCGGCCACCATTTCCTCCATTACTAGCCAGCGACCACTAGTAATCTTGGTCTCGATAACAGCGCATCGACCAAAGGCAGATTTACGCTCTGCAGTCTCTTCGGGAGCAAGACTGGCCATCCAAACCCACCAGAATGAGTCGTCGAGTGGGAGTGTTGTGATGCTTGCGAGCTCACCTGGCTCGAGAGACTGATCATGTTCAAGTCGGGGTCGGTGAGATTGGGAACTGTGCTGTCTTTGTGTTTCAAGGGGAGGTAGAACTTTGTCAGGAGGCAGAAGCAAATTCTGTCGCGCGCCTTGGTTCTCATCTACGAAACCTGCAGAGAGAAAATCAGCCCATGAGGGAGTTGTCGGTCGATCCAATCCATTGCCGGAGGCGGGTGTTCTTCTTAGAGCCGGTGGCTGTCGCTTGTAGGCCAGGGCGCTGTCATCGTCATCCTCTTCCTCATCCAAGGTAGTGGAAAAGCCAATGTCCTCAAATCTCGACCAGGATGCATCGCGCAAGCTCGTAGAATGCTTAGAGCTTGAGGCCTGTGACTGATTGGCGCCAGAGATGGCCTTAAGAACACGACGACACTCATCAGTCAAGGCCTGTACGGGATCCTCAAACTCGGAGAACTCCTGGAGCGCGCGGTCCTCATCGCGATATTGGAAGTGGTTGGCTCTTCGTAACAGAGCAAAAGGGGTTGGCGATACTGTGTCCACAATCATGACAACCTTATACGTCTTGGTCATCATAAGTTCGGGTCGTTGAGGAGGGTACTCGGTTTCTTGAAGGAGCTTCTGAAGGGATCTGGGCAGCATTGTAATACCAGTGACGTTTTGTTCAGGCGATAGAGATCGGAGGAAAGCGAAGAACATGTGGCTTGTCGCATCGGCAGCACTGATTTCTGGTTAGCCATGATAAATGGAGGTAGCAACTTTGAGGGTAGCTTACCGAAGCCAGTGGTCGTATCCCCCTTCGAACCCCTTCTTGGTATCCTTGTGCTCGAATGTCCACCATGCCGCCATTCGCGAAAGCTTTCGTCCACCGAGACCATTTGACTTTCCATGTGCTGCGACAGCTGCTAGGAGATCGAAGAAGTCGAAGATGATGCGTTGGCGGGCACCGTTCTCAACACTGATGGGAATGAAGGTCTTGAAAGAATCTCGGGCCATGTTCGAGTCTGGAGTAAATCAGCACATATGCAGCTTGTGATTGCAAATACAAGACACTTACCAACTTCTCCCACTTTGAATAGCTCGTATGCATCCCAGCCAACAATACCGCCCTGAAGCCGACTCCAACACCATTTTGCTACACCAGAAACCACCTATCATAAAGTCAGTTACTATGAGGGCCCTTCTCTGCAAATTACTTACCATAGGCTCTGTCATACGCAGCTCTTGTGTCAATTGTTCACCCCGCAGAGTGGCATGGGACTCGAAGAAATGGCGAATGAATGAGCGCACAGCACTGGGATCGGAGGTCGGACGATATGGCAATAGGAGGAATGGGTGGTCGAGGCCTAGAGTAGGACATGATAATCAGCATATTGTGCATAAAATGCCTTGTAGGAGATTTTATGTCACAGGTGGCGTACCTCGTGCCTTGAGCTCCTCCGTACAACACCGGATCAGTTCGTGAACCTCCTCAGGTTCAACGTTTGTTCGTGCCCAAGCATCTGTCCATTGTGGTTTTGTTGGTTGCTCATTTTCGGAGTCGTTTGCGCCTTTCTTCTTGGACTTGCCATCCTTGCCCTTGAGGCGAGAAAATAGGCCGGCCATAGTGGGCGATGGCTAAAAAAATAAAAAAATTATTCGAAATCGGGAATTAGAAAAGAACCGTAGCGAAATCTCATGCACGGCGAGTAGGAAAGGTGACGTCGAGTCGATTCGAAATATCTTTGAATAGGGGGGTAGTAATCTTGGAGAGAATTGGCTTAAAGGCGACTAGGTGGTATTCTGATAATTTCCCAGCTGGGTCTGCAAACGGCAAGTTTTTCTTTTGTTGGTAGCTAGCGGAGATTGAAAGAGGGAAAACTCGATCTACAGGTTCTGTTTGAGAAAGTTATCAGCATAAGAATGATGACGACGGGGTTTGTTGAAGATGCTGCACGCAAGACAATGCGAGACGTGTAAGTCAGGGAAGGTGGGCATCGGGCAGTTTTGATGCGCACCTGCGGCAGATGAGCCAAAGGTCAAAAGTTGGGTGGGTTTGGGCGACTGGACAAGATTGGTGCAGTTGCACTCGCAGTCGCAGTTAATACTGGACTGTCGTATAGGTACCTGGTCAGGGACCCTTTTTTCCCCTCTGCAGATATTGGGTTTTTCTGGAAAAAGTATTTCTAAACTTACTGGGTATCGAAACGAGAGAAGACAAAAAGTACAAGTACTGTAAAGGAGGGGCTCTAAACCAGGGGGTTCAAAGAGAAGAGATGAAAATAGAAGGTAGAAAGAAAAGATAGAATCATGGAAAGAGGAGAAAGACAGATCGAGTGGGAAAGTGAGTCTCCATATGAGAGGAAGACAAGCAACGAGAGGGTGACAGTGGGAATGGGGGACCGCGCTTTCAGGGGCGACGGGGATGCGCGACCAGGTTCATCATTCATCCAGTGTTGGTAGCGAGAGGTACGTATCAGAGGAAATAGCGAGAGGAAAAAGCAGAAAAGCACTAATACCTAAGATTGGGAACTGGGCTGGGCTTCTTCACGCCAGACAGGGCTGGACTGGCCGGGTTGGGGCGAAGTGATAATAACATTGCCCAGAGCAGAGCATGAAAATGACATGGGCCTAGTATCTAAAAGAGATGATTTAGGAGAGGGGCTGTTACTTCGTTTGATGAGTGCATAAGATAAGATAGACAAAAGTAACCATAGATCCAATATGAGACATCTACAGATCCGTTCAGTAGATCTTCTTCATTCGGCTCGTTAGCTGAGTCAAGTCTTCGACTACAAGACCTATTGTCACAACGGTGATGCTGTACAACAAGAGAGACTCAGGGACAGGACACCAAGTGTATCCGTCAAGGTATCACAGCAGCTGTGCGCTGTAACTTGACTGCCATGCATGAGGCTGAGAATCATGATGCACAACTCTCTAGTTTACGCCAGTCACAGCCAAGCAGGTGCAGGCCCTCTCTAAAAGGGTCCCTCGACAAGAAATGATGAGAGTCACAGAAAGAAGCACACCAGTGATAACCATTGGATCAGCTGGCACTAGCAGACGGGATTGAGCCGTTGCACAGGGTCAAGGCTTCATTAGACGAGTGGAGCTTAACGTTCCTTAAAGTTCTGGTTTTTAATTACATCGAGCGAGCGGGCTGACCGTGTGTAATTAATTATTGGATGGCCTCACAGGTACCGACAAGTCATGTAGCTCCCAATTTGTTTTCTACATGTGATCAATGGCTTGCAGAAGTCTGTGATGAACATTGCAGATATAGAGTTGTCGATCTCGTAAACTACGATAATGAGCAAATGATAGATATAAATCAAAAAGCCTTCGCTTACAGTGGAGGTCAACTAAGCTTCATCAACCAGGTCCCAAACTCGGGATGATGGACAGGGGTAATTACCGCCAAAGCCCCTACAAGCGTGGCCATCTTGGCGCCATGGTTGGACGCCAAATTATAATGGGCGTTTTAGCTTACCATGATTTCAAGCTCTCCAAGATGACCACAGCCAGCGATTACTTGTTTAATTCCGCTTCAGTACAAAGTCATTACCAGCCGCTCGACGCCAATGTTTCGCGATTTCAGTGCCTAAAGGAACCAAACCCTTAAGGCCTGTCAAAAACAAAAACGTTAAAGCCACAGCCGTCTGCAACATTCCCTGTCAATATCACCGTTCATATTAAGCAGTCTTCAGCCTACCAACACCATGCTCCACGTCACGGGCGGCGATTTCTGTCCTTTCACTCTTTGAATCCCCGCTTTCAGCCGGTCAAGTTACTCTTTTGTACTCCAGCTCGTGGATGAGCTGATCGTATTCATCTGGGATACTCCATGCCTCGCCAGGAACACCCGTTCCGTTCAGACTACCCAACGCCATATCTCAAATGACGAACATGAAACTGTTTCCAGCCCTGAAGTGTCCAAATATAGCCGCTCATCCGCGATGGCTTTCTGCAATTGCTATCCAATCGCTGCATGCTGTACCGGTAGCTCGGGCGTCGTGGATGTGAGTTGGCATGGACAGCGCATCTTCATCCCACCCTCTCGCAGCAAAGTCCCTGTCCTTGCAGGGCCTTTGTGAGTGGTCTTCTTATAACTAAAATCTGCTAAAAAGATTTTCAGATCGCCGCGATGAGTTGGCAATGCGATTCTGCTCAACATGGATGACGCAAGATAGCAAGGCGAACTTGTAGGACATATATTGATGTGCTGTTTAGAGCGAAGATTTGCGAAGGTGAGGCTCTGCCATTGACTGTCTGCTGGCTTGTGCCGACAGTTAGGCGACGGGTGAATAGGACTAATTCGGTAGTGCGTTGGATCTTCGAGAACAATATGGAAAACGAGGCACGCCGTCTCAGATATACTACATATCCATCCATACCCTTGCTGTACAGATTCATCCATAATGGAGAGAATGCAAAGCATATGTAAGTCAATGTAGGGCCTGTTGAATGCAATTCAACCACCATAATACTACATTGTACTCAGTATTTTATCCTTCACATATACAAGAATCCTACTTTTCTCGTAGTGGAACTTTAGGTTTCACTTACTCACTACCCTTACCTACTTCGCAGAGAATCTCATCAACACCAGTGATAATTCCAGTCGTAGCACCAAGAGTCTACATCAAGAATACCCAGAACTTGGTCTCATCCCTTTTCTTATCAACAAAGGCACTGAAGAACAAGACTAAACCACTCGAATCACCCTCATCAACTTCATAGCGGATATTGAATTACTTCGAACTGTAATATTGCACTCATGTAATCGTTGTTATAGTAAACGGATGTCAGTAAGTTAAAAGTTCGAGATTTAAACCCACAAGAGGCGGTTTCTTTTTATTGTGAAATTACCCGACAGTTTCGCAAGTATGTAGGCTGTTAATATCATAACCGAAGCTCTTAACACGTGCTAGTCTATCAAAGTTATGCCTTGTAATGTTAACAACCAAATTCTATTTCGGTAACTCGGGGATACCAGCATGGAGTCTACACAATAGCTACAATTCTACGTATGCTGTCAACTACGCTCGATCAGTGCCATAAAAGAAAAGACCCAACGCATGATAAAGTTGGTCTTATGCCCTTACTACTATTGCCTTACAATACAAATGCTCAAGGTCGATCATAAGATACTCATTTGCGTTTAAGATGGTAAGTACTTCATGATTCCGTTTGGACTTCAACTTGGTTTCAGTTCATGACTGTGCGCTTATGGCTGCTATAGCCAAGTGATATAATAAATACCGGCCAAAATTGAGGTCAATCAGTCAATATGTTCTCTGATGTCTCATCATGGCACATGCAAGTATTGGGTTGGTTTCGGTTCCTGGCTAGAGAATGCTGACTCAGCCATGCAGCTCTACTTGCGCCTTCCCCCTTCAGGTTAGCTGCGGGACCCAACTCGCATTACCTCATTCGACCTTCCAACTCAACTGGACAGCTGGTAACTCTTTAACACTGTTGATTCGCATCTACATACTACTCTGTAGTATAGCCATGCTCTACATCAAAATTGGTTTATTAGGCACATAGCAGCTGCCAAAGATGCGACAATCATTCGTTTGGGTCCTCCGTTAGTCCACCATCTCGCATCTCGCTGGTACACGCGACAGCTGGTAACTAAGCTTACTGACCTCTCTATTAGTGCTCTGGCAGGCGACCTCAGGACTCTGTACCAACGTTAAACATTATCAGGAAACATATAATGACCAAAATCTGCAAGGAAATGGCCAAAACCAACATGTTGCCTCCCCAAAGACTGATGTGGCTGTTGACCAAGGCCATCATACTGGCCCGCAGCACGGTACGATTAATCTCACCAACATCGACAGAAGCGCAAAGATATTGACAATTGATAGGAGCAGAGCTGGTTGATGCTGCAAGAATAGAGCTTGCTAAAGCTCCCCAACCTTTACATCGTCGAAAGCGAAGACCTTCAGGTCTTGTAGGAACCGTTCTGCGTTACGTGTTGAAGGCTATCCCATCTAGCCCCGTAACCGCCCCATCGCAATCGCATGAGACACCTGTTGATGGCGCCGTGTCAAACGCGGTTGAACTTCTCGAGCAGGCAGCACGACAAAACAACTCCGACGCCCTCTACCTTCTTGCCGAGATCAATTTCTTCGGCAACTACAGTCATCCGAGAAACCTCGAAGTGGCGTTCAACAACTACCATCAACTTGCCAGTGTATACGGAAATACGACAGCTCAGTACATGCTCGGAGTATACTATTCTACAGGAGTCGGCAATGTAGTAGAGCGCGATCAAGCCAAGGCCCTACTTTACTACACCTTTGCTGCTGTTCGCGGCGATGCTCGGGCTCAAATGGCAACGGGTTTCAGACATCATGCCGGCATTGGGACAACCAAGAACTGTGAGACAGCAGTGAAATACTACAAAGGCGTTGCAGATAAAGCTATAACTTGGTATCGGGCGGGACCTCCTGGCGGTCGATCCTGGGTTCACCAGTCATGGCGAATTTCCGATAACCACGGAGGCATTTATGGAGAAGGTGCAAGTGCATCCAGCTCTGGTATGAACGCTTTCAAGCACAGCCCTGGCTCCGATGCCAATGCCGCCATAGACGATGTGATCGAATATCTGGACTTGATGTCTCAGAAGGGAGACTCCAAAGCTTCCTACAATCTGGGTCGCATATATTACGATGGTCAACGTGGCCTGGAGCGGGACGTCGAACTTGCCAAAAAATACTTTATTCTGGTAGCATCTCGATATTGGACTAAGGATGGACGTAACCGTGAGAGCCACAAACAAGGCGTCGAAAAGATCGCAGCCAAGGCAGCTGGATATCTTGGCCGTATGCATCTCAGGGGAGATGGTGTGCCACAGAACTTCGAAAAAGCAAAACTGTGGTTTGAGCGCGGTGTCATGTATCAAGATGCTCAGTCCCAACATGGCCTTGGTCTGATGATGCTGCACGGCTATGGAATGAAGGAGAATGTGAAGAGAGCAATGGATCTCTTCAAGTCTTCTGCTGACCAAGATTATGCCCCGGCTCTGGTACAGATGGGTCAGCTCTATCTTGACCAGGGTGGCCAGGAAGACGTTAGGATTGCCAACAACTATTTCGAACTTGCCGGAAGACACGGCAATATCGAGGCACATTACTACGTTGCAGAGATGATCCACCATGGTGTCGGAAGAGAGAAGGTCTGCGGTGCTTCACTGACCTATTACAAGAGCGTTGCCGAGAAAGCAGAGCCCCTGGTGTCCTCATGGGCTGACGCAAACGCTGCATACGAGGCCGGTGATTACGAACTTGCATTCCTTGAGTACCTTTTGGCCGCCGAGCAAGGCTACGAAAAGGCGCAAACCAATGTGGCATACATGTTGGACACGGTCCGAAACAAAATTTCGCTGTCGGCGCTGCTTGGGAAGCCTCTAGAGAAGAGCAAGCTCCTCCAGAACCCAACTCTGGCTCTTATTTACTGGACGCGATCATCGAGACAATCAAACGTTGATGCCTTGGTCAAGATGGGCGACTATTACTACCATGGCATTGGTGCTGAAGAGGACATATCAAAGGCTGTTCAGTGCTACACCGGGGCATCCGACTACTCCCAGAGCGCACAGGCGTTGTTTAACCTTGCATGGATGCATGAGAATGGCATTGGTTTGGTTCAGGATTTCCATCTGGCTAAGAGATACTACGATCATGCCTTGGAGGTGAACGAGGAGGCATACTTGCCAGTGACTCTAAGCCTTCTGAAGCTTCGTGCTAGAAGCGCCTGGAACACACTGACACACGGGCCTATCCACTCCATCCAAGACGAGCCCAGTAAGCCTTTCATCTTTCATGTCTATGATTTATGTACTAACATCATCTCCAGAGCCAAAGAAAGACAGGTCATTCTCGGAATGGATCGCGAACTTCTTGCAAACCGAGGGTCAGGTCTTTGACGATGAATATTATGACGGAGGCGACTTATACGACGGTGCTCTCGGCGATGGTCAGAACAGCGACGATGATGGTGTCGTGGAAAGCATTCTGATCATAGGTATCACCTTTTCGCTTGTGTTCCTTCTGTGGTGGCGACAGCGGCTTCAGCAGGCCCATCAACAAGCAGAGGACGCTCGAAGAAGAGAACAGGGGCTTCCTCCTAATCCTCGAGCGGAAGCACCGGGTGCCGACTTCGGCTGGGGAGCTGCGGGGGGAGTAGTTTTGTAGATATCGAAACTAGCGGGTATTTGTTTCTCTCATTGATAGCATTGGAGCGAAGGCGTCATTGGATTGATTATAGAAGAATAACTACAGCTTCAACATATGCATTATACGTATGTCCCTGTTCGTTGTTTGGAGTCTCATGTTAATGTGAAGCGTCCATGACCCTTAACACGGAGGTGAATGTGCCGGGAAATCTTTATGATTCCTTCTATGACTTTGTCTATCCTTTGTTGGTTAAGTAGCTTAACCTGGTATTTTATCTTTACCGCCCAAGTGTGTTAATCTGTGCTATCATGTAGCATATCCTTGTCAAACCCCCAATCATTAAATCATGACCATGGAGAAGAGTTGGCATTCTCTACTCCCTATCTAACCAGTGCTTCCGAAACCACCAGCACCTCGAACACTCTCCTCGAGCTCCTGGACCTCAACAACCTCGGGTGTGTAGATGCGCTCGAGGATCAATTGAGCAATGCGGTCACCCTCCTTGATCTCAAAGTCGGACTCGTTGTGGTTGAAGAGAAGAACCTTGACCTGGCCACGGTAATCGGCATCGATAACACCAGCGCCGGTGTCGATGAAGTGCTTGGAAGCCAGACCTGATCGGGGAGCGATACGACCATCTAGAAAACACTTTGTTAGACCGCCATTCTCGTTTTCAAGCAATTGAAGATGTAAAACATACAAGTTCCAGCAGGGACAGCCATGCTAATATCAGTATCGACAAGCGCCTTTCCACGAGCAGGAATAGTTGTGTCCTTGGCAGCGTAGATATCGTATCCAGCAGCAAATTCGCTACCGCGAGTAGGAAGACGACCCTTCTCGGAGAGCTTCTTGATCTGGAGGGCTGGGGGGGCTTCCATTGTGGCGGCGGTCTTGGCTCGTTTGGCGGGAGGAGAAGAGATGGCTGAGTTATCGGGGACGAGAGTTTCGGAAGTCATTGTTTTGTAGAAAAGAGAATTGAAGAAAGGAAGAAATAAAGAATATGGAGACTGGAGGTGAAGTAGTAGGTTGCTATAGTAGCTGAGCTCGTTGAGGGGTGGGGCCTAGCTCAGCTAGTTGCCATAATTAGATGGATACTCTAATACTGTATAAGCGGCAGGATATATCAATTGAGACATTGACACTCTTCGCAGAATGAATTCAATATCTACTATGTATATGCCAATCAAAGACCAGAAGTTCAACGATAACTCTCTTGGACCAACACTCCAATGAGAACAAGCTTAACAAGACACAAGGCTATAACTTCTCTCTAACCAAAGTTCCGAGCATATGCTATGTACAGAGCATGTAGATCTAAATCAAATACTCAGCTAGCCTCAGATAGCCTTAGATAGCAATTGCATGGTTGGAACTCAATGTTATGCTTATCCTAGCTTCTCCTTTCCCATCATGCAGCATCATTGGAAAATGGCATTCGGATATGCGAAATAGTAAGCTGAGGCGCCGCCTCTTTGCAGGCACTTCTGCCAACCAAGTAACGATGACCTCTTACAAAAAGAAAGAGGGTGGTATACATGTCGGTTTCAGTGGTTTGTCTTGGGCTCGTAGCCGCTGAACGTACCACCAACCCTGCCACCCCTGGCCTGTGAAACGAGAGTAACGTAACCTGTCGCAAAGATCGTCGCGGCAAAAGACTCGGGGCATCAGAAAACTTGGCTGCTTAAATTATAGGAAACAAAAATAGTAGATCAGTCTGTGCAGCCTGAGCTCGGCTCTTGGGGTCGTTTCTTTTTCGTACCCCGAAACTTGAAAGTCACCTTTTCTGATACCCCTGGGCCCCTCTCTCCTGTCTTTGTGCACTTTCATGCGCCTTCGCGAAGGGGAAACTGAAGAGGGAGGAAAGTCTATTTATATGTTACAATTCTTTCGATCCAAAACAAAGACCCTTTTCCCGCTGGAATTCTGCATTTATCCTATACTAATCCCTCCCTCCCTTAGCCCTTCCTTTATTTTCTGACCTCCACATACTCTCTCTTTTTTCCTGGGGGCCATTCCTTCTTGTTGATCAAGCTGACGTTTGATACCTACCTTACCTTATACCCTTTCATCCCTGCCATCCATTGGAACTTCCAGGTTGTTTACGAGTAACCGTACACTGGGGCGCCTTGGCAACTCCACTGGACCGGCAACTGAAATTCATCTGTATTTCGTTCTCGATCTATCCATTTCTACAACAACATACAACTGATTCTTGACATACGACATCTTCATCGCCAATATGGCAACTTTCGTGAGGCATGCGCTGGCGCGTAGAGAAGAGGATGAGGATACTTACACATGGGATACTTCCAACCGCGACGACGATGATGTCTACTGGTGGTATAGTAGGGTGAGTACTGATCGCATGCTTCACGGAGGCCTCGCGACTAATTAAGCCACAGGAAGGATACATTGTCAAGTGGACCATTCTCGCTGTGATAGTCCTGGCCTTTACACTCTGGATTGTTGGCGGATACTGGCATGCGAAGAAGAGGATTCAAAAGGGTTTGCGACCGTTAGCATATCATCGAGTAAGTCAAACATGTGATACAACTTCACTGAACGACCAACTGACAACCTTGCTAGTGCTTCGTTAGTAGGAACATGATGGCCCAAGTCGATCCCCGATACGCCTACCCGCCGCCGAACACATACTACTACGCTCCACCAAATGGCTACTATGGTCAGCAACAAGGCGGTTATCCCATGCAGAACATGCCTCCTCCGCCAGTCTACGATCCCTCACGACCGCCCGTGTACGAAGAACCTCCCAACGGCGCCAAGATTGATCCGTCGCAAGGGCAACAGCAGAGAGGCGTGGATGGACCTGCGGATTATTATGCTCCTCCTGCTGGGCCTCCTCCTCCGCGATGAACAATGCGACTGGCTGGCAAGGCCTAGATAGTTCGAGGGGTATGTGCATGATAGGATCAATTATTAAATTCAAACACACGTCAATAGCATGGCTGCGGCTGGTGGGAAAGTATCAAATTGAAACTCTATCAAGTGTGGTTATTTTAGCATAGAAATACAAATTATTGCATCTGGCAATTGTTACAATAAGTGCCAATCTCTCGGTGGTAATTCGACCATGACCAAACTCCAGTCGCTGTGGGTATATGTCGTTGTTCCTGTTACATCCGTTTACTGTCCTTCTAATCTAGATCCATTGCGTCTGGATCATCTGCGCCTGGTGGCATGTCATTACTCACGGTGCTGTTCTCTATTGCCGGAACCTCGATCTTCCCCTCTCTTTCTAAGCGTTGCTGTTCTCTTGCGCGCTGTCTCGATTCGATGATGGCCTTGCGCACACTATCTTTATCCTCAGGAACCGTCAAAGACTTCGGATCGCTGTAAAGAACAACCTGCATGCCTGCCAATTCACCTTCACTATTGGCCAGCACAGATGGAGGGATGCGGTTTGCGCGCAGGTGCTTTTCGATGTCAGGGAGGAAGACGAGTTTACCGGGATCATCGCTTTCGCTATCAGAGGAGAGTTCGTCGTCGATATTGTAGATGTATACTTTGTGTTTTGAATCGTCTAATTGCATAGTCTCGTCAGGAGTTGGAAGATTCGCGGGTACATTAGGAGTATTCGAGGAAGATGTAGGAACGGCCGGTATTGAAGCTGTCGGCTCTTCAACAGGGACATAGAGCTTGTTCCCGCTCTTCTCTGTAAGTGCTATGTTAGTTTGAATTCAGATAAATGAAGTGTAATAGGATGTTCATGTTGATAAGAATACATACCAAGGTTGAGCAAACTCAGGCGCTTAGAAAGTCGTTCATTATCCTGAGTGTCCGCCTTTCTCTTCCGCCGTGATCGTTGTGATTTATCGACGCCTTCGGTAACCATCGCAGTAGCCGGTGCGGAGGATGAGGGGGTCTGTAACATGATGCGACCCAGTGTAGTGGTCAATTCTGCAGTGGTCTAGAATAGAAAGGCGAGCTTTTAACCCTTCAACGCCTGTCAAACGTCGAATCAACAACTCGAAAAAGGACCCAGGCGACACAGTCACGCGTGGTCAGGATGAGCTTTGTCAGAATTGACTTTGCGTAACGTGTTCCCTTTTTTCTTAGAGATTGGTAGGTACAGAAAGGTTCAAGACGTTCTGCTGTGTTGCGTTGCGTTGCGTTGCCTTCGATGTGGGCGTCTATCAATCGCAGGAGTATCAGCTCGACTGCTGTTAGGGGTTGGAATCGGAGCTTCAGTGGTTGCGATAGCGGTTACGGGTGTTGGAATCGGCGCTGTCTGCCCCGGAGCTTGAAATCCAGCTACTTTAGCAGGTCGAGTACGGGCGCGGGCGAGCGTGGGCCTTATGTATCCGTCCCGGTCTTGACTCATTCTTGTAGAACTTTCTACTCCTCTCCGCCTACCGCTGCGGCTGCTGCACCTACGCCACTCAATCTCCATCTCCAATTCAAACCCCAGCAACATCAACTTCTCCTCCACAATCTTCAATCAGAAACCCCCACTACCACTACAATTCCTCCTCTACGACCGGCAACGATTACTTCTCCCGCTCGGAATTTCCTAAGGACTGCGACTAACAAGAGGTTTCCTTTTTTTATTCTACGTCGGTCTTATTCCAGCGCGACCATGGCCGAGTCGGAGCTCAAGTGGCCCGCTGCGCGCGTGCGCAAGACCTTTCTCGAGTACTTTGAGCAGAGGGGTCACACAATTGGTATGCGATGCGATAGTGCGGGCACTGCGTTCTACGACGTCTAAGGACGCTAGAACTATGCTCAGTTTCTTTATGAGGCTCTCAACAAAGCTATAATCAACTTTACCTTTTTCTATGTCTGACTCACGACTTGCTAACAAGACTTCACTTTGCAGTGCCCTCTTCATCAGTCGTCCCTCACAATGACCCCACCCTGCTCTTCACCAATGCGGGCATGAACCAGTTCAAGCCCATCTTCCTCGGCACCATTGGCAAGACCGATCCCATGGCCGGCATGAAGGCCGCTGTCGACAGTCAGAAGTGTATCCGTGCTGGTGGCAAGCACAACGATCTCGACGACGTCGGCAAGGATAGCTATCACCACACATTCTTCGAGATGTTGGGTAACTGGTCTTTCGGCGACTACTTCAAGAAGGAGGCCGTTTCATATTCATGGGAGCTTCTCACAAAGGTGTACGGTCTGGATCCCTCTCGCCTGTACGTCACATACTTTGAGGGTGATGAGAAGTTGAAGCTGGAGCCTGATCTGGAGGCCAAGGAGCTCTGGCTGTCCGTTGGTGTCCCTGAAGACCACATCCTTCCTGGAAACATGAAGGATAACTTCTGGGAGATGGGTGACCAGGGTCCTTGCGGTCCTTGCAGTGAGATTCACTACGACAAGGTTGGTGGCCGAAACGCTGCAAGCCTAGTCAACATGGATGACCCCATGGTTGTTGAGGTTTGGAACAACGTTTTCATGCAATACGACCGTCAAAAGGATGGTAGCCTCAAGTCTCTGCCCGCCAAGCACATCGACACCGGTATGGGCTATGAGCGACTCGTCTCTGCCCTCCAGGACACAGTCTCTAACTATGCCACCGACTGCTTCACTCCTCTTTTCAAGAAGATCCAGGAAGTCACCGGCGCTCGACCCTACGCCGACAAGTACGGTAAGGATGATGCCGATGGCATTGACACTGCCTACCGTGTAGTTGCTGATCACATTCGAACCCTCTCTTTCTCCATCGCTGACGGTGCCGTTCCCAACAACGATGGCCGAGGTTACGTCGTTCGACGTGTGTTGCGACGTGGTGTTCGATACGCCCGAAAGTACTTCAACGCCGATATCGGTGCTTTCTTCTCCAAGATCCTCCCTGCCCTTGTAGACCAAATGGGCGAGCAATTCCCCGAGCTCGTCAAGAAGCAGCAAGACATCAAGGAGATTCTTGATGAGGAGGAGGTTGCCTTCGCCAAGACTCTGGATCGTGGTGAGGCTCAATTCGAGAAGTATGCTGCTGAGGCTATCAAGGACGGTGCCAAGAAGCTCAAGGGTGATGTTGTCTGGCGACTTTACGACACCTTCGGTTTCCCCGTCGATCTTACCCGACTGATGGCCGAGGAGCGCAACCTCGAGATTAACGACGAGGAAGTCAAGGCTGCCCAGGACAAGGCTCGCGAAGCCAGTAAGGCAGTCAAGGAGTCCGTCCAGACCTTCGCCAAGCTCAACGTCCACCAGATCTCCGAGCTTGAGAAGGAACTCAAGGTTGAGCGAACCAACGACGATGCCAAGTTTGTCCAGGGTGACAGCACTGGTCAAGTCCAGCTTATCTACGACGGCAAGACATTCCTCAAATCAACCAAGGATGTCCCTGAGAAGACTGCTCTTGGTCTTCTGGTTGACAAGACCAACTTCTACGCCGAGTCAGGTGGTCAGGTCGCTGATACTGGACGCATCGTCATTGACGATGTTGCCGAGTTCAAGGTTCTTGATGTTCAGAACTACGGTGGCTACATCCTCCACAACGGTTACATCGAGTACGGTGCCTTGTCTTCTGGAGACAAGGTCATCTGCGAGTACGATGAGCTTCGCCGATCGCCCATCCGCAACAACCACAGTGGCACTCACATCCTGAACCACTCTCTGCGAGAGGTTCTCGGTGATGAGGTCAACCAGAAGGGTTCTCTTGTGGATAACGAGAAGCTCCGTTTCGATTTCTCTCACAAGACCGGTGTCAAGATTGAGGAGCTCAAGAAGATCGAGGATATGTCCAACGAGTACATCCGTCGTGGCGACAAGATCTACTCCAAGGAAGTTGACCTGGAGAAGGCCCGCGCCATTGAGGGTTGCCGTGCTGTCTTTGGCGAGACCTACCCCGATCCCGTCCGTGTTGTCTCCATCGGCAAAGATATCGATGAGATGCTTGCCGACCCCAAGAAGCCCGAGTGGCGCCAGTACAGTGTTGAGTTCTGTGGTGGTACCCACGTCGAGCAGACCGGTCTGATCAAGGACCTCATCCTCATTGAGGAGAGCGGTATCGCAAAGGGTATCCGTCGTATCATCGCCTACACTGGCGAGGCTGCTCACCAGGTTCAGCGTGAGGCCGATGAGTTCTCCAAGAAGATTGACGCTCTTGACCAGCTGCCTTTCGGTCCTGAGAAGGAGGCTCAGATGAAGGCTGTGAGCGTGGAGCTCAGCCAGCTGACCATCTCTGCCTTGACCAAGGACTCTTTCAACCAGCGTTACCAGAAGATCAACGCCGCTGTCACTGCTGAGCAGAAGAAGCGCCAGAAGGCTGAGTCCAAGGTTGCTCTCGATACTGTCAAGAAGCACTTCGACACCAACAAGGATGCTAAGTGGTTTGTTGGCCGCCTGCCCGTCAGCGCCACCTCCAAGGCTCTGATGGAGGTTGTCAAGCACTACCAGGGTAAGGATAAGGAGAAGACTGTCTACGTCTTTGGTGGCAGCCCTGAGGAGGGCGCTGTTGCCCACGGTGTCTATGTCGGAACTGTAGGTTATCCCTTGAATATTGTTACGTGAATATGTTGGCTAACGTTTTCTTTAGCACCTTAAGGACCAGGGTGTCACTGCCGAGCAATGGGCTGCTTCCGTGTCCGAGGTCGTTGGTGGCCGCTCCGGTGGTAAGGAGCCTACACGACAAGGCCAGGGTACCAAGCCTGAGAACCTCGACGAGGGTGTTGAGACTGCTACCAAGTGGCTCAACGAGAAGCTCAAGCTGTAAAATAAAAAATAACAAGAAATGTGTATTTACTCTACTCAAAGGGGGTTTAAGTATATCAGCTCACTCTATCTTAAGGGATGATATATTTTGTCATTCACACGGAGTAATATTGGGAATTGGGACAGACAAAATGGAATGATATAGAGCGTTTTTAGTAGGCAGAGCTGTTTGTCGTGCCATGAGAGAGTATACCAATAAAAAAGAACCAACATTAACAGTCATGAAGCCATTGTGGAAGGGTATATGTTATGCTTTTATTCATTTGATGTATACGGGACGTATATAACGTTGCCCTTTTGCTTTTGTACAAGACTATTTTTACACGGTTACAAGAACACTGGCGTTGCGGTAGTTGGATATCAAGGGGTTCTCGCCACTTCGAGTCTCGGTGTCCTCAACAAACGCCCACTTGCGCATGAAATCACCATGCGACATGACACGGGTCAGCTTGCCTGTGATGGCACGGTAGATGGCTTCTGTGACTTGGAAATCTGTGGGGAACAGAATATCAAAGTAACCCTGGTGAACCTGGGACTTGTTAGCATGTTGACTCTATCAGTTGCAGTATGGCGAGAACTTACCAAGGGTGTTGTGACGGGCACCATCCTCCTGTGATATCTTGTCTGGACAACAGGCGCATTCATTCCCTTGATAGCTTGGGGTAGCCAATCAAAGTCAGATGTCACGAGACGATGACCTGGGAAGTACTTCTCAAGCACGTCGAAGAATTGCATGAGTCTAGTGGGGATGAACTCGGGGTCGGAAAGGTTGGCGGCAAAGGGCATCTTGCTGGAGAGGTAGCGCAGAACAGCATTGTTGGGGTACGGCTTGGGGTAGTTGCCTCCTGTAGCGGCATGACGAACTCGGAAGTATCGCGCTGCGAGAGGATCTAGCTCATGTACGTAGAACTCGTAGAAATCACCATCACCATCGATCAGAACGTGGCCTTGGAGGGGTTGCTCGGTGTTGATGTCGTAGCGAATACCGTCGTGAGAGAAGTTATCGAAGACTTCCATGGCCAGGAAGAAGCATGGTGAAGGAACGTATTGATCCCATTCGAAGATGGAGCGGTTGATAATCTCGACCTTGTCTGCGTGGCCCCGAGATGCAGCTGTTGACAAAAGATGTCTGTTCTGTAGCGCAGCAAGGGTAGACGAAATTTCAATAATGTTGAATTTCGTACGAGCATAAACTTGGGGGTCGACTTCGCGAATATAGTCAAGAATATTCAACATCAGCGTTCCGCGACCAGCACCCATTTCGTAGATTAGAAGATCGTGGTAAGGATATGTGGTAAGGCGGTAGTTGGAGACGAGGTAGCGAGCAATGGCTTCGCCGTAGTAAGGACGGAAGAGCTCAGTGGGTGTATGCCACAGCTGGCGTGTTGGGTTCTCGCCCTCGCGGTCGTCGAGTATGTCTTCGAATTCGGTGTATCGACGGCCTAGCTCGGCTTGAAATTCGATCTCGTCGCGCATCGAGTTGAAGTCGAAGGGCTCGCCTGGGCTAAAGATGACAGCTTGTTTGGAGAAGTACCCGTAGGAGGGGTTATAAAGGCTGTCTGCAGCTAAAGTTAGTATTTGCTCGAACAGTAAACCGGTAGAGAAGCTTACCGTCAATAAAGTCTCTTAGCAACATCTTAACCTTGCGCGGCCGTTCAGTTCGTTCCTTAAGCTCGGCAGCAGTTATATAAGGGTACTCGGCAAACTCCGCCGACCGATCCTGAGGTAAGAGATTCGTCCTTTGCTGCCATCGACTCTCATTTGTCTTCATTCCGCGATCGCTCGAAGGTCGTCCCGCAGCATAGAAGCGGTTCTGGCTGATAGCGGTGGTGGTTCGAAGGCCATTGCGGAGGCGGGGAAGGTTTCTGATGCTTTTACAGCCTGGAGGCCGATGGTGAAAGAGCTGACGAAAGAGCTGGGCCACGATTGGGGAGTCCATTTTGAGATGTTCTCTAAAATATCGTGAACATGACTGTCTGGTTTGATTTTGGTGTTTGAGATGCTTTACATTGGATGGGGTGGGTCTTTGATTTGTCGGGTGTTCCTCGGGTTGAGGGGGGAAGTGTTGGATAGATCACCACTGACATGGAGTCATTTAGAGGTGATTATGCGCAAGTTTTCCTATTTGAGCGACCTGAGTCTCTTTTCGAATTCATGATTCAGTGCATAGTGACCCTTTGAACCATTTGAGGTCGTCGACTAAGCGAGACTGATACTGAAACTATGGGATGCTGTGGCTAAATGAGAGTCAACAAGCCAATACCTTCGATGTTTTTCCTTAGTCGAAATAGTACGATTCAAATCTAGAGATAATTAAGAATTGCTTGTATGAAGCTCCTATGGAAACTTGGTTTATAGATAGGTAGTGACGAAGATAATATCGAGCCAAGCCGTGGCTATAGCTTCTATATTTCATGGCGCTTATACTTACACAAGAACAAGCTCCACATGACATCACGCACACGCCAGGGTTCACCTCACTCCAAATCTACTCACTCATAGCTTTAAGCTCAACCTCAGCCAAGACCAACTTTAAGCTTCACCACAACCGATGATGCAGGTCTTCTAATCCTACAACAAAAGCCCAACTGATCTTGGATTGGGAACCTTTTCTCAATAATGTCGCTTAGCGACCATCCAAAGGCTTACGGCTCAGCCGCCGTCGCCTTTGCTTTCACAACCGGTATTCTCGTTACTCTCGGTTTCAAGGACTTTTACCCAGATCTCGAGAGAAGGTTTCAACAAAAGAGACGTGCGAATACCGGCGGTGGAAGAAGATCGAGTCTATTTTGGGGTGATCCTGTTGAGCTTCAGGATCGAGAGTCTTTGCCTTCGACGCCAACTTTTTACGATGGTGCAAGGCATGGACTGGCCAATGGTATAGAGGCTACCATTGGTAACACGCCTCTTATCAAAATCCAGTCCTTGTCAGAAGCTACAGGCCGGGTTATCATGGCCAAGGCTGAGTTCCTCAATGGCGCTGGAAACTCGCCAAAGGATCGTGTTGCGCTTAATATGATTCGTGAGGCGGAAGCTAGAGGTCTTCTCACACCACACAAAGGCGATACCATCTATGAAGGCACAGTCGGAAGTACGGGTATCTCACTGGCAACACTTGCGCGAGCCATGGGCTACAGGGCTCATATCTGCATGCCCAGCGATATGGCTCTCGAGAAATCTGACCTGCTCCTCCATCTCGGCGCAACAGTCGAGCGAGTTACGCCTGCACCTATCACCAGTCCCGATCACTTCGTTAACCTTGCACGACGAAGGGCGGAAGAACATGCTAGCAAGGCAAAGGACGGCAGCAAGGGTTTCTTTGCGAATCAATTCGAGTCCGAAGCTAACTGGAAAGCACACTTCAACACCACTGGTCCTGAAATTTGGGGACAAACGAACGGCAAGCTGGATGCTTTTGTCGCAGGAGCAGGCACGGGAGGAACAGTGTCCGGTGTAGCAAAGTATCTCAAGGAAGAGCAACAAAAGGATGGCATCAAAGTAGTCCTCGCTGATCCTCAGGGCAGTGGTCTCTACAACAAGGTCCGCCATGGTGTCATGTACTCCTCTACAGAGCGCGAGGGCACTCGTCGCAGACAGCAGGTCGACACTATGGTTGAGGGCATTGGTATCACACGCTTGACTGAGAATTTTGAAGCAGGTCGTGAACTTATTGATGATGCTGTGCGGGTAACAGATGAGCAAGCCTGCCGCATGGCCCGCTGGCTAGTCGAGCACGATGGTATTTTCGTTGGCAGCAGCAGTTCAGTCAACTGTGTCGCTGCTGTCGAAACAGCTATGAGACTCCCCAAGGGGAGCCGTGTTGTAACTATTCTCTGCGATTCCGGAACAAGACATCTCAGCAAGTTCTGGAAGCATATCAAGGAGATGGGCCTTGAGAGTGAGGAGGAAGCGACCAATCTGTTCACCGAGCTAGGGATCCCTGACCACAAGGTATAAGCTTAAAGCTTTAACTAAAAAATGAACGAATTGTATGTATATGTATAACGGCAATAGGCAAATTTATAGCGAGCATTGAGAATGGTCTATTCACCAAAATTGGCGCCTACTCTCTGAATCTCTACCCCAGGTAAGTTTAATAAAAAAGCAAAGAGAGAAAGGTATTTAAAGCGCATATGATCTTTCCTCGTCTGGTATTATTAAACGTGTTTTGTTTTGAGTCGCCGCTCCAGTTCCCGTAACTCCTTGACCTTCTCCTATACACGGTTGCAGATTGAACCCAAGCAAATGTAGATAGATGTTCTTCTGCGCCAAAAGAAACGCCACTCCTCTCTGTCTCCACTTCAAGTGCATTTGACTAAGAGAACTGTCAAATGTGTTAGTTTCATAATTGAATGCTTCTAGACATTCCAAGATACGTACCTTCCATCGGTGTCCGCAAGCCATGCACTCGCAGAAAGTGGTCATAGGTTCATCAGCAGCTCGGGTCTGCGCTTGCGTGTAGCTGACCTGCTTCTTCTTGCATCGACCACACTCCAGACTCTCACTGATACTCTTCTGCTCCTGGGGCACCTGGGCCATCTTCATGTTCTCCCTCTCCAGCTCGAGCTCCTTCTTACGCTGCTCCTCGCTCTTGAGCTCATCGTCAGTCATGACGACAAACTTTTCAGCAGAAATTTCTCCGGACAGAACGCTCTTTCCGAGTTCCCTGTTGGACTTGTTCTTGAGGTTGGTGAAAAGCGATCGCATCTTCTTCTTGTAGTCGGGTGTCTCTCCCTTGAACTTAACAAAGGCAGCATTCTCAACAGCAATAGCTCTGTTGATAACATCACTCTCGGATGCCGTCGATCGGTAGGCCAGGCCGTTGTATATAAGACCAATGCATGAGTTTCGCACGCTCGATTCGGTTCGCTTGACGTTGACGTTGTCGGTCTCGTACTTGCGCTTCTCGACATCGCCCTTGTACTTGGCTCCAGAGGTTCCAGAAGACGAGGGAGGAGGCGCAGGCGACGATGCGGGAGCGGATGCGGGAGCTGGGGCCGGGGATCCTGAGCCGACCTTTGACTTTTGCAGCTTCGAGCTCTTCTCCTGTTCAACAAGCTTTTTCCACTTGCTGACGAGTTCGGAGGCCGCGCGTGCGATATCTTTGTTGGCATTTGATCTGAGTTTGCCGACAAAGACACCAGCTCTTGTTGCCTGTAAAAGCAAAATCACAGTGTTAGTAGACTGTCCAAATCAAACCAAGAAAGGCGATATCCATGAAATATCACATGTTGAAGATTTCGCGATAAGCAGACAAAGCGAACAATGCGATCATGAATTTTGCGCAAAGCTGGCAATATGCTATATACTTGGAGTCCAGATAATATTGCGCTCTCCATATCCCACTCGTTATTTGACGTACCCTTAGCATTTCTTCGGTAGGAGACGCATCCTTCTTTAATGTTTCGAGCAGCTTGATAGCATTCTCGGGAGGCTCGTTCGCAGCAACACACTTAGTGAGCGCCTTGACGCGCTGCCCAAGTTCACGTTCGTCCATGGGCATTTTTGCGATTTTTGTGTTGTTGGATATGCGCGCGCGCAGCGATAGAAAACGGAGAGAGGAGAAGTTGAAAACAACAAAGAGATGCTGGAAAAACACTCTGAAATGAGGTGACAAACTGTTACTTTTGGGGGGCGTTTTCGAGCTTTCGCAAGCACCAAATCAATGCCTGATAGATGGCACGTGAGCTAGTGCTTGCCTATTCTGCCGAAGTTTAGCCTGCGCCGTGGAGGAAAGCACCCCTCGGATAACGCCCCGCGTTTGGCAGGTGCCGTCATGACTATGATAAGCAAATCCGAGCTATTTCCATCGTCATCATAGCTTCATCTTACCCTATCATGGTATCTTTGCGATGATGTCAGGAACGATGATGTCGTCGATAAACAACTTCCCTTCTGTCTAAATGATGAGTTTTCGATAAGATATTAGTGTGCTCCATTATTATTTGTTCGTGTAAATGCGCGGTAGTAGATTATCCTCTTTATCCAATTTCAAAAGCTCTGTAATAAAGCTATAGATTCAAAATACCTATGAAGCCTTCGCTCTCTTACCACGTCCACGGCTCCTACTAGTAGTTTGCTCCTCTTCCTGTTCATCACCTTCCTCAACATCTTCTTCCTCGGCTGTATTAGTTGCATTCCTCCTAGAAGCTCTCTTCCGCTTGCTTCCACCATTTGCAGCGCTCGCTGGCTCCTCACCTGCAACATTCGCCCGCAGTCTGTCTACCGCGGCTGCCATGCGCTTGCTACCTTGGCCTTTCTGCCTTGGCGCGAACGCATCTCTGGCTCCAGCTCCGACACTACCTCCAAAGAATCTGGTGATATTACTCTGAGTTCCTTCACGGTCTCGCTTGTTCATGTCTTTGATGACTGGAACGAGAACCTCATCTGTACGCTCCTTACTCCAACCAATGGTAGCCATCAGAAATTGTCGTAGACCCTCCACATCTGGCACGCCCCATTGGAAGTTCTCGTTGCTGTCATCAACCTCCGGATGCAAATAGGCATCGTAGACAGCCGGGTTGGGGAACCCGGGAGGTAAGAAGAGCTTAGTACCCTGTGATTTGCGGAACTTCTTACGGAAAGGTGTCGAAACATCAGCATCCTTAGGCCGTGTTTGTCCCTGTACCGATTTCCACCATTCGCGAAACTGCTCCAGACCTGATTTGCCAGGGAACTCAGAGAGGATCTCAACTGCTGTGACTGGTCCCACTCCAGGTAAACCTTCAGTATAATCTGAACCTAGCAGATGAGCAAGAGAGATGAGCTGGTCGCGAGTTAAGGACAACTCCTTCTCAATGTCACCCAGCAGATAGCACTCTACAAATTTGTTGCTGTTGAACATATTCTTGTAAACTCTTGTGCCACCGAACAAGAAGGTATCTGAATCGTCAGTCACAATGCCATCAACAAGCCCAAGCTGAACCAGCTCGGCGCATTGCGCTTCAGCTTCCATAGGAGCTGTGATGTATGGTATACCAAACAGACGAAGTAGAGCTTGACATTCTGTGATCATGACTTGAGTCACCTCGTCGGCATCTCGACGGTCTTTCTTCTGTTGACTTCTAAGAGCGCGCAACTCTCTTTCGTAGTCCTCCTTGTTTTGCTCGGCCGTCTTGTTATTGAGTTCACTAGCGAAACGGGCGTGTTCCTCAGCTTCCTCAGCTAGTGACGCCATGAGCTCCTCGTCACCAGGATCACTGAACTCATCATACTCTAAATCGTCGAAGAGACCATCGTCTTCGGGATCGACTTGTTGACCTCCTTCATTGGCGGTGGGTGCACTGATAGAAGGAAGCTCTTCAAAGATAGGCGAAGGACTCTTCTCTGCTGCAACTTCGGTCACTGTGTTGGTAGGCACCACATCCTCGAATTCCGGTTCTGGTGATTCAGACTTCTCGGACTCAGCCTTGGCATCTTCTGCAGGAGGCTCAGCTGACTCTGTCAGAGTACGGTCTGCGAGTCCTTGGGCTTCGGGTACGGGTGTAGCCTCCTTATTCTCCTCTGTCCCTTCTGTCTGAACAACTTCTGATTCTTCAGGCTCAAGGGAAGGCTCCTTGGTGACTTCGGGCTCATCGCTAACCTCAACAGCGCTTGCCTCTCTTTGAGCCGCCTTTCTGGGTGAAGGTGCTTTATCAAGAACCTCAACATCACTATCGTCGTCTGATGAGGAGTCAATGTGAATGAGCTGCTCCTGCATCTTTCGGCGGTAAAGTCTCTCCTCTTCCTCAGCTGCAAGTCTATCAGCATTATTGATTTCACGTTCTGCGTCTTGCTGCTTCTTGAGTGACTCTCGGATGTCTGTATCATCAATCATCCACGGTGGCAAGGGTTTGGGTGCGTTCTCATCAACAGCCTCTCTCTCAAAACCACCAGCCATATCATCTTCTTCTTCCTCCTCCTCATTTGATGGGGCCGGCGCTTTATCAGTGGCCTCGGTGCCCTTGCTTGGTCCAGCTGCCTGCGTCTTCTTCTTTCCAAAAATAGACGAACCCCAATCAAGTTTAGGGAATGGCAATGGGCCATCGAATGGGTTCTTCTTGTTTTCAACAACAGGCACAAACTTTGCTTTTGGTTTTGGTTGTGACTTCTTCTGCATTCTTGCCTTTGCAAGTACTGTCTGCATATCTTCATCACTATCGCTGTCGGCGGCAGTATCACGTTCTTGTCGCTTGGGTACAGCAGCACTTGCTCGGTTGTTGACGATATGAGCAATCATGGAGCCACCCTTGGCTGTAATAGGCTTCTGCGACTCGACAGACTTTTGTGTCCACTTCGGTGCTTCAATAGGGACGTCTTCGAAATCTTCCTCTTTCTCTGACTCTTCTCCAATACCATGCTGTTTCTGGAGTGACATGGCGATTGCGCGGTTGAGATCATCTTGCTCGTCAGCCTGCAGCGGGTCTTCGGACGGCTCCTGGAGCAGGCCACCTGTGTTGTCGTCATTATCGCCAACAAAAAGTGATCCTTCGTCCTCGGCCGTTGATTCTTTTCGATGGCTACCGTAGAATTGTCGGCGCCTTGTCGCAGCATTCTGAGCCGCTTGATAGCTAGCCACTTGCGCGGCAGAAGGTTTTGGAAGTCGGTTGAGGCCTTCAATTGGAACATCTTCGAAATCTTCATCCTCATCTTCCTCGTCTTCTTTGGACTGATATTGAACTTGAATGGCGTCCACGTCAATGGGTTTATGTGCTTCTCCAATTTCCTTGTCCCTGCTGACCACACCCAAAGCCCATCCTCCTTCTGCGCCATCGTTCTTCACAAGGATATACTCTCTGTTCTTTTCACCAGCAACTCTTGAGTTCACTCCAAGAGTGAGATCAGTGCCAGTCATGCCCACTTCGTACATAAGACGTTGTGTGAGGTGGTTGCGCTCCTTGACTCTATCGATCTGAAATTTGGAAAATGCCATGCGATCTGGGAACATTTCTTCCAGCTGTTCCTTACTAAGGCCCATTCTCAGTCGACTTCTAAGTCGTGCTGCGTTAAGAATATTGTATCGATCCGGGGCAGGAAGACTTTTGAAAAATTCGCCATCAAAATCAATCTTGCTGAAGTCGTAAAGGTTGATGTCCTCTCCTTCATGGAATTGTCGGGCATATTCTTCCAATTCCTCCACGCTCATAATTCTTGGATCTTCAGGTTTGCCCATTGCTGCAATACCACCTCCATTGAGGTCTGGTAGGTGGTAAGCGTCTTGTTTTCGGAATGTTCTTCCTTTTTGTCGTTCGTTTTGTGACATGAGAGCCTCATCGTCGTAGACGAGCTCGCTAGCTTCTGGAATCACTTCTTGTTGCTCCTCCTCCCTAGCTGCTATATCACGTTCTCGGTCTCTTCGTCTGCGATCTTGGTCTTCTTCCGCAATGCGCTGCATCTGTACTGCCAATAGCTTGCCGGCCGTTCGAACAGCATCTTCGCGACGGCCTTCACGTCTGCGCTTTCGACCTTGGATTGTCTGTCGCTTGAGTACGGGTGCACCGCCATCGAAGACGAAGACTGGTTCAATACCGTACCAAAGAAGCTTGCAAATGCGACGGAAAAAACCAACGACATGCGAGTTGCGCAATGCGTTTCCTTCCTTGTCGCGTACAGCTTTGAGGAATTGGTAGATCCAAATCGAGGCATCGACTGCAAGCCTTTTGCGATTAAGGGTCGCTAGGTTCGTTGGTCGCGCGCATGGTTGCACAACCGTCCAGAGACCGGTAACACCCATGATGGACTATGACCGTGAATTGGATAAGCTCGCGGTGTTAGAGGCACAAGGCCTGATGCTAAGGGATGCGCCCTCGTCTGGTGAAAGTAATTGTCATGGTCCAGTTGAGACTAAGGCAGTTTATGGGCCAGCGCATGCGCAGATGATTATCAAGAAAAAGGAGTGTGTAGATTTCAAGATGGTGTTGCGCAAAGGATCGTGGAATTCACGTCTGCCTTCGGGATGAGTCCTCAAAGTGAATAACGTCAGCGTGGGGCCGCCCGCCACTAATCCGCTGCCTCTAGCGTATCTATCCCCTGGAATCATCCATCCCGTGCTGAAGGGTAGTGAGTGTGGAAGTAGCGAGGTCATCTTGCTTCTATTCTACGAAGGTTGAATCATACTTAATTAAGCATACATCTCAATAAGGTTTTGTGTATCATAGGTTTAAAGAACTGTATGTATTAAATATTAGAATTGAAATACTTCTTACCAATCGCTTTTTAAATGTTATTCTAGCAGTTGTCACTAAAATTGTGAGTGTCTACTTCTACAGGAGCGGATTATTATTACGCCCCAAAATCACCCATTTTCCACTTTCCAAAATCAATGAGCCTAACATTCCCCACGCTCCCATCGAAGCCCAGTCACTCGCAATCCCGATAACATATTCCATGAGCCAAGATGAATCCGGACTCGGCTAGAGAATACCTTGCGACTATCTTAAACAAGAACCTTCGGGTGTACACGTCGGATGGCCGGTTATTCTGGGGTGCCTTGAAATGCACCGACCCTGTATGTCTTTGCCCCTCGATACCCTATAGTTTGTTGATGTCTAAACCGGCGAATTGTTACTGACAGAAAATATAAAGGATAGGAATATTGTCCTGGCTCATACATATGAGTATCGTCAGCCTTCTGCCAGGGAGCGTGAAAAGGCAGCTGAGGAAGCAGAAGGCCAATCAGTCAAACTCGACATGACCTCTCGTTACTTGGGTTTAGTGGTCATACCAGGACATCATATCGTCAAGATGGAGGTAGAGCAATTCGCAAGTCAGATCAGGGGTGGAAATTTCATATGATAATAGCGAATACAAACATAATATTAATCTTTAAAAGTACACTAAGGCTACCACAAGAGAAAGTTACCGTACCCAAACAGCCGTTTTGCAACCTCCAGCATTAAGTTACCATCAACGCCTTGTACAGCCAAGATTGCGTCCCTGTAATTACGTCGTCTCCAATGTTCACTTTGTCACATCAATTATGAGCACCTTCTATGCTGCAACAGCTTCCTGTGTGCGTCCACGAGACTCGCCGTTCATACCGCCGTCGCTGTCCAGAATGGAGCCACGGGTATCCTCCTCATCCTCTTCCTCCTCTTCACTATCAAGGTCGCGGTCGCGAGCGGTCCAAGAGCTGCCGTCGTTCAGGGGAACATCCTGGCCAGAGAGGTCATGGCCCTCTCCCCTGTTGCGGATGTTGGTTCGGCGTCGCTGAGAAAGTGTGCGGGCACGGGTAGAGAGCTTGGAAGAGACGACGGCGTTGGAAGTGACCCAGTTGGTGAGAGCATCCTCACAATCTTGGATGATGGCCTTGCTAGCCTCGTAACCATCATAGGCCTGACGGGTCTCACCGGGTGTAACGGGAGTATCGTCGATAAGCTCGAGGAGATGCTTTCCGTAGCCGGCGATAATAGCGACCTTCTCACAATGCTCACGCAGAGCATCGAATTGGTAGGTGTAGGCTGCCTTGACCTTCTCGCGGGTGATGTTGGACAGCTGGGCCTCAGCGACAAGGGACTCAGCCTCAGCTCGGACGAGTTCCTGCTCGAGAACAACAATCTTGGGTGAGTTGGGCTCCTTGTACTTGAGTTGAGCAATCTGGTCGGTAATCTTCTGCTTGCCTGTTGTTGGTGTCAGTAGATGCCTATTTAATGAAATCTCAGCGATCCTTACGGTCACGGCTGGGCTGGACTGAAGCCTCAATGTTACGAATGCTCTTCATAGTAACTCTGTATTGGTCGTATCGGTCGACGTATTGGTCCTCGAGTTCTCCAATCTCGTACAGCAGGACGCCGAGCTTGTCGGTAACGTCGGAAACATCCTCGTCTCCGGCCTCACCCCAGATAGACAATTGTTGCTGTTCAAGTCAGTCTTGCTGTTCAGTGTATGTGTGATCCACTGGACTTACAGCAACTTCCATGCGCTCACGGGCAACAGTCTCCAAGCTTCGCATCACGTTCTTCTCCATCTTGACCAGCATGGAGAGCTTCTTGGCGAGGTCGGGGCCAAAGGCACCACCGGCATTTCGGCGGAGGGCATGGCCTGAAGGGAAGATGTTGTTAGTCCTGTAAAAGTCGAGATGGTGTGTGGATCAGCTTACCGAAGCTGCTCTTGAAGAGACGGCCGGACTTGGTGGATGAAGGAGGTGGCGGGGGGTTCTACATTCAAGTTAACTTCACCGTTGCATCTGTGCGATAACGCTGGGAGCATTGCATACCTGGAGCTGGGAGGCAGTAGGCGCCCGGGTCTGGCGCATAGAATAAGTGCGATGCATGATGGTAGTAGTGGTAATGCGACGAGCGACAAGCGGTGGAGCTGAGCTGACAGACAAGAAAAGGGTCCAACAAGGACAGGCAGGGAATAAGTAATGTCGGGTGGGGATTGCAGAGCTGAGAAGCAAGGATAAAGATGGATGTCGGGAAAATAAATCACAAAAAGGAAGATCGTGGCCGGGCTGCTGGAACGTTATAAGAGGGAGTCCAAGAAACTGGGCAAGGCTTGGTAGTGCTGCAGTGGGTGTTGTTCTGTTGCTGCGGAGAACAAGATCGTCACGGCTTTATGGGGAGCTGAGAACGACGTCATCAAGGCCCCACCTGGTCTGAATTGGATGGTGAGAGAAGAGGGATACAGACGGGCGCTAACAGTTAGTGTATTGTGTACAATGTAGCCCCTGGTGATCGCTACATTCTCTCAAGTACTTCTACCTTACGTCAAGCATGTCTCAGGTCTACGTCTTGCATTTCTGTCTGCGCCAAGGATCCTCACTCGCCTGTGCATCCGGAGAGACTCAACTGAACTGAACTAGACTGACCCATCCCGGATGCGGTTCATGTCCACCAAGCTTCGGTCGAATCCAGCCCAACGCTAGTGTGTCTCTAAGATGAAAAATGACGATATCGCGGCATAAGTTTTGAGGGTTTCGAGAGGCTCACTGGTCACTGGGTGGGTGAAGGGGCTTTTAGACTGAGCGATCCTCCGGCAGTCTCCAGCCTGGAAAGATCAACAAACAAGGGGTTCTGTTCGATCTGGCCAAGTTAAATTACCGCAATGACTTCTCACATGTTTGGTTTGGTAGGTTAGTTCCGTTTAGATCATGTCGTGAAACAGGGTCTTCTCCGTACTTGAGAAGATCTTCAAGAGGCATCCAATGGATAGAGGGTCCCAAGATCTGGAATATCGTCTTTTACTTGACGAGGGCAGTCCTTAGGGTCGGTTTTGACACGAGTCTAATCTGTAAAACCCCGTTTCCCACAATCCTTATAATCTCATCATTGACTCTAAATTCGACCATTGTAGTAGTCGTTCTGTATCTTGGTTCAGGTCGGCTTCCTGATATCACCGGAGAGGAACAGGTTAAGTGGAGTAGCAGTTGAGTAATCACCAAGTCCCGAGCTATCAAAGACTACTCAAAGAGCTTATTGACGTCTGGAAATTTCACAGAAATCATAAAAGATTTCACTCTGTAATAGGAATCAACATGAGCAACACCAAGCATTATGTCAACTGTCCCTTAATTCGCAAAGGCTGCTGCTGTAACTGCAACTTGTACCTCCGGCAATTCCGGCGTTCACGTGAGACATGACTACTAAGATGACTTAGACAAGCATATAGAATCAGGAAAGTCAGAATGCACAACGTATGAGATATAGACACAGCAGGAATCAAAGAAGCATAGCGTTCAATATGATATTGTTTCTCAAGTTGTTGTAGTTCTTCAATCGCACCATAGACTCTCAATCATCATGGTCAGAGCGCTGACAGTACTATAGACTAGCAGATATGCATACAAATGTTGACTAAAATTGATGCGCGATCAAATAATATAGCCCTGATTCAACGTAATATTTGTGAATCCCAGTTTGAAGAATATACTATTCAATGCCAGCATCCATCACATCTATCACTCTATATGCTGTACTCAGTTTCCATCCAAACCCATCATCGATAGAGAGTCTTCAAGTTCAACGGCCAATGACAGCGCGCTAATCTCGATTAGTGAGCGCGCTCCCCCTGTCAACGTCCCCTGCAGTCTCCTCTCAAAGCGCGTGTCTAACATTGGATTCATTCATCCAATTCAATTTATCTTTCGCCTCGTCTCGAATTTCAACGTCAACAAGACGGCCATCAAATTATATCGTTTTAATTGTGCAGAACCCTTTGGAAATACTGCAGCGCAACGGAGTCTCTGTTTCTTTTGGTTAATACCGTTCAAACTGCGCCTCTTGTCTCGCCTATTGCTTCTCTATACCAAGTTCAAGTTCTAATCTGTCCACACGCGTCTACCTCTCTGGAAGTCGTGTTTCTTTTCGTCCCTTCCCTGGTCTACCTACAAAGGTGCTACCCACAACAACGGAATCGCCAACCGCAGGTCGCAACACTCTCCCTCTCTTTCTTTCTTTCTGCCTCTTCCTAAGCTTTCATCTTTTTGCAGAATGGTGGCAGTTGCGAATCAAAGAGAGGGGCAATCCTAAGAAAACCTTGCTGGAATCGATAACAGGATACACCTGCCTCAGTCACCATTCGTACCTTACCTTGCTTGGCTCTCTCTTACTTAAACTTTGAGGCAAAGTAATCAGCCGCGACCATGGCTTCTTTTCAATCTGGCACCTCCATCAACGTCAGCTCCAAGTCTATCACCCACATTGATTTAACTCAATCATCACCATCGCCCCCTCCTGTCTGTCGCGCAGACTCTGCTACTACTCAGGCGCGCTTCGCTCCCGATTTCTCTATTGAGCGGCGTCCATCTTCCACCCACACACCTGTTAGCCCCCCCAGGCTGAATAGATCTTCGACTTCCATTACTGCCAGCTTTCCCAAGCAGCCTTCTACTGAGCCAGCACGCCCGTCACCAGTAGTAATCAAAGGCGAGCAGAAGGTGACTCAAGTGACTGTCAGCGTCGACAATGCCCACAGTATGGCAAAGCTGTCTAGTGTGTCAGCTTCCAACTCGGCATCTCGTCAGGTAACGCCAGAAGTTGAACAAGATGTCGACACGTCAATGCAACAACCTGAACCTACCTCTCCCAAATATCAAACGCCCAGAAAGCCTGAATGGGATGTGGCTACTGTTGCAAAAAAGTTGACCGAGTTTCGTCAGGATATTAAAGATGGACACAGCCGCATGACTACTTATGTCGTTGAATCAACAAAACCTACAGAGCGACGGGTTCTCAATGGCAACGATCTCTTCGCTGGTATCACCACTGGACCGGTACCAGCCAAGAAGGGCGAAACCATGAGAATCAGACACAAGGTATGTAATTCAAAACCAAGTACGCAGAAGCACTAACATTTTTCAAAGGACCACACTGCCACTAAGTCCAAGAAAAACAGACGGGATGATCACTATCGGATCGTACGGATTCAAACAGATGAAGAGCGTGTTCCCAAGTATCGCTTTCACCACGTGGAAATCAAAAAGAACATTCTCACACCAAACACCATGTTGAAATTTGTACCCCACTTGAGGGACATTGAAGACTCGGAAGACAAAAGATACAATCTTTGGATACAGGAATTGGAAGACCTTGACCGCGAGAGTGGATTTGAACCCCTGAGTCGCGAAGAAAAGGTGCGCATTACTGTGCGCTCTGAATTTGCATCAACTGTCTTGCTCTATCTGGAGGACTGGCTGGAGAAGCTTTCACTGCCTGGTTGCGACAAGTCGACCCTCATCCGTTATATGGCAAGTAGTGAACCCGAAAATGCAATTACGCCTCGGCAGAAGTCAGACATTTTGAATTCTCATCGCCCAGCTGGATCGACTACCCCGCCTGAGGCAAATAAAGCTGCAGATATATTTACCCAAGCATTCCACCGCGTCTTTCACGAGGGTCAGCCTCTCACGAAACGGATCAAGCTCCGTGACGTCCTTCTACTGGACGAATCGGTCGACAGCATAATGGAATCAAAACCGACCGCTAAGGACGGTCCCAGCACGCAAAACGAAAACGAACTCGACGCCATCGAGTATTGGCTAGGTAGTTATTCGATCCTTGGTTGTCATATTTGTTTCAGTCATGCTTGCGAGCATGGCGAATATGACGCGAAAAACGATAAGCACGCACTCTCAATGCTTCCTCGTCTTGCAGAAACCCTTGAACGGAGACGGCGCACCACTGACGAGGAAACCAACATGATGAATGGTCATGCGCGCCCCTGCAAACGGAATTGCTTCCAGTCGTCGGCACACCCCGAGCCTCTGTCGGTTCAGCGGGCCTGGAGTAAAGATGAACGTTATATTTTGCGATGTATTGTTGCAACAGCTGATCACAGCAAAGTCAAAAGAGACCCCTTCTGCCTAGCTGCCCAGCTTCTTGACCGTGATTGTAGCGACGTTTTCAACGAATACGGGCGTCTCAATATATCACTACCTCCGCTTGAGCCAGTGAGCAAGCCGGCATTTCGATCACTCACCTGGTACGATAGGGTCAAGAAGGCTTTCATTGGGGACTGGGAGAGTCACACCAAAACTCACATGCATCAAAAACGCGACACCTTCGAGCCCTGTTCCCACGATGGCCCCTGCACTAACGACAGTTGCATTTGTGCTAAGAACGGAGTTCTTTGCGAAAAGTACTGCGGGTGTTCCGTGGAAACCTGCACCTACAAATTTACTGGCTGTGCTTGCCACTCACAAGGCAAAACATGCCTTGCCAAACAAAGGGATAGGCCATGTATCTGCGTGCAGTTGAATCGCGAATGCGATCCAGATCTTTGTGGATCATGTGGTGTACTGGAGAGAGCTGATCCCGAGAACACTGACGACGATGTTCTACATTCGACTGGCTGCCAAAACTGTTCCCTTCAGCGTGGCCAAGTGAAGAGCCTCGCTCTTGGTGAGAGTCAGCTTGAGGGTGTTGGGTACGGACTGTTCACTGTTGAACCTATCGCCCAAGACGATTTCATCATTGAATATGTTGGAGAGTTAATCAGTCACGACGAAGGTGTACGGCGTGAAGCTCGGCGTGGAGATGTATTTGATGAAGCATCTAATATCTCTTATGTTTTCACCCTCTTGGAAAAGGAAGGTCTTTGGGTAGATGCTGCGACATACGGCAACTTGAGTCGTTACATCAATCATGCATCTGAGAGCGACAAAGACGGATGCAATATCACGCCTCGCATTCTCTATGTCAATGGCGAATATCGAATTAAGTTTACGGCCCTGCGCGATATTAAAGCTGGAGAAGAACTCTTTTTCAACTACGGAGAGAACTTCCCTAACTTGACAAAGAAGCTGATTGACGGAAAAATAGAAGGGGGGCAAGACAATAGCAAGAAGCGATCAAAACGACCTAACGGAGAGGGAGTAGCTAGGAAGGCTCCAAAGACAGACAAGAAAAAATCCGGAAAGGGGAAGAAAAGTCAAACAGCTCTTGACGACGAAGAGGCATTGGCGGAGACACTTGGCTTCGCCCCAAAGCCATTACGCAAACGCAAGAAGGGCGCTTTCGAGGAGGACTCGGAAGAAGAGGAGTACCGTCCTACTGGGACAGATGTCTCCCTTCTGGAAACACCATCCGATGGAGAGTCAGATTATGAAACTAGCAAGTCGTCAGCGGCCAGACTTCGAAAACGTGCGCGAAATGGTGGAAAAGCAACCGCATCAGAGCAGGGCGGTAAATCTCGGGGAGTACCTAAAACGCGAGGCAAACGAGGAGGTGCCAGACCCGGCAGTGGTCGGCCTCGAAAATACAAACGAAATCCGACTTCAGCCCCAGCGACTGTACCACCTAGACAGTCAGTCTCAGAGGAAACGGAAGAGCGAGAAGAGAAGCAAATCGTGGTGCCGGATACAATTGTGCGCCCAATTGTACAGCTACCACTGCCTGTGGAAGTTGTTAACGATAGCATGGAAGACGTGAGCCCCACAGAAGAAGGTGTTGAAGACTCCAGGCAGCTTCAAAGTCAATTGGAGAATGATAACGCTGACGACGACGACAACGACGACGACGACGATGACCAAGACGTGGTGGTTCGTTCGCGCATTGACAGAGTCGGGAGACATAGGCGCCTGCCGGCCAAGTTGAGAGACGACGGGGATTGGTAGGGCGGCAGTCAGTGATCTAGGTATAGAAGCTTGTAATATAAGTCTGGCTTCGTTTGTAGGATAGTCTAGATGTTGAACTGCGCCTATCTGTTCCTACTTGGATCAGGACTAGGTTCTGGTTTGAGTGAGGAATAGCTTGGCTTCTGGAGTATTATCCCAAGAGATAGGTACGTGATACATAATATGATGACTCAAGTTGCGCTGTTGATTTCAATGAGTGGACTGCCTTGTATGAGACATTGCCCTTTCCAGCTGTCTGTTAATCTATCCCAGTCTCTGAATCGGTAGGCTTGATATCATTTTTATGAAAGGGTATAGTATTTATGTCTTCATTAGATGGAGGTGCGCGGCACGGATAGATCTGCACTAGCATTAAAGCGTGTTAGACAAGCCACTTATGAAGCTTGTGCCCCACATGCCACCATTAGCGGCCTGTAGGTTCCAGCCACAGGCGATGACGTTGTCGATTCAGATGAGGGAAGCACTACGTAGCGTAACAGTAAGAGCACGACTGGGAACAGCTTTCCCAGCTTTTTGCCAGGTTCAGATCCAAACCCAAACTGACCACCTTTGTCATTCGTCCTCCCTCCTAGGTACAAATACTTAGACCTCGCAACCAGAAGCCCTTTCTCCCCTCGTAATCATTTGATTTCTTCCTCCCATTTTCACACTCATACCTCTCGAACCAGACAGCTCCCTCTGAGCTTTCCAATCCTCGCATACGAATTCATTTTTTAGCTGTTTACCCCTCGTCAGCTACCGCCGTCACCATGACGCTCTACTACACTCTTGTATGTCGTCCAAACCGCGACACAGAGCTTCAATACCCTCAGAAATGGAGTCGCTAACTGTAGAAACCAGGTGTTCATGCTTCTCGTCTTCGAGATGGGACTGTTCATGCTCCTGATCTTCCCCATGCCCTTCAATGTGAAGCGAAAGATCTTCACGTGCGTTATCACGAACTTTCCCTTCCACGCGTAGCACCGCGACTAACAGGAACCACAGTTTCATTTCCGAGAACCCCGTTGTCGCCAAGATTCAGTACTGGATGAAGATTACCTTTATCTTCATTCTGATCCTCTTTGTTGACAGCGTGAACCGTGTCTACCGTGTCCAGCTCGAGCTCGCCGCCGCTACCGAACAGACCAAGCAGGGTGGAGGGTATGTAACCCCACGCAACTACGACATTACAATTGGCTACGTTACTGACTTTTACTCGCTTACAGTGCCGCCGTTATGGGTCACGAGCGTCTCGAAGTCCAGGCCCGCAAGTTCTACTCTCAACGCAACATGTACCTTTGTGGTTTCACCCTCTTCCTATCGCTCATCCTTAACCGCACCTATGTTATGATCCTCGAGGTGATGCGTCTTGAGGATCAGGTCCGCTCTTACGAGGGTACCAAGAGCAACACCAAGGAGGCTGAGAAGCTTGCCGCCGCTGGCAAGCCCGGTGAGCTCGCCCGTCTCCGAAAGGAGCTCGAGGTTAAGGATCAGGACCTCAAGACTCTCAAGAAGCAAAGCGAGCAGCTCCACAAGAGCTACGATGAGCTCAGCGACAAGTACGCCGCTACCCAGCAGACCGGTGAGGGCAGGAAGGGCATCTAAAAAGCGTAATGTGATACGCTGTTATAGGAAGAGATACCCGCTCACCTAAAAATGCCCGATAACTGTTCTATCGTTGGCTTGAATGGGCAGAGGATGGGTCTAGGTCTGCGCCTGTCAGGGTACGCACAACGTACAGACCTGGAACACCCGAAGCGGAATATGTAAAATAACGGGTATATCGGTTACGGGTTTAAGTACCGGCGTAAAGTTGGCGATCGGACGGTCGACCATTTGAGATTGTATTCGAATTTCATATTTATAGAATTCTGATGTTGGATGCTAGCCTTTTCGAAGTTTTCTGTCACAAGGGTCTGTGGCATATGCAAGATATCATTATTCCAACCACACTATTCTCGCTATTACTGTATGTGACCTGAGCATTTCTATCCAACCAGCTGTAATTACTATTGCGATTAAGGAACGTTTCAGTACACCACGTCATATCTTTCCGGAAACAAAACACCATTGGCCATCTCTAGCACAGCGTATTCAATATCGTCCTGAGCCTCATCTTCGTCCCATGGCAAAATCCCCATCGCCCTCATACCGTCTACGCCACCTGCTTCACCAACTTCCCGAACAGCCTGCTCCCCTCCTATGGTTATGTCACCAGTAAGAGCTCCGGTAAAGTCAGGCCCTGGTTCACCTTGCAGGAATCCTTTGCGTTGGTGGGCCAAGTAGAGAGCATTCGTCTGAGTCAAAGGACAAGCTGGAAGATATACAATTGTTGTGGGCGGTGTATTTGGACGGTGACGACGGTCAAGAGCATATACAGCATCGGGATGCCAAACGAGGTAGTCTCCAGGTTCAAGCTTTGGTATTGGTATCATGCTGCGATTGAGTTGGAGATGAGGATGTAAAGCGTCGTTGAGCTCTTGTGGATAGGACGGCAATGCACCTTGAATCACGGATGACGGGGGTTCTTCGAGAATCCAGTTATCTGGTGAAAGAAAATCTAGACCTGAGAGCGAAGAGTCTTTGGGAATAAAGAACGGCCGGAGAAGAAGGTATGCAGTCGTAAGTCGAATCATCGGACACAAGAGAAGGGTACCTTGGCCAAAAGGAACATCACTCAAAGCAACCCAGCCCTGAAGCATGCGAAACATGCTGCATGACCCATCACCATTGTATAAATCACTCGTCACTTTTAGTCGAGTGCTGCTCTCCCACGGTTCCCAATCTTCCCAGTGACCATCAAAAATGGGCTGGTAAGTTGCTGCGGAACCGTAGCCATCTGGTTCCCAACGCTCGACACTTCCACCATCGACGTAAACGCTAAGGGAACAAGCTTCATCTCCAGGGTTTCTGATCCTCATTCGATCGGCATAGCTGACAGGAAAGTTGGGGCTCACAAGTGCTTTTGGGTCGGAAGAGTGCCATAGGTTCATTAAGAACCGTTGAGTATATATGATGTTTTCGTGTGCTCGAGCTTTGATCTGCCCAGGAGACCAATACACGCCATAAAGATGGGGATCATGAGTCGGAAGCCGTCGAGCTCGAGGGTGCTCCAAGTGTGTCTCCGTTTCCGTCTTCCATTGCGTAGCCAGATCATGGGGTATCACCTTTCGAACCACTGCGACCCCGCGGTCCTTGAGCCCGGAAGCGAATGCATTCGTCACCGAGGGATTCTTGAGGTCGATAAAATCGATAGAAGGGTAAATATCAGGCCCCGTCTTGTCAATGAGATCAATTTCAGCCTTCAGCTTCACCAGTAATCTTGTCCACGAGGCTTTGATCTGGTCTTGTTTGCCCTCGATTAGATCCTTCTTGATCCGAGCGAAGCGAGCAGGCAAGGGTATGGGCTCAGTGGTCTGGGCAAACATGCTGCTTGAACCAGGCCGGTGCCCTTTTGGTGCCATGTTCTGATGCTTGTAGATGTAGATAGTGGATATCGGAAATAGGAGATAAATATGTTATTCTGAACCACTAAACCAGCTCATGCATATGTAATGGATGGGCCGAATGAGTTCGATTGTCGAGCAACAGCAGAAATGGATTTCAATGGTCACTAGGGAGGATCCTCGACATGCTGGATTCTCAAGGTATCTGGCCCTTTTATACACGGGATTTGCATGGCCCGTTGCCACGCTTTAAGGCGGCGTGTCTCTTCACGGTGGCTTCGTTTACTGATCCAGCCATCGCTTTCATCTTGTGAAATCATCGTCATGCGGAAATTCTTCGGTTGTGAACTTGTTATTCTTCGGATATTGACGCTATCACGGCCCGGGAACCCGATCCTTTGAGCTTTGTGTTTTGATTGACTGGATTAGCTTGTGGCGTATTGTTGCATAGTGACCAGCAGTGTATTACAACATGCTGGACCTCACAGTTTGGAGTTCTGTACATGCAGGTAAAGGTAAGGCGCTGTCCGGTTATCCATTTGATGGCCGGCTGTGCACATTCCGCACCACCATTGTCAGGTTATCGCAAAAGCTGAATCTTGGAAGGCATATGCTTTCACCCATTGGGATTCTACTTGGCCCTATTGAAGGTGCGGGATGTGCACAGCCGGGTATCAAAGAGATGAGCGCTAGTTTACCATGCAGAACTAAGATTTGTGTCGTTTTGACCGACGTAGCGAAGGCTGCTCTTGAGTGACATTGTCGGCTTTCTTGGTCTCCTTCACATCGGGTTTTCTTTTCTTTGCTGGCTTCGTTGATGTATCCTCTTTCTCTTTCTTGACAGGTGCCGCTCCATGTGATTGTTCCGGTTGGTCCGGTTGCTTCATCAAGACATAGGCAACCTTTTCCGCGTCACTCGCTTTGACCACACCAAGTCTATCACACAGTTTCTCAAACTTGGAGCACATCGCACTGTACTCTTTAGCATCGTACTTGATAGGGCTCTGCTTGCTGTCACAACATAACCACCAGAAAGCCTCGTCGGAGAAGAAGATGACCCGACTCGCATCGTGGACAGCTAGGAGTAACGATGCTGTGGCGGGTCCAATGCCTCGAAGCTTAGTTAATACCTTCACAGCGGCTCCAATGTCTGCAGTCTTGTCGTACATCTCAACGGCTTGCTTGACGACATCCTGGGCATCACTTGGGTCATTGGATGAGACCAGTTTCATAAGTGTCGGCCTGAACTTTCCATGTCGCCTGGTTGTTCGTTAGTAAATGGTCGGTTATGCGGTATTCTCATCCGAGAACGATAGTATGGGCTTGCACTCACAGCTTCCACTCCACAAGGATCTTGATACCGTCGAGCGTCATTGGTTGCGCTCTAGATTCAGTGTTGAACTTTTCCAATGCTTCGCGATATCGATACTCATCGAGTTCTAGCAGTGTCTTTTGGCCACCCTTGGCTATACAGAGCGAAGCTGTTAACATCTCTCATCGGTTGTGGTGTCTATTGGTAATCAACATACCGCCTTTTTCGTCAGATACTCTTTGAATTAAAGACTCATATTCAGCAAGCCGTCGATTGAACTCCTCGAGGCTAATCTTGTCGGCAGAGACGATATTTGACGCCATACTGTTGAGCCGACTGTACACGGTGAGAGGGTGCTTGTGTCCAAGAAGTAATGAAAATGAAGGCGCAGGAAGTACGAGTCGTTTTATTCTGGTATTGGTGATGAATCTGGAAGGCACGATCTTGCTCAAAGCGATCATGCGAACTCTTGAAAGTGAAGGAAGCTGCAGAAGTTGAACTTGAATGGCATTTCAAACGCGACGCGAGGGAAAGAGATGAGATTCGCACGGTGCGCGATCGTAGTCGCCGTTTACACTACTACCAGCCCTTGCACCTTCCATAACAAACTACTTAATGATGCCATAATTTTGATCCTCAAGAATAGCAGGCTTAGGCGGTATTTACTATGTTTTACTCACTAACAGTATTCAAACTACCAATCATATCTCAGTAACGAAAGTAACGGCAATCATCTTCATAGCATCAACCAACCCAATTGTCCTCAACCTGACCGACCAACTTCCAAAGCTTGTCAAAAACGTTGTCTGGGTCATATTTCTTCTTCAGAGACCTCAGACGCTTTGAATGAGATCCGAATGCTTCCTCAGCCGAGATATCATCGGTTTCGACATAGTTGAGGTAATGGCCAATACCGTCCTTGTAGGATTTGTCGTTGTATCCCAGCTCGCGAACTTCATTTTGAAAAGATCGATTGAACATTCGGATCTCAGTGTCCAGGCTCTCGTCTTCCCATGTGTAGACGACACCTATATTGAAGTACTGACCTCGAGAGTTGAAAGCTGTTGACTCGACAGGAACTTCCTTGATCTTTTGGTACGGGATGCATTCGAGTAAGACCACTGAACTTTTCGTTCCTGGAGTGGCCTCAGTGAACTCTTCAAAGCGCTTATTGATTGCCTCGGCGGTTGACAACTTCATAGGAAGAGTGAAGTTGGAGCCACCGAACAGATATCGGCCTCCAGACTTGAGTTGATCATCATAGCCTTGATTGATTGCAGGATAAGGCATAGGCCCGACATGCTGCATCATCGCGCCTATTTCCAAGACAGGAGAAAAATATTTGGGACCCTCTTCGCCTGGATTCTCTCCAAGATAAGCCATTCGTGTAACGATCACAGGGGGTCTAGGTGCATCGGGATCTGGTCCCGGAGGAGCACGTGTGAAGGCGGCAACGAAGAGCTGCTTGCCATCATTGGTAGCCCCCCACGTGTTCATGAATTCGACGATAGCTGGGAGTTTCTCTATCGAAAAGAAAGCCATGCCGCCCCAAATGTCACTTTGTGGGTGCGCTTTGCTGGTGAACTGGGTTACAACACCAAAGCTGCTACCGGCACCCCTGAGTGCCCAAAAGAGATCTGAGTTTTCCGTGGCAGAGGCGGTCACGATACTTCCATCTGCCAAAACAACCTGGCACGAAATCAAGTTATCAATGGCCAGCCCTTGCTTTCCACTCAGGACTCCATAGCCTCCGTGTAGGATGAGACCACCAACGCCTGTATGAGAGACAGTTCCTCCTACAGTAGCCAGGCCTTTAGCCCAAAGCGCTTCGTCGACATCTCTCCACAAACAACCCCCTCCAAAAGTGATAGTTTGTGCGTCAGCGTCTACTGAGACATCACGCATAAGAGACAGGTCCAGGACCATACCCTCAGGCGATGGAGCACAGGATGTCTGCGAGGTGCTGTGGCCGCCTCCTTTGACGTTGAACTTGATTCCGTTCGAAGTTGCAAACTTGACCACGGCACTGGCTTCCTCAGCAGTCCTAGGTTGAGCTACAGCAGCCTATGAGAGAGTAAGTTTTGTAGAAGATAACAGCAGCACGGCAACTTACAGCGGGCTTGACACAAGTGATACTCCATCTTTTGAGACTTTCATCATATCCTTCGTCTCCTGGGAGTAGGAGTCTTCCTTGGACCAAATTGGCACGCAAAGACGAGAACCTGGTCTGGGTCATGTTTGTATGAGAAGTAAAGAGATGTAGTTAGGTGTGTGGGAATGCAGACACGTCACATAGTTGCTGGGCTGCCTTATATATGTTTATGGATGCCTCGCATGAAAGTGGAAACGCCAATCTTGACAACTCTGACATCACATCAGTAATTATTATAGAGAAGTCTTGGCTTCTGAGGAGGTAGTCCCAGCAGTACATGGAGTTATTGGTTGCAACAGATTGGATTCGGTGTCTATACGAGATCATCGCTTCTGGAGCTTGCTTTGAGCAGAGTAATAAGCGTATCCGGCCATTACGTGTCGCTCTTTACACCAGTATACAAGCTAACTTATGGCGAAGACTCGGATCCTTCAGACCCGAACTAGTTGTGGTGGTCAGCAGAAAAGTAGCATTTCCCGGTTGTCTACGTAGAATAGAAGGAACTGATCTACTGGGCAACAGAGTAATTGTCCTATAAGGCTTAGGGCGCTAAGATAAAGTAGCCAAGCTGCTAATCTAAACTTGCATAAAATGTCTGAATTATTTTGTCTCTTCCTTAGGCTCCCACTCACTCAGCGGCCAACGTTTCTGATACCTTGATGCCAATACAAGCTGCAAGCCTCGTGAGAGCTTCTTGGAGCAATTCTCGTATCTGATAGGGCTGAAGTTCAGTGTGATTGCCGCTGACCTACTAACAATCTGATATTTGTGTCGTTAAACCCGTCGCTTATACGGATCTTGCATGGTCTCTCTCCGCGATCTTCTTCAGGACTGCTTACTTGGAATGATCGGGGAGGTGAATAAACTTTGGTCCGGGCTTACTGAGACAGTTGCCGTGTGAGCCTGTTACAGAATTTTGACTTCACCATCACCCGCCGTCTGTTTTGGCTTGGTGACATCTTGGGTGGTGTTAGGATGTCAACATGCTGAAAGAGAAGGTCCAATTAAGAATAACCCATGAGCAACAATGCATTCAATAAATACACAAGATATTTGATTGACATAAAAATACAGACTATAGTTGTTCTTTACTTCATACAGTCACTAACATGATCTGATTGACTGTACCGAACGGTATCCATCACAGCTGGAGCCCCAGTTATGATGAACCCCTGTAAATGTCCGTACGGAGACGGATTTCTGGAACGGTCGAGACCCTGAAATGGGCTAACGAGGGGGAGAGGGAAAAAAGTCAGTGGACAAGCAAACAAAAATAAATTCAGTCCAGTCCAATTGCTGAGCGTAAAGATAACGGAGTGCCCGAAAGAGCGATAGTGAAGAGGGGAGACTTTTCCGTTTTTTTCTGGATAAGACAAATCCCATCAACCTTTTACTCTAAACTTACACACACTTTGTATCTTCCTCAACACCGCCAGTTCTACCACCAACTTTTTGTCCAGTCTACACACCCTCTTCTACCTCTTCTTCTTCTTCCTAAATCGCAAACATGGGTAACGTAAGTACATTGTCACCTTTCCTTTTGGAGATAGTATCCCATCACCCAAGGTCTCTATGCTGACATGATTGCTTCAGGGTGCCAAGGCTCAACAGAAGCGCGAGCGCGCTGCTAAGGACAAGACCTCTGCCAAGTCGCAGCTCAAGGTGGTAAGTAAACAGAATAATCGTTCGTTTAGCTGGGCTGTCTGCTAACATGTGATACAGAACGAGAAGGCTTGCGACATCCAGTGCCAGATCTGCAAATCTACCTTCCTCAAGACCACAAAGGCCCCTGCGTATGTCTTCCACAACCCCTCCACTTCTCCCCACTGATCAACTAACCCTGCTTCAAGTCTGAAAGAGCACGCCGAGAACAAGCACCCCAAGAACGCCATCAAGGAGTGCTTCCCTACCTACGAGGGTTGAACCGACCACACGATCACCTCGACGCAAAACAACGATAACCGCATCGTACGATAGAAGATACCACAAGACGAAGAGAAGAAAAAAGTGAAAAATGGAAAGCATTTAGCGAAGCGAGGCGTAATGTGGTGTGATGGTTCTGGATGGAGAGACAAAGAGAAGTTTAGATAACAGGCAGGGACTCATGATAACGTTATACGGTTCTTTTTGCATATGCTTGCTACCTTGTCCCTCAGTGTCTTGCTATTGATTTAATGAGCCTCCACGGCCTTGGGAGGCGCTTCCACGGATGGCGCTGCAGTTTCCTTCTGCTGCTTCGCCTTGGCCTGCTCCTCACGAATACTAGCCAGAATATCGGGATACCAGCGCTCTCCAACATCAGGATGACTCTTTACACGATTCCTCAGAGTTGCTTCACCAAGGGTCTTTGAAGCGCCGCCTGCTCGGAATGTAAACTCGACATCATCAATACGGCCACCGTTGCGCTCAACAATCTTGCGTCGCTGCTCTCTAACCTCCTCAGGGACAAGACCAACACCGACTTTCTCGAGGTCGTCGAAATCAGCGCTCATGCGAACACCTTGGAAGAAGGGGATTGAGAAGCGTGCGCCGGATCCTGCTGCAGGTGAGAGAACGCGATGTGTTGTTGAGACGCAGACACCTTGTGTAAGTGCCTCAAGACCCTGGCCGATAGCCACGACGAGTGTGCCGGGGATGGGTTCGCAGTCTATCCACTCGCCACGGACATTTTGTACTTGAAGGCCTTTATGCGATGTAGCTTGGAGGAGATAGCTCGAAAGCATACTATCTTTGTGAGGACCTACACCCTGACCTTGCGCATCGCCTTGGATACCAAGCTCTTTTGCGTCAGGGTACTTGACGATCTTGAGCTTGTGCTGCTGGTCCTCGTCAAAGTACTTGTTGAATGCATCGCTAGGAAGCTCGATTGCCTCGGCGATGAGAGACGTAAATTGAATTGAAATCTTACCCATGCGTTCCATATACTCTGTGTAGACCTTGCGAAACTCTGGCAGTGAGTCTTCGGATGGCCACTGGTTGGGCGCCATTAGATTGCGATACAGAGGAGCTCCTGGTTTGGGAACGGGATGTTCGGTAGAGAGATCGATCTGTTCTCTGTGATCGACTTCTCCAGCTGTGATTTCTGCTGAGAGTCGTGAGTAGCCGAGAAAAGAAGGTGCATTCTTCATCTCAATCTTGAGTCTGATAAGCGAGTTGAGTTATTAGCATACAACTAGACAACGAGATATATCGTCACTCACTTCTCTTCCTCGGGAATATCAAAGAATCCTTTTCCAAGTTCGATAACTCTCTGGAACAATTCATCCTCAATACCGACGTTCTTGAGATACAAGAAGCCAACTTCCATCAACGCATGACGAAGTTCCTTGAGAAACTGAGGCTTTGTCGCTGGATCCTTGGACGCAGCCAAGTCCAGGATGGGAATAGACGTGAACGACATTTCAATTCGCGGTTGAGATTGGTATAAATGTGAAGAGATGATTAAAACTGGTTGATAAATGAATAACTTGGTATCTTTCTCTTCCTGTGAATAAGTAGCCAACAGGTTACCCATCACCTCCTCATGCTATGGCGCAATTCGGTCTAAGTCGGCATCTGGCGTCACAGTACGTAACACAGTCTTTTATGTCCAATACGTACTGTAACTCGGATCCGATAAATGAGAAATGCCGAGGTAGTAGTAACACCATTTGGTGATCGCCTCTCTTTGTCACCCGCGTAAAACACCGATGTCGGACATGTTCCTTCGAAACTGAGTGACAGCTGGTATTCAAACCTGCTTTAACGCCGGCGCTGCGATCATCTAGATAATCTTCCCAAGATTTACCCCCCTTATTCAACCAGACCAAGTCTAGTACAATGCATAGTGACATACGCGTATGATGATGAACCCCCTTTCTGACAAAACATTCTAGCTTAGCTTTTTACCGCACCTTATTATATAAACACTTTTTTCATCTCCTTCCTTCTCATGATGCTGATAAAGGCTTTGTGGCGAGTAGGCCCATCACTTTGTAGAACATGTCCTCGATTGGAGGGGCGGCGAACGCTGGTGCAGAGTCGAAGATGTCTGACAACTTTTGTTGCGCGAACACGCTGGGGTGAGAGTCGTCATCGTCGTCGTCTCCCATCTCAACGTCTTCGGGCTCAGCTACGTCTCCGGCCTCATCCTCGGCATCGCTGGCCATATCCTCGTCCTCATCAATGAGGTTAACTTCCTTGCTGTCGACTTCGATACCATCAAGGAGGAGGTCCTCAAGTGGCTGGATTGTGGCAAGGGATGAAGAGTTTGATCCTTCAGCAACGACCCAGACTTGAGCAGCGTCATCGAGGGCGATGAAGCCGCTGGTCTCGGGGGCGGAGATCAGACTAACAACTCTTTGAGGTGTGCTACGCACAATCAAAGGCTCAATATACTCAGGCTCGAAGATTGCGAGTAGAGATCCCTCCTTGGCAGGCAGAGCCAGGGCGAAGTGTCCTGAGGTATGGTCGACGGCCAGTTGAAGCAGGGCAATGCCCTTGACCTTGGGAATCACAACACCATATCGTAACTCGTCGCTAACCACATCGTAAACACGCAGCTCATCGGACAGAATAATGACGAAAGGCGAAAGCGCTTGGACAGATCGCAATTGCCCCTTCCACTGGCCCTCAAGGGTCTTAACCACCTCGCCTGACGCAGCATCAATCACGTGGACCGCACCGAAACCAGCTGTTCCGTAAGCCACGAAGAGCGCAGAGCCATCCTCTGAGAATGCGATTTTTCCTTGAGGCTGCTGTTGGGCAGAAGTCTCGGGAATATCAACCATATCATCTTGAGGAATACCATCGCCAACTGGGATAATCTGTGAACAGCTCCATGTGAAAATCTCACGACCATCAGGTCCCTTAACGACAACTCCGTCCTGAGACCTGGTCTTGGGGCGCCACAGACGAACATTGCCATCGGTACCGATCGTAGCGAAGCCAGTGGAAACAGGATTTGAGGTCAAGTCAAGAACAGCTTCGTTGCGGTGTGTAGCATGGGGAGCGTTGATTCTGGAAACAAGCGCGATCTGCTCTTCGCCCTGTTGCGCTTCCCAGAACTTGAGGTAAACCTCACGTCGCTCCTCGATAAGCTGATCTCTGCTATCGTTGGTTACGTTGTCCACGTCACGAGCCGATTGCTCCCAAGTGTCCACGCTGGCAAGCCATGCTCCATCAGCAGAGAAAGTTAAGTGAGTAACAAGGGGCTCTTCAATGGGGTGACCCTTGTTGGTAATGTTAACGTCTGTTGGCTGTGATCGAGCCAAAGCCTGCTTGGAAACACTGCGGAAACTGTCGAGATCGAATGTTTGCAACAATGGAGCGGAGAAGCCTCCTGCCATAGTGGCCTGGCTACCGTTACCAACACACACATGAAGCCTTGACTGATCCTTAGGGTTGATGACGGCTGGGATAGGTCGCTGGATATGTGTAGGGGTTGTCCATACTCGCTGGACAAGCTGGTCCTTAGGTGTAGAGACGTTGATCGCGGCTGACTGAATACCAGCGATGTATGCGGTGGGCTTCATCTCGGCGGTCGAGAGAACCATGACCGAGTTATCATCGAGATGAACAGCGTATGAGGATCCGTTGGCAGAAAGTGTGATGTTCTCCACGCTACCAGCGAGATGGGGAAGGAAATCCTTCTTTCCTGTATCCAGCTGCCACAGAACAAGGGCGTTTTCTGAGCCTCCTGAGATCAGATAGTTACCTGTCGCATGTTAGTATGACCAGATTGAACATATGATAGAGCATTCATACCATCGTGCGACCACTTTACGGAATGCACAGCTTTGCGATGCCAGTGGAAGTTCTGCGCTTGAATAGGTGTCTTATCAGCTCCATTGGCAAGTGCCTGGCTTCTAGCAAGGGCATCGCGATAGAGGTAGATTTGACCACGGGCGCCACCAACAACGATATCCAAAACGGGCGCATCAAGGTTTCGCGACTTCTTTCCGACTGGTCTTTGGTACACCCGGAGATCAAGTGAGGTGACTAGATCGGGAATATCGAAAGTGTAAATCTCGTAGTTGAATGCGGAAAGGCTGTCGAACTGATCCTGAGAAGGAATGCCAAAGAAGAGACGGTCGTTGATTGCGCCAACCAGATGTCCATCCTCGCTTGTCTCGAGAAGTTGCAGGCCATTGCCATGCTTCTTCATAACGAAAATGACCTTGTGCTCAGACTCTGTTGTTGCGGCTGGGTATGCGACAACTTCGATTCGGCCAGGCTTATCCGACTCTGCCACAAAAATGATCTCTTGATCCTTGCCGGAAACCTTCTTCGTTACGAGGGCCATGGCATTGGCGGTCTTGGACTGTGTCTGGAAGGACTCAGGTGTCTTGGAGGTCGTCCAGTTAACCTGGTAGACATGACCGTCCGAGGTGGCTACCCAGAGGATATCGGAGTTCTGCTTCGATTGACGCATGGCGACAATATGCGCGGGAGCTGATGTCTTCTCATCGGAGGCTTCGGCTGCTGTGATTGGGATTCTTCGAACGAGGAGTGAGTCGACTGCTGAGTAGACCTGGATCGAGGTGTTGTAGGCCAGAATGAGATATCTGCATAGGTTAGCTAGGCGCGCCGTACCTAGATTTTTACGAACTCACTGTTCATCCTCTGTAATCACAGGGTCGATATCAAGCATTCTGCCGCCCATAGGCTTTGAGACGCGCCATCCTGCATCTGTATTATCGAATTGGCGAACAATCTCAATTTCTCTAGGACCGGTCTCTGTCAAAGCCTCAGAGATCTCGGCCACCTCAGAAACAACCCCACTCTTGCTCTTGCTTGATCCATTGGCCTTGGCTGCCTTTTTGTCAGCTCTTTGTCGCTTCGTTCTGGAGTCGTTCTCGGCAAGATCCCGTTTGCGCTTCTTGGTCGGGTCGTGTTTTGTTCGGGGGCTTTTGTTGGGAGCCATTTTCACCACCTTCTTCTCTCTGCACGAGATCTATTTCTGTGCTTGCGACGTTGGTGAAAAGTTCGACGTCAGAGAAAAAGGTGAGAAAGTATCCAGCATATACATCTATTGGTAGAGATTCGCAGAAATTTTGGTCCCGCTTGCGAACTTTTTGTTGCTGATAAGATAAGTTAGCTCACGGATAAACCCCGGAACGCCGATAAGGAGAATTTATTTTCGAGGACGAGCTACGACACCAAAACCACCGCAAGCTTTGTTTGTAACGTGCCTCTTTGTCTTGTCGCAAATCTTTTTGGCGTATCCGACGAGCCCGCGCATTTACGAAATACCATCAAAATGATTATCCCCATCCGTTGCTTCTCCTGTGGAAAGGTACAGTCTTCGATCACAATGCGCCAGTCGCGCAGCTTGCTGACTATTGATTGATAGGTCACTGGTGACCTCTGGGAGCGATACCTTCAACTGATCGCGGACGAACGCAAGACCGATGGGTAGGATAACTACTGTTACTCCATATCTCTTTCAGAGGCTAACGAGATACACAGCGACGCTATGGACGAGCTCGGTCTCAAGCGATACTGCTGCCGCCGTATGATCATGACCCACGTCGACCTTATCGAGAAGCTCCTCAAGTACGATCCGATATCCAGAATACATCACATAACGCGATTTCTAACATCAATACTAGGTACACTCCTGATGGACGAAACGAGAAGAAGCAGCAATTGAGCCAGAATGTGTAGGCACGTCCTCACAAATAAGCAGTCAAGGGATGGTTGTGCATGGTTTGGCGTTTGGGAAATGTAGCCGAAATATGTCATTTTGACGGCGCAGGGAAGGCAATGAATTCATCAGGGTCAGTCAAACAGAGTACGACAAGAGTATTCATAATCGATGGAATCCTTTACAGACCCTTTCGAGATTTTGAAGATCCAATGAGCATTCCAGTTTGAGTCTGGCCTTTGCAGTCCTCACTTACCTTTTTGGGCGGGAAGGAAAAACTTTGAGCCCAGGACGATGCGACATCTGCATCCTATGCACCCGGCAGGGTCTTCTTTTAACGATGGACCTGTCTTGCACCGTACTTCTGCCCTGTCCCAGGCCTGTGCGCAAAGAGCGGTGGAAGTGCAGTTGCTGTAAGAAACAACAGGCAGACTTTGAATGTCTGCAGAGGAAAACTGCGCCAACGTTATGTTGACAGGGATAGTACTAGCCAAACTGTCTTGCATATTTCCTGTCTCACCTGATTTACAGAAACCATATTCAGTGTTCGCTTTGTTTCCATGGTCAGTGTCGCCTAAGGACCCTTGAAAATTCACGCAGACCTGTTGGTTGTGCCCCTCGGCTTATTTGCTTGTACGAGAAGGTGAACGACAAGTTTGTCAACCCAACAGCGCCCAACATTAGGAGGCGGACTGTTAATTAACCCAGTCCAACAAGTATCAATTGCAGCAGGTGGGGCAAACGGCATAGACACCGTTAATTGCCCGATAAAAGAGTTGATATAGCATGGTGTTAGTGCTTGACAGGTTGGGAACATTCTTAACCTGTTGGCTCATGCTAGTGTCGGTGTAAAGGATGCAACAACATTAGATACTCCCCCAACAATGGATCGCGATGGACGATAAGAGTTTAGGACTTCGGGAGCCGAAAAAGGCAGAATGTTTCAATTACCTCATAGTTAGGCTGCAAGAGCCATAGTAGATGATTTTGTAATGATCATTCTTCTAACAAAGCAACCGGGGTATCGTTTTCTACCGGAGCTTCGTTAGGGAACCGTTCATCCTGTCTGGTTATCCAGGATGAGGCTCTTACACAAGAGCCAGCGGGATTATCTCAATGGCTTTTACGAAACTGCAGTGCTAATCACTTTATGTGGATGAGAACCAATACCAGCGAGGCTGCTTACTGACAAGCACTGCTTGAGGCCCTTCATTTATTTTCCGAGTGTGACGGAAGTGAACCATTCAGCCTATCCCACAGGTTGAACTGCCCTCCACGACAGCAGAACAAATACCATGAAGGCACGTAGCTGTCGGTCAAGGCAAGATGGGTGTTGCCAGCCTGATAAGTCCATCCCTGTACTTGGCCGTCGTGAGGGTAAGACAAAGTAACAATGTACTCTTACACTATAACTATCACTCTTTGATAGAATATTCTGCAAAGTCCCCAAGTAAGCCGGAAACGTCTACCGCGCCTAAGTGAGCCCAAAGGTCTGTGTAGCATTAGGTTGACCAACAACCGCGCTTGGGCTTATGCTGATCGTTACGACACGATCTTGGCCCCAAAGCTAACACTTCGGACGGACAGGATACCGTAATAGGAAGTCTTGAGTCATCGAGTTGTGCGACTTGATAAACAAAGCAAATAGCATTAAAAAGAAGAGAGTTGGCATGCTGTATGTCGAGTAGGCTGGCGCCTATGCACTTCACAACCCCACAACTCTTTCGTGCATATTCAATTCCCTTTCACCGCAATATCTTGAAGGCCATTTGTATCCCGCACTACTCGTGTCGAGTTCAAAGATCCATCAGCAGCATCGACAGAATTCTGTTGGATCACACAGACTCGTCGGCTATAGATTACGGGAAGAGTTGCGGGATGGGCAGAGCCCGTGCCATGATAACAACCTTGTCTTGGGGAGCATTGAAAAGGATCCCTAGCTTAAAAGGAACAGAAAGCCTGCACACTTCCGAATATCGCGGGCGAACTCGTGGAGCTACACATCAACAGTAGTGACAACAAGGGTACACGCAACCGGCTAACAAGGAGTTGATGTCCCCGCACCAGCAGGTCGGATTGGCGATCTTTTAGAACAATTCCGACAGTCTGTCTAGTGCTGTGATGGCTAAAACAATGCAGCAGACCTTGGGCAATCACCACGCTAATAGTAAAATGGCTCCCAGGATGATGACCCCGGACAAGTTGACTGTTATAGCGTCGAGTGAATGATGTGAGGTAAACAAACAGTGCTAAATTGCAACATGCAGTCCCATACAACTGTCAAACGATTTTAATGGAGTGCGGTTTTCTTTCCGCAAAACTCAATGTTTAGGTCGAGGAAGTCCACAGGTATAGCTTGGTTGGCTATCTGACTATCGTCCCTGATGAGAGATGTCAATACCAGGATTTACCGCGAGTATGGGCCAACTTGAACCGTCCGGACGTGAAAGATACCACCAATCTGCTTGACCAAATACTTGAACTTTTCAAAGCATCAGGTGGTCTGACAGAGTCCTCTAGCTAAAGGTGATAGAGCTAGCAGACGGCAACTGAAGCTAGGTTATCTTGGCCAGGTGTTCCCATCGTTAGGTATCTTCTCTCATTATCCGGTGTACAGTTCTCTCGCTTGCTTGGGGGGTCTTGCTGAGAAGCCAGTCAAGGGACAACCCGTTCCAATGGAAGCCAACGGATTGCACTTCGCGAAAGGACTTCCTGCGGCCCCGGCTAGTGGGGCCACCGGCTCGTTTTAGCGTTGCCAAAGCCGCCGTGACCAGACTGCTGGGTTTTGACTTGGGTTATTGATTGGTTCGCCCAAAATCCTGGTGGTACCCCTGCGAGCCCTGGGCGTTTACTGCATCAGCACTACCAAGAATATCCAGCGTTGTGGATTTCCATTCAAAAGCTTCCAGAGAAGCGGGGAGAAATGGTAGTTGTCCCAAGCTGGCTGTGACAGGTAGTTCTGCCTCGCGGATCATAACAAACCAACTAAAGGTCACTTTAGTCCGACCTCAGGTGATTTCGGGGAGGTGGTGTTGGGGAAAGCAACAGAGCCTACAAGTAGAACCAACACGTTCTGTCGCAAGGTCCGCTGCAGATGAAGTATCGAAGGACGTCACCTCGCTTGGATGTATCAAAAAGATCGATCGCAGTTAAGCTATAGACGAAATTGTCGATTTCGTCTATCAGCGCTCAGGCAGACCCTTTGCTTGTTTTGACAACACCTTAAGCTTCAAGGTCGACTTTTTACTGTCCCATGTTTCCATAACCGGAGGTGGGAGTACAACCATAGCATTTTCATGCAAAGCAACACCATGTTGGCTTTCATGTTTATGAAGCCAAGGCTCCATAACGGAATTACGAGCCAAGCCCATCATGAGAAGGTACTTTGACTCCCACCGTATGTCTATGCCGTTGCGAGAACTGGAGTGTCGAGATGCTGGTTTAGGTTGTCGATCATGCTGAATACGCATCGAAAGTCGAGTGTCACATTCCGTGCCGTTCATGCTGTGCAGCGGCCCATGGCACATGGCATTGAATTCGTCACGGCTGAACACAAATTTGGTACCGGATCTCGTCAAGACAAAGCTCCATGCTGCATAACAATTGGATGGTTCGAGGTTGTTGGTGGAAGCAATGCAAGTGGGGGATTGCGGAGGATTGACCAGTCCCACCATGAGTTAAGCGCCGACGCCTGTCCTCTTTAATGGCCCCACGGGTTTAGAAGCCACGATCCCTCCACCCTGACCAACTGTCTGGGATTTAACTGGTTCGTTGCAAGGGACGGGCGGCTGGAGTTTTCTTTGTGATTGTCTCGACGCGGTCCTACTCCATAGCCAAACTGTTTAGCTGAGCGCAGAGTAACAGAAAACTGTCGAGCTGCAGAAGTGGTGTATGTAGCTTCGAATTGTGCGTGTTACCATCTCGAAGGTCAAGACACGTAGTTGAAATTGACTCGTAGAACTGACGGAAGAGTGACAAAAGAGTGACAAAATGAGTATCAACAGTTTTTGGGGGCCATGGATGAGGATGGAGGTTCGAAAATGGGCTTGTACCTGTGCCTGAGACCTCCCGTCAGAAGCCACCTGCCTTGTCTCAATTGACGTGCACCTACCTCAGGCTATCGCGGGAGAATGATTGAGATCTGTACGTAGGGCAGGTGCTTACCGGGAGTGGGCCTCCTGTGTCTTACCATTCGTCCATCAACCAGGCAGGTTGACAGGCTTCTCCTTCCGCCAAGGGTAATCTTCAGGCAGGCAGGTACTTTGGACTTACACGATGCAGATGCTGGCTGTTGGTCCTCGCCTACATACTCCGTACAGCTTTTTGAACTCATCACTACGCTGAAATTACTCACTTTGTCTCAGTTATATGCAATTGATTATTCAACTTTTCTCGCCAGCGATAATAAGCATTGAAGTTCTCTGCATCCAGCCACTACAATACAGCCGCAGCAAGGAAGCCAAGAAGTTGCTTTGACCACACCCTATTTTCCGAGGACATCACCAGAATTAAGACCAGACAAGGCACTTATTCATTTGGAGGAACCAACCACTCTACCTTTAGCCGCTCCGTCCACTCGTCTTTTCCGTCTGATCAAGTCGATAGCTTCTGCCACACCTCATTGTTATTGGATGCAGATACAAACCTTTCCTCCGGCTGGTGAAGCCATATTCGGAATAAATCGAGGCTCAATTGCCAGCCCATCAGTAAAAACTCCTGGTCAGACCTTTCGGAAAAGAACCCAACCCATTGACATCTTGACAGTCCAACGTCTTTCGGCCCCCAAATCGACCATACAGTACATACTCTCTCTCAAGTCCCATCTGTTCGCCGATCCACTGCTGGTCCACACATGCCTGATCTCGGCAAAGACAATTCAAAGTAGCTCAAGGGCTTTCTTTTTAGTTGTCCCAGGACAGCTTCAAGTGTCACAGGTTGTGCCGTAGCCGCAGAATCCCAGGCTTGTTGACCTCAATACCCACACCTCCCATATTTCGTCAGCTAGAGCTCAGAGCACACCCCCATTGACGATCCAACCCTCTTTAACTCACGATTATCGTTCTTCTGCGCTCAGATAATTCGTTGACAGGTGCAGAGATCGGATCATTACTTCGTTGTTGGCCAAGCGCAAAAGTACCCAGACGAACCAACTCCTTCAAGGTATTCTCAAAGAGAACATAATCGAGCTCAACCCGGCTTGCTTGTTATTGTTCTACCCGCGTCTCCTTCTTCCCCATCGCGCCAAATATCGCGTTCCCGACAAGCGCCGGCCGCATTTACGGTCTCCTCCAGGATAAAACGCACACAGTTGGACTCAACAGCAGCAAGATAGCCAGCTTGATCCAATATAGCTTCTTGCAGGTGTCAAGGGTGGGAACAACATGTTTGAACGCTACCGTCAAGCTTATTCCTGACTCAACCCACATTAACAAAGCTACATTCAATACCTGACCCATAGTGCTCCAATGCAACAGGGCTGCGAGCACAAGGGACCTTGACTATCAACCCCTGTCGGAGCGGCGTCTGTCTGCCTTAGTCCGTCGTCGCAACCGCTGGTGCTCTAGCTTTTGACCCTGCCTGTTTCTTTAAACCTTTCCCCCTCCATCTTATTCCTTCTCTGACTCTTTGGTTCGGCTTTTGGTGAGCTGGTTCTTGTTGGACAGCCACTTGCTTCATTGTTGGGTCTTATTGAGCCTTTCCTTCAGCATTTAGGGTCTTATGTATTCTTGCTAGCCGATCAATCCTTTTTTTTTTTCCCAATACCGTCGGTCTTGTCAAACTAGTTTCGCAAACTTCCAATCCTAGTACACCATCTCAGATCACGGGTCACTTAACTGGCCGCGCGCGACCACGACCGACCACCGGCCAGCAAGCTCAGATCCTACTCTTCACTGCCACGATAATTGTTGGCAGTCTCTGTTTTTTTCTGGTGATTCATTTCCAGTCAACCTTGGAATAGCTGCATTGCAAAGACTGCAAGGCGTTCTTGCTTTAACGCTTGCAGCTACGCCTTGTCTTAAGGACCTACCTTTCCCGCCAGAGCTTCCATAACGCTGCTGTTGGTGCAGCTAAACGTTTCAAGCTCCTCGGCTCCCGTCATGGCCCTTGAAGCTCCTTTGAGGTCATCGACTGGAAACCTTCAATTCCCTTTCGCCTACCCTCAGACAGACATGTCTGCGCCCACAGATCATGAGAGCCGCCGCTCTCCATTCAGACCATTGTAAGTCGATACTCCAAACTTGACTCTTAAGATCAAAACATCTGGAATATCTGGTATTGACTTGATGGCACAGCTCTTCTCCCCCTCCTGCTACCGATTCGTCATCCCTTCGACCGAATTCCGTCAATCGCATGTCAAGTAGCTCTTACAATGTCATGAGTCCCAGTGATATTGTTGGTCCTTCTCCAGTTACGTCCAATGGCACCGAGACAACCGAAATTGAGGATGATGTTTCAGAAGACATCGAGAAGGAGGTTACCGACAAACAGTCCGCTCGTAGATCTGAGGTCAGTCTCTTAGACGAACACTCGTTGCGTTCTTTTTGGGATGTCAACTGACCCTGCTTCAGCTGTTAATGCTTACGACAAATCTGCCTGAGAGTGTGCGCCAATCGAGTACTGAGGAAGCAGTATCTGTCATACATGCACCTGAAAGCTTTTCTAGCTGGGTACGTTCCGAATACTTTATCTGCAATACCATTATGTATCTAACATTTGCCAGGTTGCTGCGGACCCAGCTCCAGCAGTGGAACAGAAAGGACCGAGCCCTAGATCCTCTCCAAAGTCAGAAGTTGAAAGTCTAGCTTCTCATAACGGTCATAACGGTGCATCAGAGAAGGTTGGTTTGCCCATATCCGTTTACTGGTCGTGTACTAATTAGCCATTAGGCATCGACTCATCCAACACGACCTCCGATTGTAACCGATGTCAATCCTGTACGGTACAGCATAGACAGCGCCACGCCTCGGGCTCAGGATTTGCAGTCTATGTTGGACGACGGGGCTCGACTACGCTCAAGCAGTACGAGCAGCCTGGAGAGTAAGTCATGATACGTTGAGTTTGCTGATTATAGCTAACGTTCTCAGAAATTGATGAACAAACCGAGGCTGAGGGTGACGACGAGGATTACGAATCAGAAGCACTGCCGGTACCTCAGCAATCAGATGAGATCGAGACACTACGAGAAGCACTTACAGAATGCTGGACTTTATGTAACAGTATGTCCAAGCTGAGTTCTATCAACCGCAAGCGTGCTGCTGGTAAAAGTGGCATTCCCGATGCTCATGAGAAGGCATGGAGGACCTGTTGGAAACTCTGTCAGCGACTTTACATGAGCCGAGACGAGGATGCCAGCAACTTCAATGTCAAGGTTAACCTTGATCTCTGTCGAGACTTTTGCCAAGCATTGTTCGATGTGCGACAACGCAATGATGAAGCGGCGGATTCGGTCTTGCGTGTGAGTTTCGAGCTCAACAACCAGTAAGTGCCACGAGTAGTAGAGCATCCATTCATTTCTAACAAGTCAACAGCTTGTACAGCGCTCAGGATGTCAACCTACCGGAAGAGTTCAGGGAGCGCACGTTAGACTTTTACATCGCCCTTTGTCACCGACTCATGAAGCAACGGAGTGATTTGGCCGAAGAGACCGATCAACTACTCCGAGCCTGCTGGGCTCTGGCAGAAATGCTCTTCAATCTGAGACAGAACAGGAGAGACGGGAGACGCCCAGACGAGGAGCTACTCAGCTCTACTGTTCAGGCTTGCTTGGAATTGTGTGATGTTTTCCGAGACAGTTGGGCTCAAGTGCGACCTGAGAGGGGCGGAACGCCTCGTCCAGGGCAGCCATTCCCACTATACTTGAATGACCAGAATGGCCGACAAAGTCGCGGATCAAATCCATCCTCTGTCCGCTCAAGACACGATAGTGTCAAGAGTGGACGCCAGGAAGAGAAACCAAGGAATCCTGTGGTCCCCGAAACCCCAGTGACCGAATTTGAGGACACGCCGATCTCCCCACAGAGTCGCTCACCTACGATGCCCAATATTCTCGTCCTCGGCACACCCAGTGATAACAGTCGTGGCCGATGGTCAAGCAGCGCCTCTAACCTTTCAAGTTACTCGAAGAGTAGCGCCCGGACTTCAAGCACCGCTACCACCACTGCTGCGTCGGAGGATGCAAATGTGACACGCGCCAAAATACTTGTTCTTGCAGCCGCTATGAACCTGGGCTTCAATCGCGATTCGATTCATGATCCCAAAGCTGCGGCCACGGCCTTACAAAGCTTTGTGAAAGACCTTCCCCCTGGATCATTCGGCTCCCTCATCTCACATTCAAACTTGTTAGCTCAGTATAAGAACTCAGTCCTCACGGATGCTATAATTCCTCGACACCACACCTTACCAGCCCGAGGCAAGCGGGTCACTGCACAAGAAATGGCAAAGAGCATTCAAATGATGATGAAGAGTTCGCAACGATATGCTTACCTACGAGATCTTTTCAAAGTCGTTTTCCAATTTCCGATCGAAGAGGTTGAAACACGACGCAACATTAGCATTCAAGTGTAACGATGCTATTATCTTTTCCACAACTTTTTTTCCAAGGCCCTGTGATAGTGCCGAACCGACCACGATTATGTCATGTTACGTCTAATGTTATTGTTTTATACTGGAACTGGGAGTCGGGAGCCAGAAAGGCACATTGGTTTTATTGTGCCAACATACCTACAAGTACGACAAATTTATATATATCTGTTTATGCGATGGTGGAGAGGCATTTTGAAGAGATTTACGCGGCGGTCTATTCGTTTCTATATGCACGAGATACCCTGTTGGGAGGCTCTAGCGGGCATATTGATGTAAGAGAGGGTTGAAGGATACGGTCAGAGGTGCTTGTTCAAGCCAAGAGTGGTAAATTATAGCAAGTCTTATAAGAAGCTTTGGATGATATCAAGTCACAATCCTGAGTGGCGCAGATGGTTTGAATAGTTTTCTACTATAAATAAGCTGTGCTAAGGAATTCAAAATCCGGGTATCCAATAACGCTCTTCGCCCAGTCCCCTGTTCTTGTGTTCTATCTTGCTCGTACATATCATCCAGGCTCGCAGTCTACCTGTTGCAATTATTAGGTCTGTCTCGAGTAAGAAGTATAGCTATATAAGAAGTTCGGTTTGGGAAAAGGAAGACTTCAAGTCAGTCAAGCGTAACAAAGGCGAGCTGGCATCGGTCATGACAAAGGGGATGTTTGTTTCGTGTATCAAACTAGGCACTGATAGGCCTAGTTATTTCAAGACCATATATATAGCCGAACGACCCTTCCGAGAATAAAGCATGCATCTCGGTAACCCTTACAAAGATCAAGGGGACTTCTTGGCGAATGTTCGCGCGTCGTAGTTGGCACCGAACAGTCTTGGGTCGATGGTGTCTGGTGCTGAAGCCGCATTGTTTTTCGGGTTGTTCCCAGGGGTCACACTCGATTGACTTTGGGGAATGTGTTCATGATCGGCCTTTATAGTATAAGAAGGGGACAGCCGCTCCTGGTTCAGCTGAAGTTGCTCATTCTGGGCTTCAAGCCCACGCGTTAGCAACTGGTTGGAGGGAGTTCGGTCACGGGCTGGGCCATCTGCTTTTATATATTCCTCCCAGCTTGAGGAAGATGGGCCTTCCTCCTTTGTCGATTCCAGCTTCTGCACTGACTGGGAGGTTTCAGGAAGAAGGGGTTGCTGGTTATATACAAAATTCGAAATCTGGGAGAAGCTGGATGGGGTCATCTCCGGCATGAAGGACGTCGAGCGTTGAGAAGCGGAGGCATTCTAAGCCCCGCTCTGAACGCTCCCGGCTTGTTGAGGGGAGGAGGCGGGCACATTGACGCTGAAAAAAGAATTAATAGCCTGCTGTTGGTTTGAACTGGTGCCAGGAAGAGGTTGGGCTTGGGGATATTGTAGAGAACCTGAGCTCAGTGTTGCGGTTCTAGGGACGGAACTTGCTTGGCCCAGAGTACTTCCATCCTGCTGTCCGAACCGGGTGTTGATAGGGGTGAAGCTTGTGGTGAAGGTGGGTTGTTGCTGTGTCTGCCATGTATTGATCGAAGGTCCAGAAAACGCATCTTGAGGTGGGGATAGGGTGTAGCTGTCACTTGGAGAGCGGATGTTAGAGAACTGAGAAGGGGGCGATGCTCCAAAGTTGGGGAAATTAGACGATGGAGTAGTCGTGTAGTCGTCAAAATTGAATGGCGGGATCTGAGAGAATCCTGCAGGCTGGTTTGGGGGAGACAATGAGAGACTGACTGAGGAGGAAGGTTCTCGGCGTGTTCGTTTCGAGGGACCAGATGAGTCTCTAGATCTATGATTAGTATTAAGTAACTAAGAGATAACTCCTTGGAGGTCGGAAGGGCTTACTCGGAAGTAGGTGAAGTCACAGCTGCTGCAAGAGCAGCTCGTCTTCGCTTGACCTTCTTGTTGGCTGGTCGGTTGATCAAAGGAGAACTAGAGATGTCATGTTAGTGAAGAGTCGGATGGTCAAGGAGTGAGGTATCGCTCGACACAACATACCCATAGTCGGGATCTTTTCCATACTTGTTCCGCAAGTAGCGGATTTGGTTGTCCGTCAACTCTCGATCAAATCGTTCTTGGAAGGCCTGAGAGATCTCTTCGTTGAACAGATCCTGGAGCATCAGATCCAAAGCGAAGCGGATCTCTTCCGGTTTGTAAACTGGCTTGCCAGTCATGATGAGCTAGGAGCAATAGCAAAGTAGTATTGGTAGGTTAAAGTTAAAGGTTTAGTGATAAGGTGACGTTGTATGGTGTAAAACTGGGAATGTCCAAAAAAGAAAAGCCTGAGCAGTCGGCTGGGTAAAGTAGTTGGTGATAAAAAGATGAGGTAAGTCTGTTGTTCAGGGGATTGTGAAGGACAATGAGTGTGTGATAGGTTGGGTTGGTAGTTGAGGGTACAGTGGTGTAGAGAGGGAAGCTTCTTAATCACTATGGTTGAGATGTAGGATTGTGAAAGAGAAAGGTTGAGGAAGAAGGGGTCGAGGAGATTTTATAGACGGTCGGCTGACGTAGTAAGGGCACGCAGCTTGACAGTGAATCATGAGGGTGAGTCGCGATGTTAAAGAAGGGACGAAAGAATGAGAGGAACAATAGGGAGTCTTAGGGTAAAATGCAAAGGTGTCAAGCAAGAGGCCTCTTGTAGCAATGTGGTTGAGAGTAACGATTGTCGTAGAAGAGAAGCCTTATGTAGAGGCGAGCGTTGGTTCTTAGAGTAGAGGTGGAGTGGAAAAGGAGAGGTAGAAGCACAAGAGTGGGAGGAGAAGCAGTCTTTATGAAGGGTTCCCCCTAGGAGGGTTTGGTGATTGTTCACGAAAATTGCAAACGGGTCAACAGCATCGTTGTTTGCACAAGATCAAATCCATACCCGCTATGTTTCCCTGCTGCTGTATCAAACAGTCAATCAGTCTATATCTAGTCATCTAATCTTTTCCTCCCTTATCCCCTATTCGTCCCGATTCCCAGGCGCCTAACTCCCCCTTTTCGGATACCTTCTCAATCACTTATACAACTAGCAGAGGCTGCTACAGGTAGTGGTGAACCACCGCGGCTAAACACTCCAAGCCAGCATCGTACATTGCCTGCTTCGTCATCCTCAACCCAGTCATCCTGGCCTGCAAGCTCGTCCTCCTCCTCGCAGAACAGTGGTGTGCCGAGGTCAAGCATGGCCTGGCGGAAGGACTCGAGAAGACGCTCTGTGGTTGCGTCTCGTCGCGGTACCATGACGATAGCGCGTGAATCTGAGCCTAAAGCCAGGTGTTCGCTGATGGCGGAGGCGAGAAGTGCTGGGTGGTCATCGTCGTACATAGGATCAGCCGCGAGGACAATCTAGAGTCACAGGGGCGGTTAGAAAACATATCGTTTGCAAATAAGAGTCATATATCTCCCCCTGTTGACTCTCCACACAATCACAATCAGTCTACGAAACATACCTTGAATTGATGCGATTGTCCAAACAGAGTCTGGTCGATTTCATCCTCACTGCCACCCCATGTCAGGTCGCCGACAGTGAGTGATCCGCCGCGAGACTTGATGAGTTCAGTGTTCTTGGCAACGTTCTCTCTGAGATTGGGAACGATGTTTGGTAGATCGCTCAGCGCTACGGGAACCTTCCAGTGTGCCGCGGCTGCAAGACCCAAAAGTCCTGTTCCAGATCCAAGCTCGAGGACATTGGGTTTTGGTTGACCAAGGGTCTCATCAAAGAGTCGAAATAAGGATGTCTCAGCCATACGAGGAAGATGCTGTGAGAGGACGTATGAAGATCCCCAAGTCTTGAAGCCCAACGAATCTCCCGTAAGCGCAGGCTCTCGAATGATCAACTCAAACTCGTCTGCGTCATCTCCAAAGGGCCAACTTCGAATAACTTCTCCCATAGCCGTACGGCCACATCGCTCTGACATGCGCTTGCTTGCCTGAGTCCAAAGAATCTCCTTCTCATCGTCATCCTCGATCCATGACAGAGGGCTCTTGATGATCGAGGAGAGGTAGCGTGTGACTTCGGCCTTGCGTTGGCTGGCCAGGGATTCTTGCACCTCGATGATCTCTGAGCGGCGACGCTTGTGGTTCCAGATAGGAGGACTGAGCTCAAGCGTTTGAAGTATGTCCGCTAGCTGAGTGTAGCTGGGACGTTCCCACATCTGGGGGAAATCAAGTGCCTCGATACCCATTTTGAACAAGTCGAAAGAGTCCTTTCCGTCAATGCTTTTCAACCCGTATTGTGAATTCCAATGAGATATTTGAGTCAGTAAGATTTTGTCGGTGTGGCGAGAAACTTCAACGGTGAAAAGTTTCAGAATAGGAGAAGTTGATCAGAAAAGTACTCTTTAAGAGCACAAGAAAGCCCCGGAAGACAATAGCTAAATACTATGCAGACATATCGGACACGCCTTGAGTCTAGAACATAGTCCCTGGTTTCGCTAGGAATTTTTTGTCCAAGCAAACAAATCCGGGGAAGTCAGACAAAGGGGACACCAAAAGGAATCCACACAATGGAGCGGCTAACAATTAAAAAAATGCTTAACAATTATCAAAGAGCAAAAAAAAAAAAGTTGCGATTCTGACTAACATCTAATTGGGTCAAGTCTATCTGTCTATCAAACCATGAATGTAGGGCCTGCGCCACATACACTCCTTGCACCGCCACAGATTGAGGTGCAGCAATAAGAGATCGGCATGATCCACGTGGCTGACCTGCCTGACCTGACAAGGGGAAAGGGAGCTATGAACATGATCTCCACTGTCTTCCCGATTGGTCGCCCTAACATTTCCTGTCTTTATCCTTGCTCTGGTTGCATCTCAACCCAACTCAACATCAACTCCAAACAAATACAAAATGATTCTCAACGCTCAAGATGTTGTTTCCTTCTCTTGTAGTATTCACAGAACCTGCTCCTTATCCCATCCAACGAACAAAGGACGCTGAATAGGCCCAGTAGGACAAGCATAGTCTCGAGCATTCTTCAACTCAACAACCAGAAAGCGACAAGCCCGCCAATCAGTCGCCGCTTTCCCAGCCAATCTGACAATCTCGCCGCACATGGCCTTGAGAGTCTTGATGCTGAAGTCAAATCGTGCCACAAGCTCCGTATCCTCCAGCCAGGGCGTCGCAATCGACAACTCCACCTGGTGGAGCATCTGCGTGACGCTGGTCTTGGTAGACGTGAAGCCATCGCGTGTGGCGCTGTCGCGGCGGTTCACCCAGTCGTTCCAGAGCCATTGACGAAGGGCTTCATTGGAACTATCGTGGCCGCTGCGCTGGTGCTCGCGGGCGAAGTTGACGAGCTGGGTTTCGTAGAAGATGACAGTGTGGTAGAGGTAATCCGAGAGTTGTTTGAGAGCGATTCGAGGTGGAAGACGATCTACTTCCTGTCGAGCTGGCTGGGGCTCCTCATACGATACGTAGCTCTCAGTTGAGGCATCGCTGTCGTAGGTTCTGAAGTAGCGTGAGGCACGACGTCGGCGGCTGTGACCGTTGCGGCAGCAGGTGGAAATGATGTAGGTTGAAGCTGCTGGGGCAACTGGGGCAGGATAGATCTGACCATGTCGATCTTCAGCCAGCTGCATAGGTGCAGTAGACATAGTTCGGAACTGGGTCTGGGGAACTGAGTAGAGATATCCTTGGTCTCCATAGTAAAGCCCAGGAGCCTCTGCGACATCTGGGAACGGTGAACGTCTGGAAGCCATTGTTGACGATGGCGACTTGTTGATGATAGACTTGCTGGTTCGACTGTTACTGGGTAGAGACTGGGGTGAAGGTGAGGTTGAAGTTGGGAATATATTGCAATTCTACGAGATATTTATAAGTCTCCATGACTATGTTTGCTGAGGATATTCTCTGGATGCAGGTGAATTCTGCAGATTCAACTCTTTGTCTTCTACATGCAGCAATCTAGGTAGCTAGAAATGTAGGACATGTCACCACGCTGTTATTTTCTCTTCAAACTTCTTTCACCTACGGCTGCGTGCAGAAACAGGTATAAAGACTAACAAAGTACGGTTCTACCACCAGTGGGTAAGTATTATTCAAACTGCATATACTGACGTTGCACATCAAAGTTCACAATGAACCACATTTGCTTGACAGTGGAGGCACCACTTTTGACACATTCACGCAGAAGATCAGCCAGCCGCTACTGTACGGCGGGAATATTTGCTAACCTTCTTTATCAGAGGAGACGGGAGGGTCCTGATTCAGCTCACCCGTTCATTCGGCCCACCAAGCATTAGACCGTCCCCTTTGACGCCCAATCTGGTAAATCCTAGGTAAATCACGCACTCTAATCACATGCACCTCACGTCATTGCAGGAACCCATCTTCCCATATACGGCACTCTATGAAACTTGACCGACAACTGAGCAGTCCATCCATCACTTCACTCTAGATACCTAACATTTGTCACTCTGTGCTCCCTCATTTCATTTCATTTCAATTCAATTTCAACGCTTTGTGTATTGTTTGGCTTTTGCCTAAATCTAACTGCCTGCCTTGGCTTGGCTTGTCTTGTCATGTGGTATCAAATAACTATGCAAATATCAAAAGAGAGCTTTGTTCCTGTCCGGCTAGCTCTTATTCATGCAATTCCTGTTTTCCCAATGCAAATAGAACTGTAAAATTTGTCCGGTCGTGATGCTGTACGCCGTTGAATGTCAATCCCCTCGGCCTATCCGGGCCTGTCGTATTATTGCTGCCTTTTAGCTCCTCTCGGGAGGGCATTCACTGTAGATCTCATTCTTCATCGTTTGGAGTCGGTTCCTCATCTCATGGAGGTGGTCCAGCCTTTTGGACGAGGGCCTGTCCAGGGCCGAAATCTCATTGTGCAAGGCTTCGTACTTTTGGTAGTAAGCCTTGAACGCAGTTGCTTTCTGCACGAGATCGTCTGAAAAGATTGCCGTGGCTGGTCGCTTCGATGCGGTCGGTTTGCTCGAAGCCTCTACTCTTCGCTTCTTTACAACCGGTGCAGCTGGTGCGTCGTTCTCAAGATCCGAAGCGTTGGTGGGTGGCGATGATGCCAAAGGCGACGACTTTGTCGGTGACGTGTTCTTGCTCTTCATCGAAGTCGAAGTGATAGTTCCTCGAGAGTTCTGGCTTGCATCAGAGGGTCGATGCTTCAGTCGAGGGCCAGCAAGCGGTTGTTTGGGCTTGATGCGCTTCGACAAGGGTGTTCCAGAGCTGGAGCTTGAATCGTCATCTTCGCGAGGTCGTTTCGCCGTGATCTGCTGCTTCACTGGCTCCCTGATCGTAGGTCGTGGTTTGGCCACAACCGTATCCTTCGCCTTAGCTGCCGGCTTAGGGGCTGGCTTTGGCTTGGACTGAATCATAGGAGCAGATTCATCCTCTGAACTGTCCGAGTTGGAAATGATTGCCGCCGATAGGACCCTTCCTCCGTTCGCCTTAGTTGCAGGGGCAGGTCGTTGCTTGGTAGGCGACGCCTTAGTGGACGTGGCTTTTGATGCAGGCTTAGACACAGCCGCTGCCGTTGTCTTGGATTTGGATTTGCCCAAAAGACGCTTAACCTGGGCCTCCTGAGCTGTAGGCTTTTTAGGCTTGTTGGAGAGAGGATTCGAGGTAGACCTGGACATGGCCTCTCCGCCAGCCTTTGGCCGGCTGACATCCAAAACATCCCCATTATCTCGGGGTGTAGAACCACCATCCGCCATTTCCACGTTGATCGATGGAGTGCTGATCTTGGTGAGGTTGGCCTGCACTCGACTCAAACATTTCCCTGTTCCTCGCTCCTCCTTGGGCAGTAGTCTGTCCCACTCTGGTTCGGCAATGGTAATTCTCTGCTTGTCATATTGTCGAACGGCATTGTCGATCGCCTTCTGTCGTAGTTCTTGGGTATCATAATCGTAATTCCAAACATCAAGGTCTCTCCATGTTCGTTTCTTCAGTGACCATCTCTTGCTGTCGTCGAGGTAATCGGCAACCTTTCGTAGTGTGGGTTCCATATCTTCCTGACTGCCCTCCCACTTCTTGGTCAAGTAGTCAAATGAGCGATCCTGCACAGCAAGCTCGTGCACCAACATGGCGCGGTCTCCTTTGGCTCGGTCCTGGGGTTGCGATGTTGGGTTCGGTGTGGCAGAGCCTAGTGACACCTGACCTGGAGATTGAGGGATCGATCGTGGAGCCGAGCTAAGCGGTTTGGTGGACTTGGTCTTGATCGCGCCTTTCTTCGCTGGTAATCTATCAACCACGCGTGCCCTTCAACAAATGTCAGTACGAGTATTCCAAAACCAAAGGCAAGTGAGACCGACTTCTCCTTAGAAGCAGCATGAGCCGCAAGTCCATTTTGAAGAGTCTCAATGTCAGAATCCAATCCTGAGGACGCAGCGCTCTTGCTGGACTTTGCGGTCTTTGCATCAGCGGTGGTGTCGGCCTTGCTAGCCTGCGACTTCTTCGAAGAAGCACCCCTGGGCTTTTCAAAGAGAGTGCCAGTGTGAGGAATCTTTTCGGCCGTTCGAGTCGATTCGAAAGGGCGTGTGAGGTAAAGGTCGTAGGGATTCGAGTCGGTAGGAGGAGCAATGGTGTGTGTTTTGGAACCGTAAAGGAAGGTCTGGGTGCGAGAAAGGTTAGCAACTGAAAACACGAGCCCAACCCGCGATCCTCGATTCACAGTGATAGACGGCTTTCAGATTGTTAGACTTACGGGGTTGGCTCCAAGCGAGAGTTGAATGCCGTCGCCATTCTGCACGCACTTGATCATGTCCTCAATAAGGACATCGCTCAGGGTGAGGGCAAAGGCCTGAGAAGGTAGACTGGCATCCTTGCCATTCGAGCCCTCCAGTTGGATCCCGCTCTCGGGGACCTTGAGCGAGTTCATAATGGAGGTTATCACGAGCCTTGGTAGGTCGTGGGGTGGGAAATGTCGCGGAGTTGATTTGTTGTGTCGATCAATGCAGGAGCAGGGTGGAAGCGTGACGTTTAGTCGATTGAATTCGTGGATTGAAGTATGAGAGTTGAACGTAAAGAGAGGGCGTTTTGTGGAGGAGAAAAAGATTCGCCGGTGAGGAAAGTCTAATGAGAGGTAGTGAGAAGCGTTGTCACATTGTCATCCAACAAGGTGAGCCGAGAGTGAGGCCGCTGTTTTGATGAGTTGGGCGTACGAAAGCCAAAGCCAAAGTCGTAACGCAACGCAACGCAAGAATGGGGGCCCTCTCACTCCGATTAAGGAGGACAAAGATGAATGAATGGGCGAGCGCTCGGGAGTCTATTACTGGCAGTAACAATGATTACCACCCGCAATAACACAAAGAAGCTCCAGCACCCTTTGTGATTTGCAACTCTCGTCGAGAAGCAAAAAACAAGTTGGAAGAGAAAGTTGGAGGGCGGAGAACGATGAGGGAATGAGAGCAGCGGCGAGCCCAGGAAAGGAAGCGACAATGGAAGCACGGGAGACGAGGGTGTACCAAGGTACTGCGTGCGGAAGGAACATGGGGGAGGTACCTTCCTTCCTTACCTTTACTCTACCTTACCTTACCTGACGGGCGGGAGTGGGTGCGGCCAAACAGGGAAGTTGACCGGGGAGGAAGGAGGCGCCCCAATGCCCCTAGCACGGTCACCAGCACTGAGGTGGACAGTGGGCAGTGGACAGCTGGAGCACTGCCAGACCAGACAGCTCAGCATTGTACCGCACAGTATGCTTCAACACTCTAAATTTGGGTCTGGCAGCGCAGAACACTCATCGACAGCACCTTCGCTCAACCAGGGAGACGATTTCCTGCTCTCGTGCGCCAAGTAGTTCGCACGGTACGCTACGGGCCTTAGTCCGGGGTGACAGTACTTGATGACTACTCAGAGCTCTACAGTGGTCTCAGTGATGAGCATCCGCTAGGGGCGACGCAGATCAGGGGCCGACGAGACAGATGACCACTGTATCGAGCGACGTTACAGCGACCGACTTAAGGCTGTTCTACTGAGTTACATGTTCATCCTCTGTACTCAAACATCTTCAGCTTCGCTAGCGTCCACTGGGGCCGTGGCTTCGGTGGCGTGCCTGATGGTGCGCCTGGTGGTGCATGTGGAAGAGTTGACCGGTCAAGGTTCCATCAAAAGTATACGAAAAGTATCACTCCTCAAATCAGATCCACTGTATAGAGCTGAAAGATGCCCTGGAACAACTCCGAGGTACGACTCAGTACTTTCGAGCAACATCGACAGCGAAGAGCGGGCCGAGTAGCACAAGAGGCCCACAGGGACGGAGTGATGTGGTGGATGCATGCAAGGCGTTGGGCTAGTCGAGTAAACTCGTCCCAGAAATGGAAAGCCAAAGGGTTCCTCCCGTCCCGTTCGCCGGTCTTTAGATCAAGGTTTCTGCTTGTTCTTCTGAGCCATTTTGATATGGATGGAGGGATATCTATCAATGTGAAGCTGAGAAGCGGAGAGACAGTGGAAAGACGAGACAGAAACGCTCTCCGGATTGTCGCATCATTGTTGTTTTCACGTCTCAATTGGTTGTCAGGTCGTCAGCCCAGGGAACGGGACATGACGGGCTGGATCCAGCGGGCAGGTTGAGCTACCAGGCCTAGCGAACAAGAAAGACCCATTCTGGTTGACCCATGGCGAGAGACATCAAGGGCTCGGAATGGAGGTCGTGACGGATCTGTCATCCGGCCGGGGGGTCGTGGCCGTGGCCGAGCCGTGGATGGGATGCTGGTGTTTGCTATTCGTGCACTCCTGTCTGATCTGAGCTGTTCATGTTCTCGTTCTGCTCTGTTCTGGTTGAGTCTCATTCGAGTCATTCCTGAAAGGGCTGGCCGGGCAGTTGAGGACTCATTCGGTCTGAGATCAAAGGGCTGGAACAACGCTCGCTGAAACAACCATGAGCTTGAAAGAGAATCTCCTTTGGTTTCAGACCAAGCAAACTTTGTTCATTCAAGGCTTGAAATGAACCCCTTTGTTCGTTATTTATCAAGTTTCCTCCCTTGAAATGAATATCTTGACTGTTGAATTACCAAAATCAACTTGGTCTACGCTATGCCCAATTTCATATTCTTTTGCTATATGCCTGCAATAACAATAGCGCGAGCTCAAACCCCCATACCCATCCGCAGCGACCCCCTTGTCGGCGCACTTCCAATAAGCCGGCAACGGGTCCATGACCGTTTAGGCCTTCTTGACTGTTTACAGTGGAGCTGTGACTCTATTTCCAGTGAGTCGAAGATTGAGCAGGTGGATAATTCAGATTGTTAAGCAGATGTGCAATCTCGACGCTTCTCTGAGGGTTCGTCGTCGGTGTGCCTGCCTGATTATGAAGGGGATTTGAGAGACCCCAAGGAGGGGGACCTTTCAAGAACCCTGTTTCTTACCAATTGAGCAAGATGAGGCTAAGGTCGAGCGCCTTCGCTTCGTCGATGGGAGTGATGCGAGGTACAGACAGAGTAGGGTACAGCACCAGCACAGTGATGCTGCACGCTGCCACATGGCGACCGAGCAGTTGGGGGATCTGGTGATTGGTGACGACCGACTGGACCTGTTTAGTCTACCCGTGCCGAATGACCTCTACGTTCTCGTACCCATGCATTGGTTTTACTTTTGATTACGATGATGCAGACCTTGGTTCAGATCAATTCTGGCATTCGATACGAAGATATTCTCGTTGGTGGTACAGACAGAGTGCGTCGCGTTGAAAGATACCCTGTACTGGAAGGCAGATTGGCCGAGTCAGAGGCAGAAACAGAGACGGAGACAGACCAGATGCGTTCATGACATGTCTTAGAGAACCCATTCGTCTCGTCTCGGCGGTACCCCCGTGATCTGGTCTGGTCTGTCGTCAGCTCAGAACGGCACCCAGCATGCGACCACCACGACTTTTGTCCGAGGCGCTTAGGAATAGGCTGATTGGAAGAGATGCGGAAGGGCATGTTCCAGGGACCTTTCTTGTCTCATTATTGAATCTCTGGCGTTGATGAGATTCGATTCGGTTGAGTACAGTAGCGTATACGGATACTGTACTGTAGAATAGGCGAAAGCCTGCCTGTCCAGGGCTTTATGCATGGAATAAATGAACCCCGGTGAGACCATCGATGGTCGTATGTGGCTTACAGATTGCATGTCGGGCTTCCCGTTTCCCATGGTACAACACAGTAGAAAAAGGCTGAGCTCATCTATTTTCCGCCCATGTCAGCGTCACAGGCTGACGTTTGCGAACCTTTGAGTCTGTCGATTTATGATTCGCAATATGGACAATTGATTCATCGAGGCTCGTCCAAGGCTGTGCGAAAAAAAGAACTTGTATCGCCAATCACCTGCTGCTACCCTACCTTTCGCGACTGGACTTGGACTGGGCTGGCGTGTGGTCGGGACCTTGCAGATGACTTTGGTCTGGTTCTGGACGTGATTGATTGCCGATCGTTCTTGGGTGGATCAGGGTCCAAATTGTTCACGAGGAGAAGGGAAATGAGTGCATAGCTCTGAATACAGTAGATTATGCAGGACTGTTAGAGATGTCAACTGAAACTTGGGGGAGATGCGAATAATAATGATTTGCAGGATGTATTATTAGGGGATATTAAGCTGGGGAGATTGAATTATATAGACAGTTGGTTAAGGACATTAATTGCTTTTATTACCGGGTCTGACTCTCGTATATTGTCTGCAGTAGTTGGAAACTTTAGTACTCTGTATTCGTATATTAATTGTCATTGCGATCTCATCACTGTGTTCTGACGCCTTGATCTCTCTGCTACTCGAGACCTGACAAATCAGGTACTCATCTAGAACTAATAACCACATCTCTCTCGATTGATTATTTGCATATTGATTCTAAGATACTGACTCTATTCATCATTAATAATCTGGACCGTTCTTAGCCGTAGTCATTGATGATCCAAGGGAACACCCGCTCCTCCGTCCCGTAATGCGGGGGGAGAGCGGAAAGGAAGGAATCTATTCCACCGAAAGAACCGAAGATCTAGTCCAATAGTCAGACCGAGAAGCAGAAAAGACAAAAAGAACGCATTTATCCTTCCTTCTCTCCGATATGATCCGGGTCGGTTGAATGACATGACTGCAGGATCGACTAAGTGTGAAGCTGCATATCTACATCGACTCATTGCCCCGCCCCCGCAACGCCGGCCTCTCTTCCTCTCTCTCTCTCACTCCACAAAGCCGATAATTCTCCCTCTCATGTCATTCATTAATAATGATGAATAGCTTTGATCTTGAAAGAATTGGGTCATTGTCTACTGTCTTTGGCTCATTGTTACAGTCATGAAAGAGTGTGGTCAGAGCCCAGCTTCAGAGTCTAGAGAGAGTCTCTGTCTGAACTCTCTTTCAAAGTTTGAGTATTTTTAGATTTATTTTAAGCTTTGGCTTTATTACCTCTAGAAGTAAAAACGGTTGATTTTGCTTTCTCAACGTCTTTATTACTCAACTACCCCTCATCGCTTCTGTCACTTTTTGTTTCTTGAGATGAATTCTGTCGTACTGCAAGTCTCACCTTTATCCGAGCGGTCTAGTTGACTTTGTTAGATACAGGCAGCTTCTCTCTGTACCTAATTGACAATATGCACTGATTCTGACAAACCCGCCAACCTAAGCAACAGTTACAGTCACAGTCAGTCACAGGCACAGTTGGATACGACTTCTCAGAGACAAAAGACTTCTACAGCTCATAGCTTGCCAACGTGCCTCGTGCCTAGCAGCAGTAGCTGGATTCGACAAGGATCCTCCTCCCGGGGCATCAAGCGGAAAGACCCTTGTCGACATGGATAATCGCTGCGTTGTGCGACAAGGATCAAATGTACAGTACAGTAACAGTACAGCACTGACTAAGGTAAAGGTACCTTTTGGATGCGCCGCCTCACTTGAGTTACAGTACATACAGCACGCAGCACAGCAGCATGATCGCTGACATCACTTTCGTACTTCAGTCATATCTCGCTCTGAGTCTTGCTCTCCTCTGCCCTGTTCTCTAGAGAAAGAGAAAGAGGCTTTTTAATCGCGCTTGGCGAAAGAGAAATACGATGCCTTTTTTAGAAGGATTGTATCCCAATTGGTGAAACTCGGTCTATCCTGTCACTTTATGCGCCGCCTCTTTTTTTTTCTTTCTGTGTGTCTTCGAGCAGACCGCCAGCCTCCCGACCCGGCCTGGCCTCTATTCGCTGTCTATTGTTCCTCGTATACATGTCGCTCTCACCGTCAAAGGGTCATGTCTTAACCTCCATACTACTATTATGTACTATGTGTTGGAGGCTCGGTAATGGTCAGGTTCCTAGCGCTGTGGAAAACAGAGAAAATCAGGTCACGCTGGCATGGCTCCAGACTCCTCTCTCCGTCTCGCCTCGAGGATTTAAGAGTATAGTCAGGCACTGGTTTGTGTATGTATGTACAACATGGCCCAGAGAATGGGTCCTGGTCTGGTTTCCGAGGTTTCTCAACAGACCGCTACTGTATAATTAGCGGATTGTCTTGGCTTTACTGTCCAGTGCTGGAGCAGGATGATGTTATTCGTATGACAAAAATCCCCCAAAGGAACAAGACATCGCAAAGAGATACTCTACAGAGTAACGTTAAATCAGTGGACCCTTGCGTTTGTGGTGACAATTGTCTGCATGCGCCACGGCCGTTCGTGTGCATTGAGGCTTGCGCTGACGTTTTGCACTGCACTTTTGTTTTCAGTCCCTGGCTACTGGCAGAAAGAAGGCCTGTAACTGTCTCAGAATCTTGACGCCAGGCCCCTTGGCTCGTGACCAGTTATCATGACTGTTTGATGTTTAGTTTCAGAAGAAAGGGACTTGACTCTCTCTACTACCGACATTACAGGGAAACATCTGTAACATTTAGGATAGTCTAGTCGTGACAATAACCAAAATTGGGGAATCAAAACAAACAAAAAAAAGGGATTTGCCCGTTCGGCGAGTGATTCAGGTGGGAAATCTAGGATAGGGATTCGGCAGGGAATAGCAGACCCGCTCTGCTGTACTACTACTATTCGATTTCCATCCAGAAATGACAAGGGTGACATGATCCCTGTTACTTACTGACTCCTGTCTTCTGACGTTTTGTATTGCACGCACTCAAAGACTGGGCAGAAATGGGCGCTTATTTGCCTCGTCAGACTGTACAGTATCCCTTCTGTCACTTGTGGCATATGTGCACTTTTCGTCTTGGGCCTCTAGGATTATTAGGACAAATTCGAATATACCTCTCAACCCCTGATTAGGGATCCAAGATATTGACGTGTGTGTTTTGAGTGTTTCGAGATGGGATGTTCTTATCCGATAATACTCGATATCGCGGGAGGATGTTAGACATATCGGATACTGCCAAGGTTCCCTTATCACTTTGGGTAAAATCTACCGGTAAATGACTCAATTCTTGTTATTCTAGTTTCAGAACATGTTCAATCCAGCTATTTACTACTGACATAGACTTGAATGCTGAAGGCGACGAATGGGAGAGACAGAGGGTATTCGAGCATAGTATCAGTGTCATCAAGATTAGAAAGGGAACCGCCAAATACCTCTCCTAATATCGAGCCGCAGTTCCTGCACGGCTCATTCCTTATTCATATAGCTACTCTCCCTCTTCCTGATGAACCAGGATCATCGGACCTGCAACTATACTCGAGTGTACCCCGATGTCTCTCCACGCGTAACACTCACTTGTCAAGAACTCCGATTCTGCAGAACCTTGATGTCACTCTGAGTATCACAAACTTGCTTCTCTTCCTAACCTACGCAAGATCATCGCTTGCATAGACCATCAGTTTACTATGTTTCTGATGAGTGAGCTCGAGCCGCTTGGTCCTCAATGCTCTGATCTACCAACACTGCACAGGCAGTTTGTGCCTTGGACAGGATGAATTATGGGTAGTTTGGGATGGCTAGCATCTTTTGAGTGCCGTACTGGGGAAATGATTGTGGAAATAAGGAGTTATGCGGCAGTTGTCAATCTTCGCTTTGTGTTGCTGAAGCCTACAAGGTTAACAGAGACGCGATACCATAGCATTCACATTAATCAACATCTTCGCTATATTTAGAATCAAATGATAGTCCGGTTCATAATATCATTGCTCGTTAATTACTATAGCCGTCAGTATCAATAATTGGTACTCAAGTGTTCTGATCTCACTAAGGTCGTTGAAGGGGATACTCTAGGGTAGCTCAATTAACCTTGCTGTTTGAGACGAGAGTGGTCTCGAGTTCTATCAACATCTTACAGATCTAACTTTCCTCAATGACATCGAATTGCCACTTTATCAGACACTGTATAGATAGTCACACATAGAAACTGTCACGATAACCGTCATAATCATGTTTATCCCTCAAGGTAATACAGCGTGAAACAACACTGAGTCTCTCAACCGAACGGCATAGGCTCGGCTCGTTCGGTCTAATCGGGGCCGGTGGAACTGTCGACATGCACCTATCATCCCAATGCTACTGCACTCATGCCATGCCATGCACGTCTATGTGGTTGCAGCATCTTGCCTACAGTACCATCCGGTTCAACCGTACATGAACACTCAGCAGATTCATAAGCAGCCCGTGTTGGATATCATGATGAAGAGAAGCAGTCAGCTACAAGGAATGTGAATATTCAAACCCAATCACTACACTCATCTAGATCCGATTGTCCATCTTCTGCTTATACCAACTCCCTTCCAGACCAGTATGACAACCCAATCAAGCAGGTGGGTACGTGGGCCGAAATGGTCTCGGTCACTTGGCTCAAAGGCTTGATCTTGGCTCATGATATAATGGTGCCAACCATTACATCGACAAATCCCTTTCCGTCAAACTCATACATCTCTTGGTCCGTGTCATTGGACAACGGCAGCGGCCCGCACCATTTAAAGTGAAAGTGAAGTCAACTTAAAGACAAAGATTTAAAGCAAGACGATGATCAAATTCCTCAGTTCATTCTTTCTCCAGTGCCTGATGATCATGCAAAGATAACATCATACAATGATACCCCTACGAATAGAGTTTTTCTTCAAGTCTTCAATGTTTAATGGGTGTCTCGGATAGAAAAGACATCACTATGATCTCGGCTATCACATCTCGACTTTTTACCCGTCATGCTAACTGAATTAGTTTCTCTTCTCTCTGTCAAGGTTAGCTCTTGTTAGAGTTTTGCTACCGAAGGATAAAAGGCTCAAATTCAAATTGAGAATGCAAATCGTTTTCTTTGTTCCTGTGCCTTGTGCCTGTATTGTAGTGTGGTGTACCCCCTCTCTATCCGTGTTAGTCGCCCACCCCCACGAGAGGCGTTGATTATGGAGATGGAAGCCCCGCCTCCGTTCCGAAAATGTCTTTAGCCTACCTTGCCGTAGTTTAGCTTCTTGGTCTGATCTCTCGGGATAGTTGACTTGGTTGATGGATAGGTTAGTCAGAGTACCGTAGTGACTATTTTACAAGGACCGAGTCGGCAAGGCGGACGAGGCATTTGACTTCGTCCCGACCCAAAGGCTCCAGCTGCCCTCCAAGGTGAACGGGTGTGCTGCCGGCAGCTACTCTGTACTCGGACTGAAGCACCTCTAGACCGTCGGGTAACTCGTCTGGGGCCGGGTTTCGACTCAGAAAGGTGATAGCTCCTTACACCATGTGAACTAATCAGAGGTGGATCGACGCGAGGCTGTTGATCATAGTATAAACCCAAGTCGGCCGATGGTCGAGATGTTCACGGTGCTGAGAAAATATGGTGATCGGCGATGGTCGTGATCGTGGTCACGGTCATGGACATGTCAGTAACTCGTAACTCTGTCACTTTTCAACAACAGCAAACGTCAAAGGATTCCGATCAAAAGTCGCCAAAAGGTAACCACGACGTAACCAACATACCAAAGATACCCTGGTGATCATGTCTCGGGAACAATCTGGGCAAATCAGGCTCAGATCCCCAGATCGGGAGCTAACCTTCAACAGCCTTGCATCAGGCACAACCTGGCAAGCAGATCGTGGTAGATCAGCCACCCCTAGCAACAAACTTTCAACACCCGTCTGGACCAGGAACAGCGGGATTTGGAAAAACTGGGCGAGCGCCCCTCGTTATTGATCATAAACCTAGTACAGTCGCAAGCTCCACGGCTGTCCGTATCGTACATCGAGGCGAGCACAGTAGGGGAGGGTGAACGGCGTAATAGCGATGTCGATGATGATGCCCCATTGCCATTGCCTTTCTTTCTTGTTGTCCAACCATACTGTCCTCTTTCGCTACAGCAAGCTCTTCCAAAGGCCCCCACCGGTGAGCCATTTCTCCCATGCCTATTGCGTTTTGAACAGTAAAATTGCGCAGTGGCCAAGGTAGAAGTAGATGAAGTGCTTGGTCTCTGTGGCAGGTGTCAGTCAAGCTTCCCGAGCCCCAGGCTACGGAATCGGGTCTCCCCTCCGCAAGTTGAGTTTGACGAACCGTGAGTAACGAAACTACCGAAGTTACGACCAACAATACAATGCCAGGTAGGTCCCTTTCGATCGTCGAACTGGATGGTGTAAGTACAAGTGCATGATGCGACAGAGCTTGGTGTGTACGAACGGTTCGCTTGATGTACTGTGCGATGTCCTGTCATGAGGTGTTAGCTCGAATGGCAATAAAGATGTAGCGCTTGACGGCGAACCTTCTCAATGGTGTACTTAGCCATGGCCTCCTGTGCTGTTATCATGTCAGCCTTGCTCCCTTTGCGCCGGCGCAGCGCTGTCCTTGATTTCCATACCAACTTCGATACTCTCCTGCTGCATGTCCTCGGTCTTGGTTGTTCCATCGTTAGCGATCGTGTCCGGTGTATTCGGTATGCATGTCGGGTTATCTCACCATGTCGGCGGACTTGATCTGGGCTGGCTGGATATCAGCATGACGTTGTTTCGATATTCGAGTTCGAGGGGGTGTTGCTTACCCTCAAGCTTCTCCCGGGGAACGGGAGACTCTGCCTTAGGAGGAGCCTGAGCGTCGGCCATTTTGATTAAGATTGATGAAAGTGTTCGGTTTGGGAAACAAATGCGACTGGCAAACTTGTGTTAGTTTATCTTGACGTCGTGAGGCTGGCGGTCGAAGGCGCCTTGTCCCTTAATGCGCGCCCCCCTTATAGTGAATTATCGGGGGCCACGGGACGATCTGCTAGCAGGATCTGGGGGCGTACGTACGCGATAAGCGGCAAGTAAGAGGCGCCAGTGTTGTCAAGCGATTAGTGCAGTGAAGTTAAAAGTAAAGCAAAAAGTAGGTATTAAGATAACGGGTGGTTTGTTTGTAGCTTTGCTGTTGATGAAACGCGCAAATGCTAAAGCCTTGTGGAGTAATGGAAGTGCTAAGTGCAGGTCGCGTATTTGTTGCAAGCACTGATTGGTCTGTTTCTTCCTTTGGTCACCAAGCTGTAGCCTCGTCAGGTAGGAGCTGCCCTGGGCTTGACTGGGGGTGTGTGTTCGCTGTGACAACGCCTGGGGGAGCGGCAGGTGCCATCCGAGCAACGGTACGTACCTGCACTAGCGGCTCCACTGTCGATGCTCAAGCTACCCTATACCATCGAACTCTGTAATAGTTGCCGGTGGACGGCGTGATAATTGAAGATAAGTGCTAGTATGGGTAGCTTGAATATGAATGATAGAGGCTATTTGGAGCTTGCAGCTCTTTAAGAGTTTTTGGCTTTCTATTTCAATTGTGAATCACAAAAGCCGTCATATTGTGTAATTATGCAAATGCTTGGATGTGTAGGAAAGAAAGAAACACGCACGAACCTCTGCTGGAACATATTCTATAGAATGCTACGGGTTAAACCGTACGTGTTGTGGCTAGACTCCATTATGATCTTTCTTATAGCTACTACCCAAGTTCAATGTCATGGGTATATCAAGATACAGGCTGAAGTGTTGCATCCAGACTCAAGCTGCGTCTAGGCCAACTATAACTCGAGCGTTGCAACACTAAGGCACGAAAACTCAACAGGCGAATAAGAGAGAAACTATAAATTACCGCCAAAGAGTGAACGGGAAAGAAGTGCTACTTGAATACACCCCATGGACTTCAGGAAAGAACGATGAGATCTTGGCATCTATACCCACCCCATGAAGATCAACGATCTCGCAAGTGAACTCAAAAGCTAAAGTGTTGCAGCAAAGTATAAAGATGAATGATACAAGGAGAGAAGGATCATGATAAATGCGAGTTGACATGTCAGAAACCTATCAGAGAGAGATCCAGCAGTCTTCGCCGAAAACAGTAAGAAGGATCCCAAAACGCAAGAGACTAACACAGGACACGGACGAATGCGTCCGCGTTATGTCAGAAAATAGCAGTAAAGGTAGTAACAGAGGCTTGAATAAAGTTTTTGGCGGCGTCATGAGTCCATAAGAATATCGCATTTGGTATAGCTTCAGTTCAGATGTAATAACGACATCGTGAAACTACTACGTTCACTTACCACTTACCACCTATCGATATCATTTGTTCATGATGGCGATGAAACAAACTTGTCAAGCCTGTGAGAAGCCTTCAAAGTTTATTCTTACACAGGTTTTGCATCATGATGCAGTCGATTGTCTGCCAGTGAAGGACTTCACGCGCATTCAGCTGAACACTCATGCTCATTGCTTGAGCAACCATATGGGGACTGCTAACCAGATCCGATGATGTGCGTATCGATTGGAAAGTCTTTTCTCGTTTGGTGTTGTGTCTCCGGACCCATATGGCAGTGTGATATATCTCTTGCTCATGAATCATGTACGAAGTATCGTCCAATGACTCACGACAGCCATGTACCATATCAGACCGACTCCCAAGCTCTTACAATAAAAATTTCCACGGGAAATCTTAGGCGTACTGAATCTGTGCTGAGTGTCCGGGTTTGTTTTGCGAGAAACTATAGTTGGATGAAGTTATCGATGAGTTCCGGGAGAGAGATATCCGGGTGTCGTTGTCTACCCAGTTGGTGATCCAGCTCCAAGTCATACTGGGTATTCTTAGCCGGCACAAGAGTAGTCGTGATCTGGTCAAGCAAATGTGGACGTAAATCCAGGTCGTATATGTCTTCAGTCCTGAATAACGTATGAACCAAATGAAGTCGAGTAGCGGAGTGAGTGGACTTCTTATACTTATCTATCCTGACCGCTTGAGCATACAGAAAGTCAGATGGCCCTCCAAAAGGTTTGGCAAGAATTCTCCAGAGAATATGGCTTGCATCCGCATTCCCTCAACAGTCATTCCAAGGCTTCATGGTGTGGAGTGTGCATCTTACATGTGCCAGAATGCACATCAAGAATGCATTTTTCAGCACCCCTCTAGAAGATCAATCATCAAAAAAGAAAGCACTGAATAACTCAGTAGACTCGATACAATTTTCTAGAATTTTTTCATCTTTATTTCATGTCTATGTTACTGAAGAATTGGACATTGTTGCAGCGATAGTGGTAGAGAAGGTGAGTGGCCAGGAATGTCGGAGTGCCAAATTCAGAGTTATATGGGCATTAAACTTTCAGAATCTTTCTAGATTTCGACTCACCGCTTGATGATAGAAAGTTAATTCTTGAGTTGCTGGGAGACCAGGACGAAAAGCCGGTGTTTTGAAGATCTCTTGATGTTGCTTTCAGTTAATGATTGCTGCAAACGATAATTCTGGTATGAAGCATCTCTTTGAGGATAGGGAAAAAGAGAGAAAATGAAGCTCCAGGTTAGAAGGAACAGAATATGCAGCGATAAGACATGTAGATTCTGGTTGTCTTGGATTCCATTTCTTGCTATGGGAGCTGTGAGCGGCATCTAGCAAATGCATAACGCCGCTCCTTTGGACTTGTACGCATATTAACCACCAGGAATCCATCTCCATTCCCGTTGTTGTAGGATGTCCTATGCTCAAAACTGGGTTCTATGGCACGAGGAAAAGACTGATACGAGGATAGATTGAAGATATTCAGTATTGTCGAATAACGAGTGCAAGCTCCGAGCGGCTTTGTGCATTCAAAGGACAAGTGTTGAAGAAGAACAAGATAGCAGACGAGAGATCAACCGGAGATGCAAACTCCAGAGAAACATCACGAGAGCTACCAGCCACTTGATTCCAACAGAACCCCTTTGGTATTCAGTATGCAGGTCTTGAGTGGGAGGTGAGTCTTGGAGGCAAAGTCATTCCCACCGCCAGCATTCTTGACTGTGTGCGACCAAGGTGGCAACGAGGATGTTGATGCTTGATGTATGTATTTATTGATCATCACAAACGTATATATGTCTGTGATCGCTGATATCCATCATATGTATTCACCATATTGAAGCGTAGCTGTAGAGGAAAACTTCAAAGTGGCAGAATTCTGCCAGCTACCATTACCTATATCACAGCATTGAAGAGCACATTGTGATGGAAAAACAACAGAAATGGCATGACGAGATACATATAGACCCTCATAAACCATAATCAACTGCTTTCATCAACGTTCAATGTTATTGTGGCGTTTGACTTGATCTCTGGAATTTCTCCCATCTCTTAACTGTGGGCGGTGAAGAAAAACGTCTGCTTAGAAGCATCTGAAGCATCCTAGAAGCCGAATAGTGGGGTTGGAACTGTTAGAAATTCCGGATGCACGGGCCTACTTCGGGTCCCAACCTCGGACAATAAGAGTGTGGTAGAGAACTTTTTTTTTTCTTTCTTCTCCCTTCTTAAAGAGCTCACGTTCTTGAAAAATGACTTCACGCGTCAAACTCCCCCGGTGAACTACTCGCCAAATAATCGGGAGATAATCAACAAACAAAACAACTACCAACCTCGCAATGGCTTCCTCAAGAATTTTCATCAAGGGCTTGCCTCCCAGCATCTCAGAGGCTGACTTTCGGAAACACTTCTCCGCCCAGGGTCGCGAGATTACCGATGTCAAGCTGATTCCCCAGCGACGCATTGGTTATGTGGGCTACAAGACACCCGAAGATGCCTCCAAGGCAGTCAAATACTTCAACAGGTCTTACATTCGTATGTCCAAAATCGCCGTAGAGACAGCTAGACCTGTGAGTGACTCCTCAACAATGTCTTGACTTCGAATACTGATGGAATGTTAGATCTCAGACCCCGCCCTCAACAGACACCAGAGCGCCGCGCATTCCAAACCTGCATCACAGTCATCCACCACGATCAAGGGCAAGGAACAATCGGCTGAGAAAGACTCTGACTCTACCTTGAGGAAGCGCAAGCGAGATGAGCCCCAAGCTGCTGCTGCTGCCGACCCCAAGCTACGCGAATTCCTTCACGTAATGAAGGAAGGTAGGGAGGGAGCCATGGACGATGGTGTCCGTGGTGGTCTCGGTGATGGAGTCGCTGCTGTCGCTGCTACCGCCGTTCCTGAAGAAGAGAGCGACGATGAGTACGAGCAAATCCCTGCTCGGAAGGAGAAGCAGCGCAGAATCGAACCTCCAGCGAAGCCGCTTATCTCTGAGACTTTGCCTTCGCAGCTGAAAGAAGCAAAGGAGGTTTCTGACATGCAGGATAAAGTTCCTGCAGGTGACGAACCGGTGGAGTCTGCAGATGCGACAACACCTGCTGTGGAGCAACAGAAGGAGGTCGTTGCGGAAGATGACGATTGGCTTCGCTCACGTACAAACCGACTGCTCGACCTCGTTGATCCCGATGATCTGGAACGAACGCCTGTGCAAGGGTCTTCGATAACTGAGACTGATCATGCACGGGGAGGCGATGCAATGGAAATCACTCCAGACGACCCGCCTGCTGCGGATGACGTGGAGATGGATGAGTCCGCGGCCGAGGCAACGGGGGGTGAGCCGGCAAAGGACGACTCACTTGAGGCGATCCGCCGAACGTCGCGACTTTTTGTCCGAAATTTGCCCTACAGCGCCACCGAAGATGACCTTCGGGAGGTCTTTGAGCAGTTCGGAACAGTTGAAGAGGTACGTTTCAAACGCATTTTTATTTCTTGTCTATCCAAAACCCCGCAACGTGATGAACCTCAGATAGGGACAGCTTATACTA